AGAAAATGGAAAATCAGGGTAAAGTGACACATGGGATGGTTGAGGTGGCGGTTGCAACGGGAACGGGGCCACATGCAGCAGATCCGACGCACTGCCAGAGAAGCATGGTGAAAACGAGGGTAGAGCAGGCAGGGTAAGGTTGAAGACATGGGTTAAACAAATGTTTGGATAGACATGAGGATTAAGTTGTGACATGGCTTGGAGTGTATGACATGGGTCAGGGGATAGCTTGTTGGATGGATATTGGAATGGCATGGTGGCATGGTTGAGTGCATGGCCTGGTCGAGCGCATACAAGAGGGTTGGAAAACGAAACAAGGTGAGAAACAAAGGGATTGAGGGTTGTTGACAAGACTGCTGAAGAAATGCAGTTACAGAGATTGTCATAGGAATGGAAAACAAACAATATGGGAACCTCAGCAAGAAACTCCTCCCCCCTCCGAACATACCCCAGCAAGGCCCACCTCTCTGCTCTTCCTCGTCCTCCTTCCCCCCCCCACCCATTCTCCCCCCTTCCACCCCCTTCAGCCTTTTCCTGCGTATGTCTTCCTGAAACCAGTAGTACCTTCCTCTCTCCTACTTAATTCTCCCCCCGTTTCTATATCTCTCCTTCCGTCTCCTTTCCCCCTTCCCCCCATTTTTTTTATCCCTCCATCCTACGCTCACACAACCAACCCCACCTCCTCCCACCCTCGCCTCTCCTGCACGCACCATGCAATGGATTCGTCCAGATAAGCCTCCAATGAGCTGAGGACAGCTGGCATTTTCTGAATCGACTACAGCAATGAGGAGGAGGGGAAGAGATGGAAGAGTCATGAAGAGGGGAGAACAAGGGAAATCAAGCCCGGAATAAATTATAAGTTCTGTGAGAATTTTGCCAGAAGACCAGCTACAGCAATGGCAACATTCCACAAAATGATTCCAAAAGCAAATCCAGTCCTGCGAGTCGCCTCTCCTTTTCAGAGTACCTCCTCAGTGGCTGTCATCAGGTTGCTCCGGCTCTCCATGGCCTTGCACGCCTCGTCCAGTTGCTGGTCAACGGCAGTCAACGCCAGTCAATGCAGCACAGGGGAAGGCAACGCAGTCAGTGCGGTCACAGGGAACTCAACAGCAGTCATAGAGCAGTGAGTCAGTGAGAGATAACAAAGTCAACAAGCCGCTATCCAGACTGCGTGTAGTGAGTCGATTTTTGAGTCGACTCAAAAATCGACTCACTACACACAGAGCAGTGAGTCAGTGAGAGATAACAAAGTCAACAAGCCGCTATCCAGACGTTGGATTGTGGACACACAATTATGACGTTTCATAGCTTCTGAATCACTCCTTCCAGAGCTGTGCTGAGGCGCCTAAAATCGCGGATTCTTGTATCAAAAGGCGTTGGACTCCTCACACCTATAAGAGTTTCTGAATCACTCCCAACAATGAAGGTACTCTTACAGCGAATCCTGACACGTCACGTTTCTGCACCCGTCTCAACGTGAGGTTCTTACAACGGAACGCGTTGCCTTCCCCACGTGTGCCGCGACTGCCGCTGTCTCGGTAGCAAGCGAGGTCAGCTGCTGCTTTAACGCCGACTCGAAAGCTATTAACGAGGATAGTTGCTGCTTCAAGGCGCAGTTCGAAGGCGCGTTTGAGGTTCCTTGCCTGTCTTTCTCTAAAGCGCGGACGTCTCTATGGAGGTTCGCCATCGCAGACAGAGCACATAACGAAAATGAGCCAAGTAGGTACAGAGTTATCTAACTCAGGCCGCTAGCTTCAACTGGAATGCACCACTAAACTCGAAGTGAAAGAAAGGCAGTTCTGCTGGGTAGCAGGTTGAACATCCAAGCTTGAACTTAACCAACAGTCTGGGCTATATGGGCTCCAGTTTCTCAGACCCGCATACGGGCATCGGAGAGGAAGTGAGGGGGTGGAGTGGAAGTAGGAAACCGTAAATGCTGAATCGAAACCCCCTAGAACTGAATCGTGACGTTTGATTCCAGATAGCCGCATGGAGCGAACTCTGGAAATCGAAATTTATTCACGACGCTCGAAAACTTCGTCAGTGGAGATAACAACATTTCGTGTCAGGTAGTCCTCAGACTTCGCCAGTTTTCTTCAGGTTTGCGACAGAATCACCGAATCAATTTCGTTATCGAGCGAACTCGCCAGCCTTTGTCAGGTTGGCTGTGCTGGGCCTCCAATCATTTCCAACCTCCTTTTCCATTTTGAGAGTATTTCCTGACCGCCGTTCAATTCACGGGAATACCTTCAGTAGTTTCCCCGCTCCAGGAATGCTTCACTGATTAGAGCTGGCTAAGCATTTACACTGAAGTTTTATCGAAGGCAGTGGGCAGACTGCCTCCCGAACAAACTAGACAGGACGCATGTCGCGAATCCAAATTACATTGCTAGTCGCAAGAAACCTTCGTAGAGACATGGTTACGCGACTGGTCTGTGCATCAGCTAGATAAATTAGCATTTTATCGTTACCCTGCTTCCAGTCATGAACCCGCTTCTCTCCGTCCTCCTATCCGCTTTAATCTCCTCCCTCTTCGTGCTATCCCTGTACGTATGGGAGGTTCCCCGAATCTTGCGCGGGGCTCCACCGGCCAATCGCGACGACCCACGTGTCGTGTGCCAGCGAATCACGAGCGTGCTTGGTTCTTGCGTGGCGTCCGCCGCCATTGTCGCGGCTGTCGCGAAATTTGGCCTGGTATGTTCCAGCAAGTGTGCTCGGATGGTAATGTCCTTGTCCCCCATCGAGAATGATTCTGCACTGCGCTTTTTTTAGTCAACTTAAAAGGTGACTTTTGAGTCTACTCACAAGTGTGCTCGGAAAGTAATCTCCCTATCCACATCGAGGTGTATTTTGAGGCGCCTCAAAATACACCTCAATGCACGCGGAAAGTAATCTCCCTATCCACATCGAAAAATATTCTGCACTCCGCATTTCATTGCTCTCAAAGTATATCTGCATTCATTATGCATCATTTGAAGTTTTTTAACCTCTCCAAATCTACCCCCCTTGAAATGAAGGGCCGACCCGACCTCCTTCTGATACCACGTGCTTAACACAAACACACCCTATCCTCGTCTCGAACCTCTCTCTCATACCAACTGTTTAACACCAAACACCCCCTGTCCTGTGCTTGCTCTGCACTCCGTTCTGTCTGCACTCCACTGCTTCTGCTTTCTGTGCCACGTGGCGTGATGCAGTTGGACGACACCCATGCCCCTCTGCCCTCTGTTCCTCGCCTTCTTTCTCTGCAACCTGACTACCTGGTAAGGATGTGATTTTCGCGTGCAGTGAGGTGTATTTTGAGGCGCCTCAAAATACACCTCTCTGCAACCTGACTACCTTGTAAGTTACAAGGATGTGATTTTCCTGCAACTCAAAAATCAACTCTGCAACCTGACTACCTTGTAAGTTACACTTCTAGATTGCTATTGCTTACAAGGTCAGTTGTCAACCCCTTGACTTTTTCATCGCATTTGATTAAAATATATAATTCATTCATACGCCGTCCCGGTATAGCCGCCGGGATTGCCATTACTGCACCACACTCCCTCTCCCACCTGTCCCCTCCCCCGTTTCTCTTCCCCCATTTCCCCTCCCCTTTTTCCCCTTCCCTCACTTCGCCTCCCCATTTCCCTTCATCCATTTCCCCATGCCTCTCCGCTGCCCCTCTCAACCAGCAGATCTCCTCCCTCGCCTTCTCTTCTCTCCCCCACCCGTTTCCCCCCTTCTCTCTCACTCCTTCATTCTCCCCCTCTTCCCCTCCCCCCTCCCAACCACCAGGTCCCCTCCCTCGCCTTCCCTTTCCTCCTCGTGGCTCTCCTCTTTCTCTGCCCTCTCACTCTCTCCGCATTCGACTCGCTTCAAGCCCTAGCCACTGCGAGGCATAGGAACCGCCATTACGCCGCTCTAGCTAGTGGGTCTACCGATGGTGCTTCTGATGGTGCTGCTTCTGATGCTTCTGATGCTGCTGCTGCTGCTGGTGCTGCTGGTGTTCCACATGCATCTAAGCCGCTGGTGCTGCCAGTGCTCCCAACTGACCTACTGTTCCATGCCCGCAACCTGGTGGTGGTGAGAACAGGGGCAATGTGGGGGACATGTGATGGGTGAAAGGGAAAAAGGGAGGGGTTGTGTGTTACTGCTGCTCGTGCATCTAAGCCGCTGGTGCTGCCAGTGCTCCCAACTGACCTACTGTTCCATGCCCGCAACCTGGTGGTGGTGAGTGAGAACAGGGGCATCGTGTGATGGGTGAAAGGGAAGGGGGGGGTTGTGGTACTGCTGTTCGTGCGCCCAAGCGTCTGCTGCTGCCAGTGCTCTCAACTGACCTGCTGTTCCACGCCCGCAACCTCATGGTGGTGAGAACAGGGGAATTGCGGGGGGGATATGTTGTTAGTGAGCTGTTCCGCATGCATCCAAGCCGCTGCTACTGCGGGTGCTTCCGAATGACCTGCTGTTCCACGCCCGCAACCTGGTGGTGGTGAGAACAGGGGAAGAGATCAGAGGCAATGTGTGAGACATGTCATGTGAAACAAATAGGGGAAGCGGAGGGATGTGCTGTTCGTGCTGATCCGCATGCTTATAAGCCGCCGCTGCTGCCAGTGCTTCCAGATGACCTGCTGTTCCACGCCCGCAACCTGGTGGTGGTGAGAACAGGGGAAGAGATCAGAGGCAATGTGTCAGACATGTCATGTGAAACAAATAGGGGAAGCGGAGGGATGTGCTGTTCGTGCTGATCCGCATGCTTATAAGCCGCCGCTGCTGCCAGTGCTTCCAGATGACCTGCTGTTCCACGCCCGCAACCTGGTGGTGGTGAGAACAGGGGAAGAGATCAGAGGCAATGTGTCAGACATGTCATGTGAAACAAATAGGGGAAGCGGAGGGATGTGCTGTTCGTGCTGATCCGCATGCTTATAAGCCGCCGCTGCTGCCAGTGCTTCCAGATGACCTGCTGTTCCACGCCCGCAACCTGGTGGTGGTGAGAACAGGGGAAGAGATCAGAGGCAATGTGTGAGACATGTCATGTGAAACAAATAGGGGAAGCGGAGGGATGTGCTGTTCGTGCTGATCCGCATGCTTATAAGCCGCCGCTGCTGCCAGTGCTTCCAGATGACCTGCTGTTCCACGCCCGCAACCTGGTGGTGGTGAGAACAGGGGAAGAGATCAGAGGCAATGTGTGAGACATGTCATGTGAAACAAATAGGGGAAGCGGAGGGATGTGCTGTTCGTGCTGATCCGCATGCTTATAAGCCGCCGCTGCTGCCAGTGCTTCCAGATGACCTGCTGTTCCACGCCCGCAACCTGGTGGTGGTGAGAACAGGGGCAATGCGGGGGGGATGTGTTATGTGATTCAAACAAGGGGAAGGGGGAACGTGTGGTTGGTGCGTGTGGTGTTGCTGCTGTTCCACATGCATCTAAGCCGCTGCTGCTGCCAGTGCTTCCGAATGACCTGCTGTTCCATGCCCGCAACCTGGTGGTGATGAGAACAGGGGAAATGAGGGAGACATGTGACAGGTGAAACAAACAGGGGAAGGGAGGGACGTGTGCTATGTGCTGTTCCACATGCATGTAAGTCGCTGCTGCTGCAAGTGCTCCCATCTGACCTGCTGCTCCATGCCCGCAACCTGGTGGTGATGAGAACAGGGACAACGAAAGAGACATGTGATGGGGGAAAGGATAAAGGAAGCATGTGATGGGTGAAAAGTGGTAAGGGGAAATGCTGAGATATCGTGGGGCAGACTAGGACTAATTTGAGGCGCCTCAATACACCTCAATGCACCTCAATGCACCTCAATGCACCTCAATGCACCTCAATGCACCTCAATGCACCTTAATGCACCTCAATGCACCTCAATGCACCTCAATGCACCTCAATGCACCTCAATGCACCTCAATGCACCTCAATGCACCTCAATGCACCTCAATGCACCTCAATGCACCTCAATGCACCTCAATGCACCTCAATGCACCTCAATGCACCTCAATGCACCTCAATGCACCTCAATGCACCTCAATGCACCTCAATGCACCTCAATGCACCTCAATGCACCTCAATGCACCTCAATGCACCTCAATGCACCTCAATGCACCTCAATGCACCTCAATGCACCTCAATGCACCTCAATGCACCTCAATGCACCTCAATGCACCTCAATGCACCTCAATGCACCTCAATGCACCTCAATGCACCTCAATGCACCTCAATGCACCTCAATGCACCTCAATGCACCTCAATGCACCTCAATGCACCTCAATGCACCTCAATGCACCTCAATGCACCTCAATGCACCTCAATGCACCTCAATGCACCTCAATGCACCTCAATGCACCTCAATGCACCTCAATGCACCTCAATGCACCTCAATGCACCTCAATGCACCTCAATGCACCTCAATGCACCTCAATGCACCTCAATGCACCTCAATGCACCTCAATGCACCTCAATGCACCTCAATGCACCTCAATGCACCTCAATGCACCTCAATGCACCTCAATGCACACCTCAATGCACCTCAATGCACCTCAATGCACCTCAATGCACCTCAATGCACCTCAATGCACCTCAATGCACCTCAATGCACCTCAATGCACCTCAATGCACCTCAATGCACCTCAATGCACCTCAATGCACCTCAATGCACCTCAATGCACCTCAATCCACCTCAATGCACCTCAATGCACCTCAATGCACCTCAATGCACCTCAATGCACCTCAATGCACCTCAATGCACCTCAATGCACCTCAATGCACCTCAATGCACGGAGATATCGTGGGGCAGACGAGGACTAATTCCTCATGGGAGAGAGAATACGAAGAATGGGGGCGAAGAGGAATTTCGTGGCTAAAGCTTCTTCCATTGTCTTCTCTCTCTCTCGTCACTCTCTATTCGTCTTCCCTTCTCCCCTCACTCATTCCCCCACGTTCTGCCTTTCCTTCACTGTAACTTCCACCCCACAGGCTCCTCTCAGTGAGGAGTTTGTTTTCCGGGCAGCCCTGTGTCCGCTTCTTCTTGCAGGCGGCTTCTCGGTCATCTCGACGGTTTTCATCTGCCCGCTTTTCTTCAGCCTAGGTGCTGATTCATACAATGTCTACTCTTTTCTGCTCTCCACACCACTTTTGAAATGCCTTAGAATTCTTTTCACCACTACTTTCCACCACATTTTGTCTCTGCTCGTGTTTTTGTTCTGTGTAATTCAGTTGTCAACACCTTACTCATCTTTGTCCTCCTAGTGAATCTGCTTTTGAGTCGACTCAAAAGTATGCTCTTGTTTTTTTGTTGTGTAATTTAGTTGTCAGCACCTTACTCATCTTGTGCTCCTAGTGAATTGAAATCCTACTTTCAAAATGCCCCTCCTTGCTTCCCCCCCAACCCCCACTCTTCCCACACCCACCTCCCCCATGGCAGCACACGGGCATCACATCTGGAATTTCATGCACTACCATCGCTGTTCCCTTACCTTGTCATCTGAGACATGGCTTCATAACCCCCACTCCACTATCCTCACCCTTCCCACACCCCCCCCACCCCCCCCCCCCGTCCTCCCCCCTTCCATGGCAGCACACGGGCATCACATCTGGAACCTAGTGCACTACCATCGCTGCTCCCCCCTCCCCCCAGGTCCTTCCCACGGGTGCCATAGCTTCCTTACCCCGCTCCATTCTCTTTCCATCCCTACCCTCCCCCACCTTCGCCCCCCCATGGCAGCACACGGGCATCACATCTGGAACCTAGTGCACTACCATCGCTGCTCCCTTCCCCAAGCTCTTGCCATGGTTGGTGTGTTCCCCGCGCGCTCATCTGCTTTGCACGCACACTTCTTCTAACCTGGTTGTAAGCAACTCAAAGTATTTTCTATTGTGTTCACGTGGGTGTTTGGCTGCCTCACTGCTTTCATCATTCTAAGAACGGGCAGCCTGTGGGCGTCAGCTCTAGCTCATACAATCCCCCACTTCTCACCCTCTCCCCCATCCCATCCCATCCCTCTCTCCCCTGCCCACCCCTTCTCTTTGTTCAGGGTTCCAAGTGGCCTTCACGTGGGTGTTTGGCTGCCTTGCTGCCTTCATCATTCTGAGAACAGGCAGTCTGTGGGCGTCAGTGGCAGCTCACGCCTTCTGCAATGCCATGGGGGTTCCTGATTTCCAAGCAGCTCTGACACACCGGCACAGATACGGTGAGTCCAGAGCGACAGACAGCAAAACTGTAACAGTGTTGCAGGTATGCCGGCAAAATGCAGGCAGTCTGTGGGCGTCAGTGGCAGCTCGCGCTTTCTGCAATGCCACGGGGGTGCCGGATTCGGATGCCAAACCCCTCCTATTTGCTCCTCTTCATTCAATGCTGGAGTTGTCCCCGTTGTACTCAACCCTGATAACGACGCAACAACCCCTGTTGTTTGCATTCGTTGTAATAACCCCCCATTCTATCACAACACAACACAACCCCTCCTTCTGTTTGCAGTGATATGCTCAGCATTTGTGGCGGGAGTGGCCCTGTTTGTGTAAGTTGTCAGCCCACTAACAGACCCGCCTCCCAACATGAGTCGCGTTTTGAGTCGACTCAAAACAAACACGACTCATTGTTTGCGTAATTAGTCAGCCCACTAACAGACCCGCCTCCCAACATGAGTCGCGTTTTGAGTCGACTCAAAACAAACACGACTCATTGTTTGCGTAATTAGTCAGCCCACTAACAGACCCGCCTCCCAACATCCAGCCAGTGCAAAAGTTTGTCTCCATAGTAATAAAGAATCAGACCCCTTTTCATCACAACCTTCCCTCCCTACTGTTCGCAGTGATATCCGCAGCATTTGTGGCGGGAGTGGCCCTGTTTGCGGCATTGGTCAACCCACTCACAGACCCGCCTCTCTTCAACAGACCTATTGCATCATGCCACGTCACCCTTGGGTTCTGCAAGTGGCAGTGAAACAAGATGTTCTTTTACTTATATATCTGCTAGATATACCGTATTACGGTATCTGCAGGAGTGGTGCTGTTTACGGTATTGAACAGGTCAAGTGGATCACCAGCCCTCATACACCCACCCACCTCTCTTCAACAGGTCCAGTCCAGTGCCTCTACTGGGTTTTGCAACTGGTACCGGTAGTGATTTGTTGATTCACCCAACCCAACCCAACCCAACCCAACCCATCAAAGAGGCAGGCAAACCATCTCATTATCTCACACCAACCCATCTCTTCAACAAACCAAGTGCATCACCTCACCAACCAACCCACTTATACACCCCCACCTACCGTAACACCCCTCTCTCACCCACCACAGCATACCGTAGGAACACTTCATGCATTCAATTCAGGTAAGCAACGCATGCATCCTCAAAACGCATGTGAAGGGATACCGTATATTGCATCCTGACCAATTCAGGCACAGAACTGCAACACAAGCTTCGTTCTGTTCATACTGTACCGTATGCAACGTCGACTGAACTGTAGCATCAAAAGGCTTACATGACAAAATCATGCGATTGAGTCCGTACATAACAACACAACACTGACTTGAGTCCGACAATCTACACTACAGCATATCCCAAAAGCACCAACAGCTGTTTCTAATATAAGTGTCTCACAGGCACACAACCAAGATAGTAGAATTTGAAAAAGAATGCAAGAATTTGGCCAGTCCAGTCCAGCCTGACCCATGAACACAGGAAATGCAGACTTGAATCTTCAAGTACGGTAGTAGAAGAATGGGAGTGTAGTAGGTAGGTAGGGAGCAAGTGGCGTCGAACAGGACGACCTTCTCTGCTTCCTTTTCTGCTCCTAGTAATTCTTGGCGCAGCAAGCATGTGATGACAAGCAGTGGGTTGAGGAGCGGCAGTAGCCTGCAGCAGGCATGTGAAAAGAAGTGGGTTGAGGAGCAGCAGTAGCCTTCAGCAGGCATGCGAACTGCAGTGAAATGACGGAAGGCCACTTGAGACAACCACAACTGCACCTGCACGTGCAAAGGTGCGTCGTGGAGAGTGCATGGCAGGGGGAGCAAGCAGTGGCTTGATAAGAAACAGCAGTGGCTTGATAAGCACCAGCAGTGGCTTGATAAGCACCAGCAGTGGCTTGATAAGCACCAGCAGTGGCTTGATAAGCACCAGCAGTGGGTTTAGGAGCGGCAGTAGCCTGCAGGCATGCGAACTGCAGTGAAATGAAGAGGCCACCTGCAGTAACCACAACTGTGCCTGCACCTGCATCGTGGAGAGTGTGTGTTGGGGAGTGTAGTGGGTAGTGTGTGTTGGGGAGTGTAGTGGTGGGAGGGAAGTGCGTGGTGGGAGGGAAGTGCGTGGAAGGAGGGAAGTGCGTGGTGGGAGGGAAGTGCGTGGTGGGAGGGAAGTGCGTGGAGGGAGGGAAGTGCGTGGTGGGAGGGAAGTGCGTGGTGGAAGGGAAGTGCGTGGTGGGAGGGAAGTGCGTGGTTGGAGGGAAGTGCGTGGTGGGAGGGAAGTGCGTGGAGGGAGGGAAGTGCGTGGAGGGAGGGAAGTGCGTGGTGGGAGGGAAGTGCGTGGTGGGAGGGAAGTGCATGGTAGGGAGTGCGTGGTAGGGAGTGCGTGGTAGGGAGTGCGTGGTAGGGAGTGCGTGGTAGGGAGTGCGTGGTAGGGAGTGCGTGGTAGGGAGTGCGTGGTGGGAAGTGCGTGGTAGGGAGTGCGTGGTGGGAAGTGCGTGGTGGGAAGTGCGTGGTGGGAAGTGCGTGGTGGGAAGTGCGTGGTGGGAAGTGCGTGGTGGGAAGTGCGTGGTGGGAGGGAAGTGCATGGTAGGGAGTGCGTGATTGGTAGGGAGTGCGTGATTGGTGGGGAGTGCGTGATTGGTGGGGAGTGCGTGATTGGTGGGGAGTGCGTGATTGGTGGGGAGTGCGTGATTGGTGGGGAGTGCGTGATTGGTAGGGAGTGCGTGATTGGTAGGGAGTGCGTGATTGGTGGTGGTGGTGTCCTGAATATCGCATTTGTGAACCAGCCCCCCTCTCTCTCCCCTCCCTCCCCAAAAATATAAAATACAAGAACTTACTTGTGCATACGGTGAGAGGGAAACGGATGTACTCACCCATATCATAACGTCGTTCTTGCAGACCACTCCTCTTGCTCCTCATTCCGCACTCGCCTTCTCCTCTTGCTTCCCCTCCTCCTCCTTCTTATCCCCATCCTCTTTCTTCTCCTCCTCAGCTTTCTTCCCTGTCTCCTCATCCTCTTTCCCTTCCTTATCTTGCGCTGCCCCCTCCTCCTTCCCCTCCTTCCCCTCCTCCTTCCCCTCCTCCTTAGCCTCCTCCTTTGCCTCTGCAGCATCAGGACCTTTCTGGGAAGAATCCTTCCCCTTGCCGCCCTTATACTCGTTAATGAGCGACAGCAGCTCCTCTGTATGAGTCACGTCCTTAAAACGAAGCGCCAGCATCGTCAAACCAACTGCTGATGCTGCACCACCCCCTTCCTTCTCCTTCTCTTTCTCTTTCTCCTTCTCCTTCTCCTCACCGGTACTGTTCACACAAGCAAACGAAATTCCCCGCCCATCCATCCGGGTGACTTTCATATCCGGGAAAAGATTCGCGTTCAGAAGTAGACGGAAGTTGCCCTTCGCTCGCATCACCAGCCGAGCTGGCCGCTTCTCTGTTTTGGCCTTTTCTGCTGACGTGTCAGTCTCTTCCTTCTCTCCCTTCTCTCCCTCTTTCCCATCCGTTTCCTCCTCTTTCTTCTCCTCCTCCTTATCCTCTTTCTCTCCTCCCTTCTTCTCCTCCCCTTCCTTCTCCGTTGTCTCAGTCCCTTCCTTTTCTTCCTTCTCCTCCTTCCCCTCATCCCCCTTCTCCTCCCCCTGCCCCTCCCCCTCCTCTTCCGCCTGCACGTTTAGCCGAACTTCCCCCTTCCCCCGCTCCTTCCACTTCCCCCCCTCCCCGAATTCAAACAGCGTCGCATCCGCCGCGAAAACCGCGCGCTCCTTCTCCTCCCCCGTCGCCACGTGGACCGCCGACAGCGTGACAGCTGGCGCGCCGCTGCCAGCCCCGCTGCTGCTGCCAAACCCGATCCCCAGGCCCGGAGTCGCGCCGATCGCGCCGCTTGCGCTGCTCCCATTGGCTGTCGCCCCCGACCCGAATATGCTCGAAACGGCGGGGAAGATCGAAGAGCCGCCGCCGGTTGCGGCGGCGGAACCGGCGGCGGGGGATGCGGAGGTGGTGGCGGGGAAAGAGAAGGAGAACGCGGAGGAACCGGAAGAGGCGGAGGCGGCGGAAAAGGGGGACGCGAAGGCGGAAGAGGAGAAGGAGGCGAAACCTCCGCCGGAAGAGGCGGCGGTGGTGGAGGAGAGGAAAGGATTGAACCCCGGAGCCGCCTTGGCGAAACCCACGAACCCAGTCGGGCTTGCCGCTGCTCCCGCTGCTGCTCCCGCGTCATTCGCTCCCTCCGCCTTCGCCTCTTGCTTGTCGCTCTCCCCTGATCCTTCTTTCTCCGCCGCTGCCTTATCCTCTTTAGTGGCGTCTTCGCTAACCTTACCCTCTTCCGTTTTCTTCTCTCCCGCCAGGTCACCCTCCTTCGCAAAACCTTCCGCCGCCTTCTCCTCCTCCGCACCGTCGGATCGAGCTTTCTTCGCGCGCTTGCCGCCAGAACTCACCTCCTCCGTCCCCTCCTCCTCCGCCTGCTCCTTCGCTTCCGCCACGTCGGACCCGCCTGCCACGTCAGCAGCCGCCGGAGCCGGTTTTTCCGGCGGCGCAGCGGCGGCAGGAGCGGCGGGGGAGGGAGAAGCACCGGCGCCTCCCGCGGGCCTGCGCGCTTTAACGATGCGTCGAGTCGCCATTACCTCGGTAGTGGCTTTCTGAAACCCTCCCGCAAAGGGGTTTGAGCCTGATGGCTCCTCGTTGTCTTCTTCCTGAAAATCGTCCTTCGTGATTTGCCGCTCCGACGTGCGCTTCTTATTCGGCGGCGACATTTCCGACGACATTTTTCGCGTCCCGAATTTGTGGGAAATTTGTCGCAGATTTCGTCGCAGTTTGCACTGGTCGGGAAACCAGTCGAACACTAGCGAAACACACGGAAAATGTTGATACGCTTACAACGCAACGACTTCAGATCACGGAAGCTGGGAAACCACGAATGGGCTCCGCAAACATTGGCGGTAGGACGGACCAGCCTCCTAGAGAATAAAAAGCTGGTGGGGGGAAGGGAGAAAAATGAGCAAACTCCGGAATCTAAGGGAAAAAGCTGCAGGCTGGGGGGTGTTCTTGTATAAGGAGTTGGCTCTTGTGGGTTTGATTGAACCAGGTGGGTACGATTGTATAAAAAAAGATAATGTGCTTCAATGAGAGAAAAGGGAGGATCTGTTCGTATATAGAGCTCTTGTCACAAAAAAGCGACGCTGTACGGAAAGCCAAAGGAGTCGTTTTTTACCTATTTTCCTGCTCAGCATCATAAAGTGAGTGTTATATTTCTCAGATCTACAAAGAACTTCACATCGACTTTTTGTTTCCTGCGCAATAGCGACGCACGTTTTGAAGAGTACAACGCGAAATTATTTTCACCACCCCAGTCAGGCTTGCAGCCAAGCCATAGCTTAGCCTAGTAAGCTTAGGTCAGCACAGGTCAAGAACGCCGCATTCTACGCTTAGCGATTAGCACTCGGCTAACACTCGCAAATCCACCCGTCAACGGCCAGGCAACGACCAGGCGACGACCAGGCGGCGACCAGACGACAACCAGGCGACGATCAGGCGACGGCCAGGCGAGAACCGCGTCCCAGAAACAAACATGGACGCTCGGGGGGGGGGTCGTGGGACTTGCGGGGGTCGCGGGCGTGGTCGCGCGAGAGGCAAGCGAGGCGGCGAGTCTGACGCAGGCGACGGGTCCACGGTCGCTCCCAAGGCTCGCAGGTCCGGGTGCCCCGAAGCTCTTAGGTTCGGATGCGTCAATCTGCTCAGCAGCATTGGGGGTTGGCTTTACACCGGTTTCACCTAATAATTGATAGAGCCTCTCGCTCACCCCCTTTTCTTATTCTTATTCTTCGTCTTCTTCCTCTTCCATTTCCACATCGGTGTAAAATAGAATATGGAGCAGCCAAAATTTCAATGAAGTGACGCTGTTGCTGTTTCTCAGTCCGTCGCTTCATTCTTCTCTCTGGCTCACCCCACTCCGTTCCCACTCAGTCGCAAATACGATTTGGATTATCTGGTGCGCGAGTCCCTTATCTGAGGCGCCTTAAAATTCTTCTCTCTTGCTCACCGCACTGCACTCCCTTCCACTCAGTCGAAAATACGATTTGGATTATCTGGTGCGCGAGTCCCTTGAAGCGAAGGAGCTTAAAGCGAAATGGGCTGCAGCTGCTGCTGCGAGGAAGGCAGAGGAAGAGGAGAAGAAGAGGGGGGAGGCTGGGGATGGGGGAGAAGAGGGGGAAGTGGAGTGGGGAGGGGAAGGCGGGGAGAAGGGAAGGAAGAGGAAACTGGAGGGGAGGAACGGGGGTAACGAGGAGGAGGAGAGGGAGACGATTGAGGATGGAGGGAGAGGAATAGGGAGAGGAAGAGGGAGAGGAAGAGGGAGCGAGAGAGGCAGAGGGAAGGGAAAGGATGCTCCGGCTGCTGCTACAGCTTTCGAGGCGCCTCAAAAGTCGGCTGCTGCTGCTACAGCGGCTACCACCGCGATTGGCGGCAGGAGAAGAGGGAGAAGCGCCTCTGTGAAGGGTATAGTTGAGGGGGAAGACGCAGAGAGGGGAGGAGCAGAGGGACCAGACGGTTGGATGGCAATTGACAAGGTAGCTGGTACTTGTGGTGCGGAGGGGGAGGAGGAGAAGGAGGGGGAGGAGGGAAATGCGGGAGTGAAAGGGAGGTGGGGACGCACGGGGAGAAGAAGAGGTAGGATTGGGGGTGAGGAAAAGGAGGAGAAAGTGGGAGAGAGAAAGGAGGGGGAGGGAGAGGAGGAAGAGGAAGGAGGAGAGGAGGAGAAAAGAGAGGAGGAGAGCAGGGAGGAGGAGGAGGAGGAAGAGGAGGAGGGGATGGAGTGGTTGGGTGGGTTTGGAGGAACGAGAATGGAGGGGAGGAGGCACAAGGAGGAGAGGGCGAAGGTGGAGGTGGGGGAGGAGGGGGAGGGGGATAGTGAGGGGGACGAGGAGCACAGGGCGCTGCATGCGGCGTTGAAGGAAGTGCAGACGGCAGTGGATAGCTGTCAGCAGGTAACATGGCAAGGGAGGAATGGTGAGGTAGGGTGTTGGTGAGGTAGTTCAAGTAGTGAAGAGTGGGGGGAACGAGGAGCACAAGGTGCTGAATGCCCCGTCTCCCCTCCGCCCACCGTGTGCCTCACCCTATTGACTTTTGAGTCGACTCAAAAATCAACTTGGTGAGGTAGGGTGTTGGTGAGGTGGTTCAAGTAGTGAGGAGTGGGGGGGACGAGGAGCACAGGGCGCTGCATGCCTCGTCTCCCCTCCGCCCACCGTGTGCCTCACCCTCATGCCCTCCTTTCTCAGCTGGTGGGGACACATGGCTTGCCCCTCCGTGACAATCTTATCGCTCTTCATCATGCCTCCACAACTTTTGAGAAGTCTCAACCGTTGTGTGCTCTGCTGTATGCTGCTCCCCTCTCAACTGGTGGAGGCGCATGGCATGGCATGCCGCTGTGCAACCATCACATCGCTCTTCATCATGCCTCCTCTCAACTTCTGAGAATTCTCAACCATTGTGTGCTCTGCTGTATGCTGCTCCCCTCTCAACTGGTGGAGGCGCCGCAGTGCAACCATCTCATCGCTCTTCATCATGCCTCCTCTCAACTTCTGAGAATTCTCAACCATTGTGTGCTCTGCTGTATGCTGCTCCCCTCTCAACTGGTGGAGGCGCATGGCATGGCATGCCGCTGTGCAACCATCTCATCGCTCTTCATCATGCCTCCTCTCAACTTCTGAGAATTCTCAACCATTGTGTGCTCTGCTGTATGCTGCTCCCCTCTCAACTGGTGGAGGCGCATGGCATGGCATGCCGCTGTGCAACCATCTCATCGCTCTTCATCATGCCTCCTCTCAACTTCTGAGAATTCTCAGCCATTCTGTGCTCTGCTGTACGCTGCTCCCCCATGCTCCCCCATCAGCTGGTGGAGGCGCATGGCTTGCCCCTCCGTGACCATCTCATCTCCCTTCACCAGGCCTCCTCTACCGCTGCTGCTCTGAAATTCTCTCATGCCCTTGTTGTGACCATCCCATGCTCCCCCATCAGCTGGTGGAGGCGCATGGCTTGCCCCTCCGTCACCATCTCATCTCTCTTCATCGTGCCTCCTCAACCGCTGCTGTTTCTGCTGCTCCTGCTATATGCCAGTCACCCTGTCCCCTCGCAATCCCCCCCCTCCCCCTGCCTTGTGCCTCGCCCCCATGCTCCCCCATCAGCTGGTGGAAGCGCACGGCTTGCCCCTCCGTGACCATCTCATCTCTCTTCATCATGCCTCCTCAGCCGCTGCTGCTGCTGCTGCTGCTGCCGCCGCCGCTGGTGCCGCTGGTTTCATCCCCTTCAGTATCCTCCGCCGCTACAGTGCTTGTGTGTGTGAATCCCAGGGTACGTGAGGCTCTTGAGTCTACTAAAGTTGCTCGTGTCCACGGGTTTCAGGATATGCAGAGTTTTGAGACGTCTCAAAACGAGACGTCTCAGAACTTGTGTGCTCTGCACGGGTTTCAGGATATGCAGAGTTCATACTTGTTCATCAGTGTGTGCGTTAACAAATTCCAGGGCGTGCGAGAAGGCATGACTGATCACCATGGCTCCTTGTTTACGATGCTTCTCATGCTCCTACATACCCCTCAGTATTCCTGTAAATCCCTGCATACCCCTCAGTATTCCTGTAAATCCCTGCATACCTCCCTTCACGCCTCTTCTTAACCCCTCCACCAACAGGTGTTCACCGGTCACGTGGACCCTCGCTATATTCGCAGATTCCAAGATCAGTGTGAGCCAGGTACAGGCGCAGGCAGAGGGGCAGCAGCTGGGAATGCGAACCTGGTAGAGACACAAGAGGAAGCAGCAGGGGGGGCAGCAGAACAGACAGCAAGAGCAGCAGTATCAGCAGCAACATTACCCACATCAGATCCTGCTGCAACTCTTGGTGCTGACCTCGCTCTCCTTTCTGCACATAAGTTCGCATCCCTGCTCGCCTCTGGCCTTCTGCCGGGCCTCCTACGGGCAAAAAGTGTGCAGCGGTTGAAAAGAGTCTCGGCAGGAAACGGGGGAGGCATACAGGGGGAGGGGAAGCGGGCGAAGGGGGTGAAGGGGGAGGAAGGGGTAGATGCAAGGGAGGGAACGAAGAAGGACGGGGAGGAGCAGCTGTCTGCTGGTTCAAGAGTCAGTGGGGCGCTCCTGAGGCGAGTCTTTGCAGAGAGTGAGTAAATACCTCTTGCTCCTTAGCGAGTACATACTCCCTGCTTTCCATAGTGTGAATTTTTTCTCATGCAATGCGACCACCATCACGACCAGCTTTTGAGGCGCCTCAAAATGCACCTCACTACACTGTGATTTCAATACTCCCTGCTTTCCATTGTGTGGATATTATATTTTCCCATGCAATGCGACCACCATCACGACCAGCATCAGAAGCAGGGCGACTTTTGAGTCGACAATGAAACATCCCTCCGTTCTCGCTTCTCCCCTCCCCCCCTGTGCAGTGGTTTTTTCCAGCAACGACCAGGTCGACACTGCAGCCTGCTCCCTGCTCTGCGACCTTGCTCTCGCCCTTAACCCTCCCCCTCCCCTCTACATCCTTCCCCATTCCCCCTCCATGCTTCTCCCAGTGATTCTCTCCAGAAGTGACCAGGTCGACACTGCAGCCTGCTCCCTTCTCTGTGACCTTGCTCTCGCACCATCGCCATCAGCATCAGAACCAGGGGCAGGAGCAGAAGCACAAGCAGCAACAGCAGCAGCAGCAACTGAAGGTGCAGGGCCAGCAGCAGATGCACAGCAAGCAGAGTTGCAGCAAGTGCTGCCCTTCCTCTTCTCCCCAACCACGGGCCTCTCTCCTCCCTCCCTCCCTATCCTCGGTTCATCCCACTTCCCCTTCCCCTCTGCCTCCTCCTCTCTCCAACCCCCCTTCACCCCCCCACCCTCCTCACATACCGCCTCCCCGCTGCCTCCCCTGGCTCCTGATTGGCTCCCGGGGTACGCTGACGTGGCAGCAGCGCTGCTGGCCGTTGGATTCTCCCCATCTCTCCTTAACAGAGATCAAGCGGCCATGAATAGCAGTACACACATGGCTTCTGATGTGCACACACCTGATCCACAGTCACCACCCTCTGCTGACGCTGCCGCTGTTGCTGCTTCTGCCTCTGCTGCTGATGCGGATGCCACTCCTTTGCCAGATGCTGCTGGCGTGGCACCTTCTAATTCCCTAACCAATGTATCATCCGCGCTGGCCTCCCCAAGTCCATCGATCCCCATCCAAGGCGTGGTATCAACTCGATTCCACAAAATGGACCTTCTCCTGAAAACCATCACTGCACTCTGCATTGGCCAGTCATTCTCCACAACAAATGTTTCCTCTTCACTATCCCAGGCCCACCTAGCTCTGCTCTTCCTGCACGTGCCTCACCTCCTGGCTGACCACTCCCACCTGCTGCCGCTGCACACTGCAGCGCTTAGAGCCCTCTCTGCCATTGCTGCTTGCAGCAGCAGCAGAAGCAGTGAAGAGGGCTGCCCGGGGATTCTAACAGAGGATCAGTTTGCCCACCGCCTGCTGTGGTGAGTGCGGGGCTGTACTCATGTGCATGTGAGAAAGCACGTGTGCATGTGCGGTAAGTGACATCGTGGGCCACACCACGCTTTCTCTCAATAGTGGTTTCTCCTCCCACGTATTCACTAATGAAACCGGTGCGTCTTTTAGCCGATGCTGACTATCGTCGTCCCCCCCCTTCCCCTCCCTATCTCACCTTCTTGATCCCTCTCTCACCCTCTCTCACCCTCTCTCACTCCAGGGCCATGGCAGCTGATCCAGTCTCCCTGCATACCACACCACCTTCACCCAACGTTGTCTCCCATGTGGCACCGTCCACCAGTCACACTCCGCCACCTGGCAAGCACTGGTGGCTGGCAGCGCTCCCGCTCGTCCTCGCCCTCCCTGCTGCCTCGCCTGCCTGCTCTCGCTTTCGCCTCCGTTGTGCTGCACTCATGCTACATCTCATGGTGAGCTGTTCAATCACTAAGTGATGCTGATGGTGAGTGTGTTTTCAAAGGTACCTCTCCCTCTCGTCCTCGCCCTCCCTTATGCCTCGCCTGCTTGCTTGCTCCCGCTTCCGCCTCCGCTGTGCTGCACTCATGGTGCACCTCATGGTGAGTTGCACAATCACTAAGTGATGCTGATGGTGAGTGTGTTTTCAAAGGCACCGCTCCCTCTCGTCCTCGCCCTCCCTTATGCCTCGCCTGCTTGCTTGCTCCCGCTTCCGCCTCTGCTTTGATGCACTCATGGGGAGTTGCACAATCACAGAGTGCCTCTGACGCTCATTGTATTCAAAGGCACCTCTCCCGCTCGTCCTCGCCCTCCTTTATGCCTCTCCTGCTTGCTCTCGCTTCCGCTACCGCTGTGCTGCCGTCATGCTGCACCTCATGGTGAGTCACGACTCCAAGAAGTGAGCTGATGGTAAATTCAGAGGTGCCACTCCCGCTAGTCCTCTCCTGCTCGTCCTCTCAACCTCCTTTCCGCCTTCCCTGACTCCCCGTCTCGGTTTTGAGATGTCTCAACTCAAAGCTCAACGCACACTTCTGTCTTCTCAAATTTTGAGGTGTCATCATCAACCTGCCGCTTCTCTGTCTCTCTCACCTCCCCTCTTGCAGGAGAAAGGGGAGGTACCGTCACCTGCTGCCATTCCCACTCCGCCACCCATCCAGCTGTCAGCAGATCAGATCATATCCTCCTTCGTATCAAATCCCGCCAACAAGCCCACCTCCCCCGGATGCGACCTCCCCCTGCTGCTGCACAAGCTCTACCTCCTCGACGTGTGCCTCGGCCAATCGCAGCCCGCCACGTCAGTGCACGCCATGCGGGCGTGGCTGACGTGGCTGCAGGCTGCTGCAACCAAGCTGTCCACCACAGACACGAGGACAGGCGCAGGCCAGGTAAAAACTGGTTGCACTTAGGTCTTGCATTGAAACAGTACAGAACATTCTTACTCATACGTATCCATTACCGTATCTCTTCTGTATTCTCTCTGTGCTGATTAGGTACGGCATTGGGCGTTTTTCCTTCGGACGAAGCATCGCGTACTGGCCTCCCAGCTTTAGCTCACCTCACACTGACAGTTGCCTCAGGGAAAGCTGTAGTTAATCTACTAATCGTAAATCATCTGCATTGTTCGTGAATCTGGTGTTGGGTGCACACATGCACCCTCCTGTTATGAAAAATACCACTTGGAATTACAGGGGCTTCAGATGGTTCTGAAAGTTGGTCAACCCTAAATACAGAAGGGTGATGGTTAATGAAGTTGACTGAGGTTAACCCTGACAACCTCATAATGGCGGTGGAGGAGGGACTTCACCCCATGCAGCTTCCAGCAAGTGCCCAGTGCTTCCATGTGACCCCATAACTAGCAGTTGACCAGGTGACTGAGGTCAACCCTGAAGAACTCGTAGTGGTGGTTGAGTGACTTGACCCCATGCAGCTTCCAGCAGCTGCCCAGCGCTCCCAGGTGACCAGAGTGCCATACAGTTGACCCAGGTCAAACCTCTAAACTTATGGCGGTGACAGTTGACCGAGGTCAATTCTGAAGACCTCGTAGTGGTGGTTGAGGGACTTCACCCCATGCAGATTCCAGCATCCCCCCTTTGCTCCCAGGTGACCAGAATGGCAGACAGTTGACCCAGGTCAAACCTCAAAACGTCACACTGATGGTTGTTGAACAAACTGTTGACTCAAGTCAACCCTGAACACCTCGTAGTGGTGGTTGAGGGACTTCACCCCATGCAGCTTCCAACAGCTGCCCACCGCTCCCAGATGAACCCAGATCTTGCAGTTGACTCAGGTCAACCCTGAAAGTCTCTTGGTGGATATCATAGTGGCGGTTGACTGAACAGTTGACCAAGGTCAACCCTGAACACCTCGTAGTGATGGTTGAGGGACTTTACTCCATGCAGCTTCCAGCAGCTGCCCAGCGCTCCAAGCCCACCCTGAACACCTTTGTAGTGGGTAGCATAGTGGCGATTGCATAAGCATTCAATTCATGCCACCCTGCAACGCCTCATGCTGCTTGTTGATTGAACAGTTGACCAAGGTCAACTCTGAACACCTCGTAGTGGTGGTTGAGGGACTTCACTCCATGCAGCTTCCAGCAGCTGCCCAGCGCTCCTCCCTGCAAGTTTGGAATGGCGTAGAATACTCGGCGCACCCGCTGATGCACCAACGCCATTGCACACCTGGGAGGGGGAGGAGAGGGAAGAAAGGGAGCGTCGGTTGGGAAGAATGAGGCTAGTGCAGAGAGCCCCTAATTTGTGCACTGGGAATGGCGTAGAAGACTCGGCGCACGCGCTGATGCACCAATGCCATTGCACGCCTGGGCGGGAGAGGGGATAGTGGGAGTATCAATATGGGATAATGGAAGTCATGCGTAAGAGGTACGCATCCTTCGAATACTACCTTAACAGGCAATCATGCAAAGAACTCGCTCACTTGATGCACGTGTAAGTAGACGAGTCTCAAAATTTCTAACAGGCAATTATGCAAAGGAGTTACTCACATGATGCATGGCTCATGCAGCATGAAGGCATCGAAGCCTGTGCAGAGGTACGGGCGGACAGCAGCGCACGGAGGTGCATTTGGAGGGACAGCTGAGTGCGCTGCTTCACTTGGCGTCTGGACCTGTGTGGAGCAGAATGAGGGAGTCGAATCGAAGGGAAAAGGCAAGTGAGACGAGAGAGATCCTGTGTTTTGAGACGGCTCAGAAGTTGTTCAGTCGATGTCTACGCCTGGTTGAAACAGAACGAGAGAGATAAAAAGGGCAAACGAGTGCACTCCGAGAAAACAGGGTGTATGAAGAGGTGGTGTGGTGTGGAGAAGAGCACAAAGACAGACAGCAACAAGGAGAAAGCAAATACTATCCATAACCGCTCCCACCACGCCCATCCCTCCAACCACTCACATTATTGCCCTTTTGCCTTTTCAAAGGAGGCGACTTGCCATCTCCCTTCACTTCCACGCCCGCTTCCCTCCTCACCTCGTCCCCTTCCACCTCTAGGTTGCCTCTTTGCTTCTCTCCTTGCTGTTGCTCCTCTTCTCTCTGCTCCCCTTCCCCCTGCTCCCCTTCTCTCTCCGTCTCTTCCCGCTCTGCTGCCTCAGAACCATCCCTCCCTAGAAAACTCCCCCTTGACCCCTCCCCACCACCATCCATGAACAGTGTTTTGTCCTGTGCTGCCTCACTGGGGAACAGTGCCCTATCCCGGGCGGCAGCAGCAGCAATCGCAGACATCACCGCATGCCCCAGAGGGTGACCCAACCTCCCATGTGCAGATTTCTTCTTCCTGCCATAGGTGCTTGCATATGGATTGCTGCACATGCTTCTTCCCATGCTTGCACATGGATTGCAGTTCTTCGCGGCTTGTTTGCATGGTGATTTTGTTATTGTTGTTGACGTTGCTGTCGTTGGTGTTGCAACTGCTGCTGTGGTTGCAGGTGTTGCTGTGGCTTCTGTGGTTCTTGTTGTCTCGGCTGCTGTGCAGTGCGCCTTTCTCATCTTCTTCATTCGCTGAATGGTGGACGCGGAGGGGTTTTGCGCAGAAGCCAGAATTTGCCCATTGCTAGGGTCAGCTATTACAGCCATATTGAACCCCTGAAAAAGAGACGGCGAGAAATAGCAAGAATGGGGGCCAGAGGGAGAGGCAACGGGGTGAGGGGGAGAGGATAGGGGGGAAGTGGAAGAGAGAACGGGATGAGTTGGAGGGAGATGAATCGGGATGAGTGGGAAGAGATGTAGAACGGAAAGGGGAGAGGAGGGAGGGAGGGAGGGTTTTGGAAGGAAAAGCGATGGGGAAAAAGAAAGGGAGAGAAAGAAATGCCAGAAGATGCCTCATGACAAGCCAGAAGATGTAGCAGGGGCGCACCTCGACACAGCATGGCCGCAGCAACCCCTCATGCTGCACACTCAACGGTTCAGTGCGGTCACACGAATTGCTCTGATGCAGCCTCCCATGCCCCTCCTCCTCCTTGTGCCTCCCATCCACAGCCTCCCTTTGCCTCTCCTCTCTCACCCCCCTCTCCACACTCTCTTCCCTCAGCCCCTTCTCCTCGCTCTCCTCTCCTCCATCCCCTTCGCCCCTCAATTCTCTGCCTCCATCCTTCACTTCACATGTAGTCACATGCGCACAAGCTTCGTTGCCCGCTCTGCCCTCACATGCATTTACCGCCTTCTCTACAATCACATGGAAGCACTGCTGGATGTATGTGGCTGTAGCCGGTGTGATAGTGGTGGGGGGAGCAGCAGCGCCACTGCCAGGCCTGGTTGGGAGAAACGGGCAGAACGATGAACCATGGCAGTCTGTTGGAGAATGGTTGCTACACTAGCCGGGAAAAAAACAAAAAAAAAAAAAGAGGGTAAAGGAAAACAAAGGTGTTGATACCGATTAGCTGCAGATGCAAGCAGCAGGAACATGCCAGAGGTTTTGTGAAGAGCTGCATTCATAGTGGGATTCATCCCTCCACGTGCCAGGCTAGCACGAAGGGCGAAGACGAGGTTTTGGGGTTTGATTGCGGGTAGAGAGAAAACTATTGAGGCGCCTCAAAACACGTGCCAGACGAACATCAAGGGCGGAGATGAGGTTTCGGGTTGAATGAAAGTAGCAGCACGCACAGCGGTGGGTGGAAGGACGTGGGCCAGACTGACTGCTGCTGCTGCCACCGCTCCTTGGTGCGAGGGGCGTGAGCCGGCACCTGCCACGCGCACAAAATTCACAGTGAGTCACAATACGAGCATAATGAACAATATGAACGTAACGAACAATATAAAAATAACGAGCAAAATGAGCATAACAAAGAAAATAAACATCACAAACAATATGAACAACGAACAGCAGACCCACCTGAGTTACAACAGGCTCCACTGTGCTGTGTCATCAGCTGCTTTTGAGGGCCTCAAAAGTCCAATTTCTACCCGCTTTTTTTTTATGTTATATTGGAATTTTGCTGCTTGGAAATGTGCATGTAACCCACCCGAGTTACAACGGGCTCCAGCCCGTGCTGTGACACCAGCTGCTGCAGTGGCTCGGGGAGAGCCAATGGATCGCTGCCAGGTGTCAGCACGACGTGCAGCGAGACGGCTCGGCCTGGAGGAGGAAGGAAGGAAGGAAGAGACATATGGTATGATGAATCTGTTTTTTGAGAATTCTATAAAAACAAGTTCTTGAGGCACTTCAAAAAGTGAAGGAAGTGACACGCAGCGTGACATGCGCACTCGCTCTCACTCTTACACTTACTCTTCCACGATGCATCTCCCTCTCCCCGTCACCCCGTTCCCCCCATGCCTTATCCTCTCACCTTCCCCTGTCCGTCGAACTCTCTTCACGTGGTGAAAATCCCGCAGGGGTGCCACTGATGCCAGCTGCCTAGGTCGGGTCAGGGGTGGGGGAGGGGGGGGCGAAGAAGGGGCGGGGATGTGTGTGGGGGGGACTTTTGAGTCGACTCAAAGCTGTCACACTCTCTTCTCTTCACGTGGTGAAAATCCCGCAGGGTGCCACTGATGCCAGCTGCCTAGTCGGGTCAGGGGTGGGGGAAGGGGTGGGGAGAGCTGTGTGGGGAGGTGGTGGGGGTGGGGAAGTGAGCGCTAGGGAAGATGGCAAACACACATAGGAGGAAAAGGGGAGCGTCGGTTCTGAACTGCTCGCCAAATGCTGAAGCCCGTGCAGTGGGGCTACTGACGCATTTTTTGAAATTATGCAAGTGAAATGACGATGATAGAGGGATATATACAAGGGCAACATATGAGATGGGAACTACTCTAACAAGTGGGAGAAACATTATCAAATGGAAAGATAAGATTACCAAACAAGCAGTTTTTTTAGGATTTGCCTATCAGCAGACCCACCTGATGCTGGTCAGCTTGATCAGTTAGTAAGTTGGTTTTTCAGATTTAACTGATGAACAACCACCTGATCAACCACCTGACTATCATAGAAGTCCTGATGATGCTGATCGTGTCAAGTCAACTCACTTTATTAACTTATTCGCAAGTGCAGGCTTCACCTCCGCCACCACAACCGGGACTGCCAATAACGAGGAAAAGAACGAACAAGGTCGATTGTTACTGCTCGGAAATCAGTGGGACCTATCCAAAGAAACGCAAGGCCGCATCTCGCGCAAAGCACAGGAGCTGTGCACTTTTGAGCATCCCAGGGTAGGAAACGCCGTTTCCATGAACTGAAAAGCACGACTCCGAGTTATGGGTTAGACGACCAATAACTCTTTCGATCGATCTTCTCTTCGTCATTACGCAAGCCTGGAAGCTTTTTTCTTTCGATCTTCTCTTCGTCATTACCTTCTGTGAGATACTCAATGCTGTGAGCGCGCTGCCATTTTTACGCCTCGTGAAATGCTTAATGCTGCGAGCGAGCGCGCTACCTACCTGTGGCATCGTGCGGTGGTTCGTCCTCGCCGGGAATATGCTGCAGCCACGGCGGCAGCACATCCTGCTGCTGCTGATTCGCTTGTGCCGCCATCGCGCCGCTTGCTGCTGTAATCTCTAGCGCGACGCGAGTAAAACAGATTCCGACGACGGGTACTTAGGTACTACGTAGGTAGCGATTCGCGAGAGGTGCTGCTGAATTGCTGTGATCATTGTTTGTGACAGAATCCAGCTTCCTTGGGAGTAGCCTGAGGTGATTAAGGAGCCCAGGGCGCATTTGGTGTTTCGGTCTAACCGTTTCCTCAGCTTTGAAGTTGTTCGTTATACTGTAACACAGTGTTCGTGTCACTTTGCAAGTGCCACTGAGCAATACCTTCCCGGGTTCTGTCTGCACGTTCCAAATTGGTGAACCCTAACACCAATCATCTCAACCATTACGCACCTTATTTAAAGCTCCAGTATACATTTGTCAGTGAGGTTCAGGGTTTTTTATTGTGCCTCACAGTTTTGGGGCAACTTTTCAAGTTCCTAAGGATTTTGAGCCCCTACTTTCAAATGTATACCGGAGCTTTAACCAGACTAAACGCGTCACACACAAAAATGTGATGTGTCCCGCTCAGACGCGAGGGGCTGCTCTTTGTTACAGAATACAACTGATTCCATATAACGGGAGCCTAAAAGAAGTCATCAACACCACCCGCTCAAATTAGGGGTGCTTCTCGTGCTTACTCTCGTGGCGCTTCACTGCACCCCTTTTGCTCCCACTTGCCACTTCTGGGGGGCTTGGGTTGGGTTGGGAGGGACCCGACTAGCGTCTATTCGTGTGACCGTGTTTAGTCGAGTCCAGTCTTGAGTAGCAGTGACTGTTTTTGTGACGACGAGGGCTTCGTCTCTTAGTGTGGCACGCGTATTTTCAGCCGTGTTCCCTGTTGTCCCCTTGTTCGCGTCGTGCTCAATAGCTACCGAATAGTTACCCAATAGTTAGCCAATAGTGGTCGAGTCGCGAGCTACTTACTTTGCCACTAACACTGCAATGGAGCGGTCTAAGCGGAGGCGAGTCGCCGTGAACTACGCCAAGCTGGCCGCGGGGGTTCAGGCGGAAGAATCGGACGAGGAGGAGGAAGAAGAGAAGGGAAAGAAGGGGAAGAAAGAGAAAAACGAGACGAAACAGAGGTCGAAACGTGGCGGACGCGGTTTGGTCGCGGCTGCGAGCCTTGCAGCTGCCACGCCGTCCGCTAGTTCCAGGGCGCGGCGCGCGCGCGGAGGGGGAAGTTCTGGCGCGGGGGAGAGCTCCGCGAGCCAGGCGGTAATTGGCGGGCGAAGGGTGGGGTTGCGCGTTCTGACCACGCGGAAAACGGGGGGAGCGGAGGCTGCAGCGGCAGAGGAAGTGGAGGAGGAGGACGTGGATGGGGAGGGGGAGGGAGGCATGGGAAAGGTGAAGAGGAAGAGACGAACCAAGAGTGTGGCGGATTTGAGGTGAGAGTGGGCCTCTTGACTCATTGCGAAAGCACAGCAGAAACGCAGTTTGGAAAGCACTTAAGCAACAAAGAGGAACCCTTGGGGCTTTGACGAAGAAGAGACGAACCACAAGTGTGCCGGATTTGAGGTGAGAATAAGGAGAGAAAAGACGAGAGCAGGGAGTATTAGAGTGCGACAAGAAAAGGCGTCACAAGCCTCATTCCCCCAGCCCCACATGCCCCCAACCCCCTCCCGTGTCACTTTCCGAAACAGTATCTCCTTTTTTTTTTTTTTTTTTTTTTTTTGCTTTATATTTGCCCTTTTCTCTCTCTCAGTCTGTCCTCTGTTTTTCCATTCTCCTTCCTTTCCTGTTGCTGCCTTCCCTTGCGATCGCACCGCACCTGTGGGAATAATCCTCGGCAGTCAACCAACGGGTCCAAGAGGTCGGGGGCAGGGACGAGCAGTGATGGAAGAAGCTGGGGATGGTGATCATGGCGGCGGTGGGAATGGGGATGGGGAAGAGGATGACATTGAAAGAACAGAAGAGGAGGCAGAAGCGGTTCAAGATGCGGACTATGATTCTGATGTGAGTTTCCTGCCTGGTGCAACAAAGGCTGAAGATGGGAATGGGGATGATGGTGGTGATGAGAATGGGGATGATGGGAATGACAGTGAGCGAAGGAGGGGGGAGGTCGAAGCGACACAAGATGCAGACTACGATTCTGATGTGAGTTTCCTTTTCCTGCATGTTTGCCTTGATACCATTCCTGGGTTAAAAAAAAAAAAAAAAAAAATGATGTGGCTTTGGTTTACATGCTTCATGTGGCTCCGCTCCTCCTCTCCATTTTACTCCACGAGACGGACTGTTGGATTCTTAACCTTACCCTAGAACAGTCCCATCCCATCCCATCCCATCCCATCATATACCCAAAGTGAGAGCATGCCTGCGTGTATGAAGAAGGGTATGCTGACCGCAGGCATGCTCTCAAAACACTTCTTCATACTCGAGAGTATGCCTGCGGTCAGCATTCTCAAAAGTGCACCCAGGAACCCACTTTTCTTCTGCTCCTGGTCTGAGTAAGCGTGTTCCCTTGCTGTTCCTCCGTCCAGGATTTTCGTCCCCAGGATCAAGAGCAGGAGAAGGAGCAGGAGCAGGCGGAGGAGGAGGAAGAGCAAGAAAACGAAGAGGAGGAGGCACGAGTGGTGCTGGTTAGAAGGCCTCGCTCCACTGCTGCAGCACCAGGAGCAGCAGTTTCAATTGGACGCACGAAAATGCCTGTGGGAGCATCAGTGACCAAAAATAACAAGAGAAAGGGTCCGAGCAAGAGAGGGGCGCTGGCTAATGGGCCTGGCGCTCTGAAACGCAAGAGTAGGCTCAAGCAACTGGAGGAGGAAGAGGAGGAGGATGATGAGGAGGAAGAGGAGGTGGGGCAGGAGGAGGGAACGGGACAGAACGGGGGGATGCAAGGGGGAGGAGGGGAAGATGAGGAGGGGGACGAGGAGGAAGAAGGGGAAGAGGAGGAGGAAGAGGAGGAGGATTTATTGGGTATAGGTGTGGATGAGGACGAGTCTGAAGACTTTATTCCAGGGCTGGAGAAGGAAGGACAGGAGGAGGAGCAGGAGGAGGAGGAGGAGATGGGGGACGAAGAGGAGATGGGTGGGGAGGGCGAGGGGAGTGGGGAGAGGGGAGGAGGAAAGAAGCAGGGGAAAGGATCACGACAGTTGATGGGGCCGGTATGTGCTGCTACTGCCTTGTTCTGCCTTGTGTTGTGCTTCAATGAGGTGGGTTTTGATTTGCCTCAAAACTCGGATCACGACAGTTGATGGGGCCAGTATGTGCTGCTGCTGCCTTGTGCTGTGCTTCAATTCGTTTCTGCGCCCTTCAGGGTTTAGGATCCCTCTCCAAGCCTCTCACCTCTCTCTCTTCTGAGTCGACTCAAAAGCCCCTCACCTCTCTCTCTTCTGAGTCGACTCAAAAGCCCCTCACCTCTCTCTCTTCTGAGTCGACTCAAAAGCCCCTCACCTCTCTCTCTTCTGAGTCGACTCAAAATGTGCCGTGTGCCATTGTAACAAGGTGACTTTTGAGTCGACTCAAAAGCCCCTCACCTCTCTCTCTTCTTCCCCACATCTACCCCGAATTTATTGTTCCCCTCTCACTGCAGCCACCACCTAAGCCCTTCCGCTCTCGTTCCCTTGCCAAGCCCCTCATCTCTCTCTCCTCTTCCCCGTCCATCCCCAATCTGCTGTTTCTCCACCACTGCAGCCACCATCCCGGCAACCGTTCCCCAAGGCCCGCTCCCAGCTTGTTTCAACACCCTTCCGCTCCCATTCCCTCTCCAACCCCCTCACCTCTCTCTGTCCTCCCCCTTACCAATTCCGTATTTGCTGTTTCTCTATCCCTGCAGCCACCATCTCGGCAACCGTTCCCCAAGGCCCACTCCCAGCTGGTTTCAACACCCTTCCGCTCCCATTCCCTCTCCAAGGCCTCGCTGCCCCACTCGGCCTCGCTCCCTGCCTCGCGGGCTTTCCCTTGCTCAACCATCAGCCTCGGCAGCAGTGGGAGGGGCGGCAGCAGCAGCTTTGGCAGTGGTGGTATCAGTGGCAGGGGCAGCAGCAGCTTCGGCAGCAGTGGCAGGGGCGGCAGCAGGGGTGGTGCGGCGTCTGCTGCAATGGGTGGTGGGGGGGTGAGAAGCCGGCTGCTGAAGAAGATGGGATTTAAAGTGCCTCTGGTGAGTCCCAAGTTCATGCCCAAGCCCATGCAGCAACAGCAACCTGCGCCCTCTCCCCGGCAAGCAGCAGCAGCAGCAGCCGCAGCCGCAGGAGGAGCAGAAGGAGCAGGAATAGCCGCAGGAACAGTGGCAGAAGAAGCAGCAGGAACAGTGGAGGGAAGAGCAGGAGCAGGAGCAGGAGTTAGGGTAGCAGCAGGGACAAGCCTAGCTGCTGCTAGTGCTGCTGCTGCTACTGGTGCTGCTGGGAGCCCTGTAATAAAGAGGTCTTTATCTGCTGGGGCTAGAGGGCCCAGGAGACTAACCGCGTTTCTAGATTCTCCTGTGGGGGTTAGGATGGGGCGGGAGGGGAGGAGGGATAGCAGAGACGGGTGGAGGGTAGGTCAGGGAGAGGTGAGGAGGGGAGAGGAGATTGCGGTGGGGGAGGTGGGGAGTGAGGGAGGTGAAGGAGGGGCAGGCTTAGGTGGGATGGGTGAGAGGAGTGGTGGGGTGGATGGCCGGGGGGCGGCATTTTTTGGCGCTAATGGGCATGGGTTGGCAGGTGATGGTGGGACCGGGAGGGATGCGAGGATCTATGAGATTTCTCAAAGTTCAGATGTGAGGATGCATGATGACGGTTGGAACGGAAAAGGAGAGTTGGGGGGAGCTAGTGAGGGAGGAGAGGGGAGGAGTGAGAGAGAGGATGGGGAGTTTGAGGAAGATACAGGGACGGAGGAAGGAGGAGGAGGAGGAGGAGGAGGAGGAGGAGGAGGAGGAGGAGGAGGAGGAGGAGGAGGAAGGGGGGGAGAAGGAGGAGGGAGTGGGCAAGAGGGAGGGAGGGTGGAAGATGGAGGAGAGAGAGGACAAGAAAGAGTAAATGGAGGGTCAAGGGAAGGTGGAGGAGGGAGGGTAGCTGACGAACTGGTTCATGGCGTTGGGAAGGTGGTGCGGGAAGGGGTTGAGGGGGGTGCAGATGGGTGCAGTGAGCAGGGAGGACCGACAGGAGCAGATGGCAAGGTAGGGGCAGAAGAAAGTGAAGGGGGAGCACCAGGGGTGACAAATTCAAGACACGTGGGTGAAGTGGGAATTCAAGAAAATGCTCAGAGGGTTGCTAGAGTCAAGCCTAACTCTAGAGAGCTTAGCTGCGGGCCTGACTCAGAAAAGCACATGAGTCTCAGCGGGCCTGAGAAGGACACGAGCCTTGATGTGACTCATGTGCCATGGGGAGCCAATAGCAGCGATCTCGTTGCCGAAGCTCTGAAGCGAGCTGCCAAAGCTGGAGTGCGGCTGGCAGCCCGAACCAGTCAAGCAGGTCCGGATAGCACTGGGCCGAATGGCACGGGAACACATGGCTCCTCAGCAGAAGGGGTAAATCCTGTGATGGGGAAACGAGCATACAACAATCCATAGCCAATCCTCTTCCTCCATCATGGAATAGGTTCTTCTTAGGAAGGGCAAAGGGAAACAAGCAAGCCAATTGGCAGCCTGGTTCATTATAAACTTTTTTTTTTATAGGTTAGGGTAGGGTCATCTAATGATTTCCTGTTAACCTAATACACCTACTCCCTGATTTGTTCTACAGTGCATACTCCTAATCCAACCGCACTGACTTAGTGGAACGGGGATGGATGTGTGAAGGGAGGTGTTGGTTATGGAGGTGTGTGAGGGAGGATTTTCTGTTGTATCCAGCACTGGTGTTATGTGCTGAGTTGAGTACAGGGCCTCAGATATCAAGAAAAAAAGCCTGAAATTCCTGATTTTGGCAGTCCTTTTTTCACTTACACTGAAAAATCAGTGTTGAGATTTTTGTGGGACTGATCTTTCAGCCTTTTTTGTTAGGCCACGCTGAAATTTCAGACTTTTTTCCCCCAGTACATTGATTCCACAGCGTTGTAACGAAATTAACACTGAAAGCAATTTCTTACTTGTGTCAGAGGTCCACTGGTGATCCCCGATTGATCTTAGTGAAGGGTTACAGGCTCGTTCTCCTGGTGGGTTATGGGCAGACTGACTCGCTGCTTAAGAAACACTTTTATCCCAATGGTATAGTGAGTTGGGATTCTAACTTGTTATCAGAGTGAAGGTCTCGGGTTCGAATCCTAGTGTGTGCACTTCGGGCATCCCAATGCGGAGGGGTGCCAGAGGTCCACTGGTGATCCCCGATTGATCATAGGAAGGGTTACAGGCTCGATCTCCTGGGGGGTTATGGGCGCACTGACCCGCTACTTAACAAGCCCTTTTATCCCAGTGGTCTAGTGGTTGGGATTCTGACAACTTGTTCCGTTCCGTGTGGATTTGCCCGCAATTACTGGGAATCTTAGATTCCTGCGGTGCCAGCACTCCATTGGGCAGTTTCCCTGCAGCATGAAGTGTTGGCTAATCAGAATGTGGCAACCATGTGGTGCTGGAGGGCTGCGAGGGTTCCTGCACCGTTGGCTGTGCAAGCAAGCACTGATGCTCCCATTCCCTCCAATCCAATCCCTCTTGGTTCTTTTCCTCCTTTTTCTCTCTCCCTCCCTCTCAGCTCGATTTCTCTCGCGTTTTCTCGTTTGCACTAATACATAGTGCCATCAGCATCAGAAACGGCAGGCTGTCGGGAATCGAACCCATCGCGAGCGCCGCCGAACCTCCTCTTGTCTCGCCGAACACATCGCTCCCGTTCGACGCGATCTGCAGCGCATGCGAGATGGTCGTCGGCCACGTGGCAATTCCCATCGGCGTCGCAGGCCCGCTACGACTCGACGACGCGTAGTTTTTCGTGCTAATGGCGACTACCGAAGGCTGCCTCGTCGCCAGCACGAACCGCGGTTGAAAGGCCATCTGCGACGCGGGCGGCGCGCAGAGTGACGTGCTACGCGACGGCATGACCCGCGCGCCCGCCGTCCATTCCCCCGCTCCCTTTACCCCGCACTCCATCCACTCCCTCTCTCCCCCGGTCGTCTCCCCCCCAACCGTGCTAGTCTTCCCTCCTCTCTCCATGCCTCACCCTGCCTGTCAATCTGGTTCCTCCCCCAAACCCTGCCCCTGCAGCTTCAACGTGTATGTGTCGCAAGCAGAAGTGAAGCCGGGGTGTGTGCTGCGGCAGATCACTGTCACGTACTGGTGTCCCAAGCTGAGGAGGAGAGAGAAGAACCAAAGGCTAAGGGCAATGATGATAGCACGGCTGGTGATGATTCATGAGGCATGTTAGCTTAGCAATGTTTCAGAAGGCTGCTACTTAGTATTTATAATAGAGATTTCTAATAATAACGTCCTTTTATATTATTGAACACTGATGCATCAGCCTTTCTTCAAAGGCAACACTGACATTTCAGGCTTTTTTTTTTAGGAACACTGTCAATCATGGTTTCTATACAGGGGTACCCTGATGGGTCGACGACCCTAAAAGTGAATCTGAGGCCCTAGTTGAGTAGCAGAAGCAATTGCACTTACCTTGGGTTAGTTTAGGTACGTTGACGTTAATCATGTTTGGGTTGGAAATGCTGGAGCAGCAGCCTGCCTGCAACGAGATGGTACCGTATCTGTTATGTACAGCAACATGTAACTCAGATATACTTACGGTACATGGCAACATTGATTACAATATCAGCTAAAGCAGATTCCACCGTAGCTTGGATCTAAGACCCTTGGGGGGTCTACCAGCACCGTAGGTGCGAAACATCATATTGCAGCTTGAATCTAAGACCCTTGGGTCTACCAGCACCGTAGGTGCGAAACATCATATTACAGCTTGGATCTAAGACCCTTGGGTCTACCAGCACAGCCGCTCCTACTGTGTGGTGCCTTACCACCACTGGAAGCACAAGCACAATCAGTAGTGTGCACACTAGTGCTACTGCGCTCAGCTGTAGATTCCATGCTGCTTCCCTGCTGCTCTTGCTCTGTTCGCTTCTCGCAGGGCTGCTCATGCTGTTGCTCCCACAGGGAAAAGACATGCATAAGGAAGCCTTGCAGGGCTGTTATGTACTCGTACCTGTGGTGCCGCAGATGACCTGGTGGCAGCATGGCGATTGGGAAGGGAGGGGAAGAAACGTTGGATTCATGTGTTATGAAGGAAGAAAGCCAACAAAACAGTCCCGTCTATGGAAGGCTGTGAGTGCTGTTATGTACTCGTACATGTGGTGCCGCAGATGACCTGGTGGCAGCATGGGAATCGGGGAGGGAAAGAAAAGGTGTTTCGAAGGAGGGAGCTATGCTAACATCACGAGCCCATTCAAGAAAGCCATGCAGGGTTGTAGTGTACCCGTGCCTGTGGTGCCTCCGAGAGAATGGGAAAGGGGAGAGAAGTTCTCTCACTCACCAGCATGCTCCAATGTGCTCCATTCCACTTTCTTCCCTGCTGCTCTCGCTCATACACTTCCCAAGAAGCTCAACGGCACCCCTGGGACTTGTGCCTGTGCACCTGCTATCACGAATCCCTTCCCCACTCACCAACATGCTCCGATGTGCTCCATTCCACCCTTGTCACTGCTGCGCCCCTCGTCACTGCCTCCCGTTCATACTTCCAGATGAACCCAATGGGAGCCAGCTGGTCGTCCGTGCTGCACAGCAGCAACACCGGCGCCATGGGCTGAAAGGGGGTGAGCAGGCAGGCAAATGGGGGTATGCATGTGAAACAAATGTGAAAGAGCCATGCTGCGCCCCTTGCCCCCGCCTCTCTCTCATCCTGGCGGATGAACCCATTCGGTGCCAGCTGGTCGTCCGTGCTGCACAGCAGCAGCACCGGCGCCAGGGACTGGAAGGAGGAAGGGGAATGCAGTTGAAAGTGAACATGCGGATGGGGGAAGGCAGATGAGGTCGTGCGGATGAAGCTGAAGAATTTAAGAGTGGAATCTCGGAAGTTGGAGGAAATTCCAAGCAGCTTGGTTGGCAACGATGCAGGCTCAGCGTAACGGAGGGCTGTGGAGATGGGAAGCGTAGAATGGAAGGGAGCAGGGAGCAGGGAGCAGGGAGCAGGGAACATGGAACAGGGAGCAGGGAGCAGGGAGCAGGGAGCAGGGAGCAGGGAACAGGGAGCAGGGAGCAGGGAGCAGGGAGCAGGGAACAGGGAGCAGGGAGCAGGGAGCAGGGAACAGGGAACAGGGAGCAGGGAACAGGGAGCAGGGAGCAGGGAACAGGGAACAACACGCACCGAGCAGTGGAGGAGTCTGGCCCACTGTGCTGCCCGCTGCTTCTCAAACTCGGGTAGCAGCAGCCAGTCAAGCACGACAGCTGCTGACCGCACCAACGTGTGCCGCACAGTCCTCGGCTGCTGGGCGGCTGTGGCAGCAGAAGCTGCAGGAGCAACAGGAGCAGGAGTGGCAGGAGTAGTGGCAGCAGCAAGAGCAGTCGCAACAGCAGAAGCAGGAGCAGAACCAGTGGATTGAGGGGTGAGGGGCGGTTGGGAGGGTAAAGGTTGTTGGGAGGTGGCGGATGCTTGGGAAGTGGCTTGTGGTTGAGCTGTTACAGGTGGAGGTTGGGAGAGGAACCTGACGCCTAGGTCAGACGTGAAGTCAACGGGAGAGGAGTCAAAGACCTGCCCAGCGTAGCACTCTCGGAGGAGCGAAAGGAAGTGCCTGTGGGAGGTGGAAACCTCGCCGCTTTCTCTCTTTGATGGCAGTGCTGATGGTGGGGAGGCTGATGACGGCACTGGTGCTAAAGCTGCTGCTGTCCCTGTGGCAGTTGCATCCCGATGCATCCCCTCTGGAGCGAATGTGGAGAGCAGAGCCTGCAGAATGCAACAATGACGAGTCAGAAACGTTACTAGGCTGTCAGTTACGGAAAAAAAACGTCACAAGAGAACATGGATGTGAGAGAGACAGCAGTGGGACAGAACGAGGGACAGTGAGTAGGGTTGGCGTGCATTCTTTTGAGACGTCTCAAAAGTGAGTAGGGTTGGCGTGCATTCTTTTGAGATGTCTCAAAAGTGAGTAGGGTTGGCGTGCATTCTTTTGAGACGTCTCAAAAGTGAGTAGGGTTGGCGTGCATTCTTTTGAGACGTCTCAAAAGTGAGTAGGGTTGGCGTGCATTCTCTGTTTTTTTCTCACAAGGAAAACTTCAAGAACACCACTGTTCATACCTACCTCCATGATCTTCCACTGGCAGGCCTTGTACCCTCCAGAAAACGACATGAACACCACTGGCCGAGGCCGCCCTGCAAGCTCCTGGGCGGCAGGGAGGAGGACGGTAGGATGTTGAAATGCAAAAGAACAAGTCAGGATGTTGAAATGCAATGCAACAAAGCAGGTATTACCTGCAGGAGAGATTGTTATTCTTCTAGGCATGAGACACCGAGATGAGTATGTCACTGAAGATGACGTCATGTATGAAATACCTTTTCTAGTTCGGCCAGGACTCCTCTTGCCAGTGCTTCTGCTCTCCAGGGCATCCATCTGATGCGATGCGATGCAGTGAAATGTGAGAATGTGAGGAGGGGGAGAACGTGGGGATGCGGAGAATGAGGGGCGGGGGAGAATTCGGGGAGGGGGAGAGGCGCCTCAAAAGACGCCAGAAATTGAGTATTGAGGCGCCTCAAAAGTGAGAATGGGGGGAGGGGGAGAATGCGAAGAGGGGGCGAATGAGGGGAGGGGGAGAATCCAAAGACGGGGAGAATGACAAGAGGGGAAAGTGAGAATCTTTTGCATTACAGGTGAAGCAGCGGGGGATGGCAGGCGAGGGCATCCCATCCGCACTCGTTGATCACGCGCAGGTATGCTGCCAGCTGCCGCTGCGTGCTCTGCATCCATCCCATCACAACCACTATCGGCCTCGTATAGCTGCTTGTACTGGTCCAAGTAGTAGCGCTGTGCTGGCTGAACTGACGCTGACGGAATCCGTCTGCAGCTTCTGGAACGGAGCTGTAACGGCTGGACCGCGGACGGAGTCCGTCTAGAGCGACGGAATCCTGGCTGCGGGAATCGGCACTGCATTCTCCGTGGCATGGTGCTGAGCTGTCGGTTTGTCGGTTGCGTTATTGTAACGAATGCGCGGCAAATGTGGAGGGAAATGACGACGCTGTATGATCGGAGCTCGACTCTTGAGCGCCTGAAGAGCGGAAAGCCGAATGTTCATGAGATTGAATTGCTGAACTTCCACTATAATGTTCATGTGCAGGCCCTGAAATGGAAGAGCTGACTGGTTCCGTCGCTACTCTGCTCCAGTATATCAGTGACTTGCTGTTCTGTGACTTCGCCATTATGGATTCCATATGCTGGACTTCTTGCGGCTGACTTGATATGATGGATTCTTGCATAAGAGCTAGGATTGGGAGTAGCTTGGAGCGTGTCACACTCACCTTGTTCTCTCCAACGGCCTTCCACAACCGTGCTAAATATTATTATAACATTCTAGATTGCATTGAACCTAAAGATAACGTACTTGAACGTACGTTTTGTCAAATATCCAACTTAACAACCACGCCAAAGCTGCTCCTGAAACTTCTACCGTGCTGTTTTGAAACCTGGATCTAGGGCTCGATCTGATCGGGTTACCATTTTTGTTCGATGATATTGCCAAACATCAGCAGTCATGAGTCGCCGCCATCGGTACACACCAAAATTTTCTGTACTTAGGACATCAGAGTGCTTCGGGATCATCATTCTGGACTGAATCTAGCTCGGGAATTGTTTTTCCAGCAGGCAGTTCTGCAGGGATGCTCAACATTCCAGCCAGGGAGCCTGGCAGACCTTGCTAGCCCACAAAAACGACCATCTCTATTTTAGGTTGATTGTCGTCCTTAGTTGATAACATTGTCGCCGTCCACTGGGAGTGGATTCCTGTTCAGGGTGCACATACGCGCGTGGATCTGCTAATTTCCTGGCTCCTTGAGCTCCGCTGGAAAGCCGTGATCAGCTATCTACCGTGGTTCTAGTCATGCCACGGTATTCTTGTCGTCGCAGAGGTGGTCAGAGGATTCATGGATCAAAGTTGGTCTCAACAGCTGCTGTCTGTGTCCTTCTGTAAAATAAGCTTTGCATAGCATTCCCCGCTGAGCCCTTCTCGTCTTTTTTCTTCCTCTGCACTTTTTTCTTTTTCTTTTCTTCGTTACCAGATTAGTACTTCAGCAGCATAGACATCGACTCGCTTCATCCCATAAGGTTCCGTGACGGCGATCTACAATACACCGCTGTAGCCACCATGATAGGGTTAGGTCAATACACGGCTCTGAGCCTAGCCACCTTGCTAGGAGTAGTCTACCATGCCTTTTACACGCGAGAGCAGTTCTTCCCAGCCATGCTCTACCTTTCCACCTCCAAAATCTGCCTGGTTGTTATGGGGAATATGGCCTTTGTCATGCTTCTACTTCTCGGCCGTATCATAAAAGCCATTTTCCTCGGAAAGCTCCGGGAAGCTGAGGTCGAGAGACTACACGAGCTGTCGCGGCACGAGATCATGGAGACGTGCCTCGCGATGACGATTTTCCGAGAGGAATTTACCTTTTCTTTCGTCGGGATGTTTTCTACCCTCCTTTTCGTGAAGATTTTCCACTGGCTGGCTCAGAAACGGGTGGAGTATATCGAAACGACGCCCGCAGTATCGCGGCTTTCGCACATCCGGATCACCGTGTTCATGGTGCTGCTCCTGGCGATGGACTGCGTGCTCGAATTCCAGGCGGTCTCGTACCTTCTAAAGACTCGCTCCGCTTCCGTCCGGATCCTCTTCGCCTTCGAGTAAGATTGCCGCTTTTTACCCTTTGTATGGCGCCAAAGAATCTGCGTGCTCTAATTACAGGCAATCTTGTACCTTCTGGAAACTCGCTCCGCTTTTGTCCGGATCCTCTTCGCGTTCGAGTAATCGTCGCGTACGTGTTGTACATGGTGGACACGGTGATGGAGGGGCAGTGGTGGGAGCACAAGGCGACTTACACCATTGACAAGGCTGCATGTAACATTGTAACACTGTAACCCCATCCCGTCCCTCTACAGGTACTTCATCCTGGCGTCTGCGATGCTGGCCAACATCGTCAAGTACGTGTTGTACATGGTGGACACGGTGATGGAGGGGCAGTGGGAGCACAAGGCGACTTACACCGTTGACAAGGCCGCTTGTAACTTTGTAACACTGTAACCCCATCCCGTCCTTCTACAGGTACTTCATCCTGGCGTCTGCGATGCTGGCGAACATCGTCAAGTACGTGTTGTGCATGGTGGACACGGTGATGGAGGGGCAGTGGGAGCACAAGGCCGCCGCCTACACCTTTGAAAACGCTGTTGTTTCACCTTTTGGTAACATTGTAACATTGTAACCCCATCCCATCCAATCCCACTGCAGGTACTTCATACTGGCGTCTGCCATGCTGGCGAATATAGTAAAGTACGTGCTGTACATGGTGGACACGGTGATGGAGGGGCAGTGGGAGCACAAGGCGACGTACATCTTCTACCTGGAGCTCGTGAAAGACCTCCTGCACCTCCTCGTCTACCTCGCCTTCTTCTCCATCATCTTCATGTGAGTTTTTTTGTTTTGTTTTTTTTTTTGTTTTTTTTGTTTTGAAACATATAAATGCTTATAACGGTAGGTTCGAGAAAAGTGCATATTCGTCGTTGCTATCTTGCGAAGATGAAGCATTGTGTGTGATAGAATCATGTTGATGTGAGTTTCATCTTTGCACGTACATCTTCTACCTGGAGCTCGTCAAGGACCTCCTGCATCTCCTAGTCTACCTCGCCTTCGTCTCCATCATCTTCATGTGAGGGATTAAAACTATATCGCATTTCGTTAACTTATCCAGGAAACGGATGTGGTCTTATTCTTTTGAAAAATGATCGTCGTCTTTGAGTAAAATATTCAGAAAAATAATACGGTAGTGCTTTGTTATCTTGTTCAGTCTACTTGCAGGGAGGAGATCCGTGCTGCAAATTCCCAGCTGAGGGAGGCGGTGCAGGAGAAGGAGGTGGAGTCAGAGCAGCTGTACACGCTCTCCAAGGAGCTGGAGAGGCGGTTGCAGACGCTCTGACCCCGCCTCCTTTTCCCGCACCACCTCCCTCAGATGGGAATTTGCAGCCCGGATCTCCTCCAGCTCTGAACAGATTCTGTGTTTTTTTACATTTTCCAGGTTTTGTCGTTCTTTCCTGAGTTTTCACCTTCGCTCTGTTCCTCTCTACCCTGCTCTGCACCCTCCTCTTTCCTCTGTGCACTCCTCCCCTCAGGACGTATGGCCTGCCCCTGCATCTCATCCGTGACCTTTATGAGACCTTCGTTTGAAGCTACTCTTTGTGATCCCTGTGATCTTCTCCCTCCTGCTCTGCTCCCCTCCTCTTTGCTCATTCCCTCCCCTCAGGACGCACGGCCTGCTGCTGCATCTCATCCACGACCATCATGAGACCCTCTTTAAACGCTCCTCATTTTGCTGTTTCCTGTTCCTCTCCTTTGATATTCGCCCTTCCTCCTGCCCTCCCTTCAGGACGTACGGCCTGCCCTTGCATCTCATCCGCGACCTCTACGAGACCTTCCGCAACTTCCTTCAACGCCACTCATTTTGTTGTTTACTGGTGCTTTGTGCCTCCTCCTCATCCCCTCCCCTTCAGGACGTACGGCCTGCCCCTGCACCTCATCCGCGACCTCTATGAGACCTTCCGCAACTTCCGCATGCGAGTGGCGGATTTCATTCGCTACCGCCGCATCACCTCCAACCTCAACGAGAGGTTTCCTGATGCTACTCCAGAAGAGCTTGAGAGGTGGGTATTTGATGATGGTTGATGGCACTGCATTCCCTTTGGCACTGCTTTGGGACGCTCAGAAGTCTCGCATGGTCTCAGGAAGGTGCATGCGAGTGGTGGACTTCATCCGCTACCGCCGCATCACATCCAACCTCAATGAGAGGTTTCCTGACGCCACTCCTGAGGAGCTTGAGAGGTGCGTGTTTTGGCTTGCTGATTTCGTTGGGGTGAGGCGTGCTAAGGGTCTCAGGAAGGTGCATGCGAGTGGCGGATTTCATCCGCTCTTGCCGCATCACCTCCAACCGCAACAAACGCTTCCCTGATGCCACACCAGGTGGTTTGCTGTTGCCATTCATGTGAGGCGTGTTACGAGTCTCAGAACGGCGCAAGTGAGTTGCTGGCTGACTTCGTCTGCTACACATCTTATCCACTCCCCTCCCCCTTCCAGGGCGGACAGCACGTGCATCATCTGCAGGGAGGAGATGAAGTCAGCCAAGAAGCTTCCCTGCGGGCACCTCTTCCATGTGCACTGCCTGCGCTCCTGGCTCGAGCGCCAGCAGACCTGCCCCACCTGCCGTGCGCCCCTGCTGCTTGCCGCCCTGCTGCCCCCGCGCCCCCTGCTCCCCCCTGCTCCCCCCTGCTCCCCCTTGCTCCCCCCTTCTCCCCCCTGCTCCCCCCTGCTCCCCCCTTCTCCCCCCTGCTCCCCCCTGCTCCCCCCTGCTCCCCCCTTCTCCCCCCTGCTCCCCCTTGCTCCCTCCTGCTCTGCTCCCCCCTGCTCCCGTTTGCCCCTCACTGCCCCAGCCACAGCCAGTTGTGATAGCCAATATGAGGTTCTGAATCTTCCCCTATACCACCCACCCGACCCCCCCCCTCCCCCACCTTCCAGGGCGGACAGCACGTGCATCATCTGCAGGGAGGAGATGACGTCAGCGAAGAAGCTTCCCTGCGGGCACCTCTTCCACGTGCACTGCCTGCGCTCCTGGCTCGAGCGCCAGCAGACCTGCCCCACCTGCCGCGCGCCCCTGCTGCAGCCCCAGGCGCAACCCACGCCCCCCCCGGCCGCCGCTGCTGCTAGAAACGCTGCTGCTGCTGCTGCTGCCGGTGCTGCTGGTGCTGCTGGTGGCGTTGCTGGTGGTGCTGGTGGTGCTGGTCTGGGGTTTGGAGTGCCAGGTGGAGCTGGGGTTGTGCCTCTTGCGGCTCCTGCTGCTGCGCCTGGTGTTGCTCCTGGTGGTGCTGCTGCTGGTGGTGGCGTGGGCGGTGTTATTCCCTTGGGTCAGTTCCGCATTGCGGCAGGCGGGGGTATGCCGGCGGTGCATGTGTTTCACGGGCAGCTGAACCTTCCTGGCGGGATGGGGGCAGCTGGAGCAGGAGGAGCGTTCGGACAGGGGCACTTGCAGGGGCTGCAGCCGGGGCTGCAAGGGCTGCAGGGGTTACAGGGGCTGCAAGGGCAGCTGGAGCAGCAGCCGTACCTGCAGCAGCAGCTGCAGCAGATGCTATACGCTCAGCAGGTGCAGCAGCAGCAGCAGCAGCAGCAGCAGCAGTGGCAGCAGTGGCAGCAAATGCAGCAATGGCAGCAGTGGCAGCAGTGGGGGCAGTGGCAGTACTGGCAGCAGTGGCAGCAGCAGGCTCAGGCTGCATATGCGGCTGCAGCAGCAGCAGCAGCAGCAACAGGGGGTACGTCCGGAGCAGCAACCGCTACATCAGGAGCAGCAGCAGGTACATCTGGTGCAAGCCCATCCGGGGCTTCACCTATTCCTGCCAATGCAGGTTCTCCTTCTGCATCTGCTGCTGCAGGCACTACTGGTGATGAGGGTAATGCGGGTGGGTCTTCCAGCACAACTGCCACTGCAGCTCCCACGGCTGTGGCCACTGCAGCTCCCACTGCTGCACCCAATGCAACTGCCGCTGCAACCCCCAGTCCAGCTCCCAGTGCAACCCAGCCCCCTCCTGCTGCGGCCTCTGCCTCTGGATCAGATGCCTTCCTGCGCCAATACAACGCCTGGTACGTATTCTCTGACTATTCTGCATTCACCTCTACAAATCAAGACATCTTTTGGACTTGTCCTAGCTGACTTTCCCAGCTGCAGCATTCAACCTTCGGGTGCTCGAGCTTTTGTCTTGAGACATTTCAAAAGTGGCTGATTGATTGTGTGTTTTTGTGCGTGAATTGCTGCTTACCACTTTCTCCCATCGGTCCTTCAGGTTGTCAGCTGCATACCCGCAGCAGCAACAGCAGCAGCAGCAACAGTACCAGCAGCAACAGCAGCAGCAGCAGCAGCAGCAGCAGCAGCAGCAGTACCTCCAGCTGCTTCAGCAGTATCAGCAGCCACAACAGCAGCAGTACCTGCAGCAGTATTTGCAACAGCTGCAGCAGCAGCTAACAGCACAGGCTCAGGCTCAAACACAGGGACAGGTGCAGACTCAAGGGTATACACCTGTTGGTTCTCAAGGGCAGGCAGCTGGCCCCACTGGTTCTAGTGCAGGTGCATCTGGTGCAGGTGCATCTGGTGCAGGTGTATCTGGTGCAGGTGCATCTGGTGCAGGTGCATCCGTTACAGGTGCAGCTGTTGCAGGCACAGGCGAACAAGCACCTCAAACCCCCCTCACTGCAGCTCAAACCCTTCCCACTGGACCCTCTACTTCCAATAGCACAGGTGCGGACGCCTCTGCTGGCCTGGACAATGGTGTCAGTGGTAACAGTGGTGGCAGCGGTGGCAGTGGTGGTGGTGGGAGTGCTGCTGCTGCGCCTAGTGCTGCTGCTGCGCCTAGTGCTGCTGGTGTGGAGCCCTCTCAAGGAAGCAGAGAGGGGGGACAAGGGCAAACAGCAGCCGGTGAAGGGCAGAGCTAGAATGGTGATGGCTGACTGATATTGTTTCCGTAAATTCTTCAGTGTCTGCTGGTATCATCACCAGACCAGAGTAAAAGGCAACTGCCTACACAGCAGCTGCTTCTAGACGAATAATTCGTTTCACTGGTTGGATTCCCTATAAGACACCCCCATGATAAAAACTGGTAATGCTGATTCGTTCCATCCGTGAGATGCAACATGTATCTAGAGGAGGGCAGAAAATCGTGTGAACCGATAATGAAGTGCCCGGGCTTCCTTTGTGGCCAGGCCAGGCCAGCAAGTTGTGCAAATTGATGCTTCACCCAACAACTTCTGAAGCCTCTGCCAGGATTTCTAATGCATCTTTGAACTCTTGTGATTCTGTCAATGTAGCATCATCTTTTGCTCCGTCCTGCATCAGACAGAGCGCGAGAGAAACAGGAAGCAGAGCAAAAGGACAAGTGAAAGCAGAAGGGAATGCAGGACGGGGGGATCTACGAGCTTGAGCAGGAAACATAAAAAAGGTACTGGTAGGGTGCAAGGGGATTTCATTAGAATAAGGAGAAGGAAGAGGGGAGAGAACGAGGTATGTGGACTGAACAGAGCTATGAACAGCAGTGCCACGAACAGAAGAGATCGATGCAATAATGGGAACAACTGTGGACTGCACATTGGAACCACAGGTCATGATAGGGTGATTCTATGTAGGAAAAGGGAAGAGGAGCCTGGCGCACTTGACTGAATCTATCAAAGCCGGAGGTACCTGAAGACCATTTGGCACGTCCGCATTTTGGTACCCTTGGACGGATAACCGCACAATCCCACTCACCACTGTGGATTCAAGATCATAGTAGGCTGTTTCTAGTCGCTTGCGACAATCAGGGACCATCATACGCGATTCGGCGAGAACGTTCTCCTGCATGAGCATGGCCACAACCACGAGCTTTAGCAACCGGCATTTTCAAGAAATGGAACAAAGATGCGTATATGAAATCGAAATTCCATGCCTGTTGTTTAATGTCGTGCGAATCTGCACCGCTAGCCTTCATCTCCTCTACTCTCGCAGCATCCTTCTCCACCTCTTTCTCATACGACTTCAACTCTTTTAGTAACCGCTTGCAGATTCCTGCTCGCAGCTTCAAGGACTTGAGATCCGCCATGGTCAACTATTAATCGAAGCGGCGATACTCAGCAATAGGCGACGAAACAGGTTGAAATGAAAACACTCGCGTAGCTTGCGGGAGAAACGCTCTTCCTGGTTACCAACTGGAAGCGCGTGAGCTAGCGAAGTCCTAGGCCGAGAGACGAAAGGAACTCAGGTCAAAAGATGATGGATGTGCAATCACGCATTCCTCATTTCAACCACACAGTTCGTGAGAACTGATAAGGCAAAATGAAAATCCCAAGGGCTCGTAGGGGCAGGACTGCAAATCGCTGAGGCAACACCGAAATTTCATGAATTACGAATCCGGTTTTGCAATTTCGCACTTTGAACATGTTCATGTCCAAGAACGTATTTCGCTTGTATCGTGATGCGTTCGCACCCCCCCTTCCCTTGCTTCGCACATCTCTCGTCACAACGCTGGTTCAGACTTGGAGTCAACTGGTTGACATGCAGCCACAGAGCGAGACGACACCCGTTTGTTCTCAAGACGAATTCGCCGACAGTTGAAAGACACGAGACTGGACTGGACTGCAAGTTCCACCTACTGGCGGCAGAATGCACCTGCAGCCGCACAAAGCCGAGCTGACCTGAACCCACCTTCCCCTCCCCACCAACCAGGTCACATCACATCCCAGAACTGGTCTGGGCTCGAGGCTTCAGAAGACACCGCGAATGTCTTGGACTCCAGGCGTTTATTCCGTCAAAATACTTCTCAACAGCCTTAACTCAACATGTGCAAGCTCCTTATGCGACGAACGGTTTCAGTAGTACGGCCATGGCTCAACAGATTGCTTGCAGGTGCTGTGCGCTCCTCGTAGGTGCAACACACAACCGTCACTCTCACATTTAATAGCATCGACTTTCATCCTCTTGCTAGCAGGCAAACATCCACTTTCACTTGTCTACACAAATCCTTAGCCCCCTCATCCTTGCTCTCCTCCGTTTGCTTTCTTTCGCCTAGCCTTTCTATTCTTCCTTCCATTATCAACGTCTAGCCTTTCACTACAGTACCCATACTCACGCTTTCCTTACTCAACTCCCCTCCCCATTCTTGCGTGTGCAACTGCTCCCTGGCAGCGTCATTCTTTCTCGCCGTGTTCTTCCCAACTGCAAGAGCCCAATGTACGTGCTTATCTCCGCGCATTTCACGCCCCTCTGCGCCGTTTTACGCTCCATTGCGCCGCTCTGCGCTTCTCTGCGCTATTTCACGCTCCCCGCCTGCGTAGCCTTTCTGACCTCCTTCCCACGGGGTTCAGGCGTCTTGGTCTCCCTCGTACACCCACACTTCCAGTACATTCCAAAACTCTCTCCCCTTCTCCCCCCTCTCCCACACAGCCTTTCTGGACCTCCTTCCTGCACGGAACAAGCGTCTTGGTTTCGAAGCATTCCAAAAACTGCCTCTTTCTCCTTTCCGTCTCTCCCCTCTCCCACACAGCCTTTCTCACCTCCTTCCTGCACGGTTCAGGCATCTTAGCCTCCCTCGTACTTTCAGACTCCTCCGAATCCTGCCCGGGAATCTTAGTTCAGCTGACCGTGGGGGGTAATGTTGAAAATCCCCCTCTCTCTCTCATGGTAGAGCGGCCCAGGAGCCCAGCAGCAGTGCCTGGAGGGGTACAAGTGAAGAGCACAAAAAAAGCGGAACAGGTGAGTTGGCTGGTCGTGCGGGTACGTAGATAGATGGTTTGTGTTGTGAGGTTTGTAAACAGGTGGTTAGGCAGTGTCCCTGTCTCCTGTATCCCTTGTCTTTCAGAAATATGTGGGTAACAATCCCCCTTGTTTTCATTCAAATTTCAACCCCTCCTCCCCTTTCCTATAACCCCCGACTCCCTCCTTTTCCCTCTCCCTTTCCCCCTGGTCCGTCCTATGTCCAGCTTTTCCAGCTTACGAGCTAGCGCCACCACCAGGCAATACCAACGCGCCCATGAGCATTTTCTCCCCACATATCCCAACTTTCCAGCTATTCCGGTTTGGCAGTTTGTGGGAGAGACTGCACCAACTGTTTACTCGGTGCACAGCTGCCAGCCTGCCCCGCCCTCCTCCTGCCATCTCTGGCCCTTCAAATGTTCTTCTCATTCCCCGTTACTGCGACAAAATTTTTGCCAGCCTGCCCACCTGCCCCCGCTGGCCCGCCAGAAGGCCTGCCTGTGGCCGGCAGAGATGGAGTGGTGGATCGTAGCGGAACGGCAGACTGCGGCGGCACACAGGGTCCCTGACCCTGTGGGGGACGCCTCTCTTCCACCTCGATTCCCTGTTGGTGACTTGACCCCTCTCCTCCTTCCTCTTTCGCTTTTGAGAATTCTCAGAAGATGGCGGCGGCTCACAGAGACCCTGACCCTGTGGGGGACGCCTCTCTTTCACCTCGATTCCCGGTGGTTGACTTGACTCCTCTCCTCCTCCACACATTCCCCTGTGCCTCCCGTCCCTTTCCCACCCCACTCCCCCCTCTCTCTTCAGCTTTTTCGTTTTGGCCCTGACTGGGAGAGCACGGCACCAACTGTCTACTCAGTGAACAGCTGCCAGCCTGGCGGCACCCTGCACCTGCCGTCGCTGGCCCGCCAGAAGGCCTACCTGTGGCCGGCAGAGATGGAGTGGTGGATAGTAGCGGAAGGGAAGGTGGCAGCGGCTCACAGGGACCCTGTGGGGGACGCCTCTCTTCCACCCCGATTCCCTGTGCCGAAATACGGTGCTGCGTTTGCGAGCGATGGAGCGGTGTATGGCGGGGCGTTTGTCAGCGAGCTACGGTGAGTTGAGCAAGTTACCGTATGTTGGTTGGAGTGCTGTGAGCGAGAGTATGATCCAGCCATGAAAAAGCCACGCTCTTGCTCGTAGCGGAAGGGAAGATGGCAGCGGCTCACAGGGACCCTGTGGGGGACGCCTCTCTTCCACCCCGATTCCCGGTGGTTGACTTGACTCCTTGTTTCCTCCACAGTCATTGGCCATGATAGTAGCGGAAGGAGATGATGGCAGCGGCTCACAGGGACCCTGTGGGGGACGCCTCTCTTCCACCCCAATTTCCTGCGCCGAAATACGGCGCTTCGTTTGCGAGCGATGGAGTGGAGTATGGCGGGGCTTACGTCAGCGAGTTGCGATGAGTTGAACGAGCTACAGTAAATTTGAACAACATACAGTAGGTTGGAGCAAGCTACATGTCCTGCGCCGAAATACGGTGCTGCGTTTGCGAGCGATGGAGTGGTGTATGGCAGGGTGTACGTCAGCGAGTTGCGGTAAGTTGAACAAGGTACCGTAGGTTGGAGTGCTGTGAGCGCAAAGTTAGTTCCAACTTCCAGCCATGAAAAAGCCACGCTCTTGTTCTCGCCTATTTGGAGTTCTCACCTCGCCCCATCAGCAGTTTTTTCTCGTCCATTCTGACTTCTCACCTCCCTCTCCTGCTGCTCTTCTTCTGTCCTATTTGATTCTATTGGTACCGTACTTGATTGCATTGCAGGTTCAGCTCTCGTGTGGAGCTCAGCAATACAATCACACTCGTCGGGCCCTCGACCAACCCAGTGGCATTAGAGCTTCTCTTTCCTCACTGTCCCTTCCCCTCATCTCTGTTCCCTTTAACTTGACCTCATGGCAGGTTCAGTTCTCGTGTGGAGCTCAGCTATACAATCACACTCGTCGGGCCCTCGACCAACCCAGTGGCATTAGAGCTTCTCTTTCTTCAAAGCATTCTGACAGATCGCATGGATCACATTCCTCTGCCATGCTTCTGGTTCACGTCACTGCCCCATGTGTGGAACTGCTACGGCATCCATTCACTTTCTTACCGAGATTTCGGATTGTTATACGAGGGAGAGGTTTCTGGAGTGGTTTTGAGGAGTTTAAGGTTTAGAATAGGTGACTTAGAGGTGGATGGTAATATAACAGCCATACCACATGCTCGACATTTACGAAAAGGTTGATGCTATTGTTACTGTACCGATGTTTCTTCCTTGTATGGTATCCTCTCTCGTGTTTGTTCTAACATAACCAAGGTTCTCTCTAACATTCAATAATATAGAGAGCTGTGGGCTTTCAGTCCATTGGGCTTCTCTCACACCTTAGAGAAAACGCTCATGTCAAACGAGCGTCTTTGCCAACTTGAAGGTCAGTGCGGTGTGGCGTGCGTACACAGATGAGAATAATTCTGCACCTCAGCAGAAAAAATCACGATATGCATTGCTTATGTCGTACAGGTTTATGTCCACGCGCAGGCCTCCACCAACTGCATAAGGGTTTATATAACCTTGAAATTATTGTCAACAATTTGAAACTATGACAAACATATCGATATCTTTCCTTGAAAACTCCGAACGCTTTCTTGAAAGCATCGTCCCAACCCAACCTCGAGTCGTTCAAAAGGGGGTCGTCAAGCTCGCACAGATTCCATTTCCTCCCGACAGAGGGAGGGGGGGAGATTCAGGATGAGATGTGACTCAAACAGAACAAGTAGCAAAAATTACCGTTCAGTAAGTTCCGTAACGTTCCAGAGGGATATGTCGACCTGATTTGTTGAGAACGAATTCTGAATGCCTGACAGACAGATACACCTAGATGAATTCCTGCCATGCCAGCATTTCACAGACCAATCTTCTTCCGATGCTTCCATCTTCATCTTCTCGTCATCCCTTGTTTTTTCACTCCTCGCCAAGGAAGCTGGTCGAGATTGTTTATTAGATAGTGCCATTTTCGCGTTCTCTTTCCGCATTTCAGCACGCAACTCCATGCTCCTTGCCTGGAGCACCTGCCACGTTCATTGCTCCGTGCATCTGACACCGAATCCCGCATTGTTACACGCTCGTCGTCCCCTTGCTTTGGTGTATCGTAACAATTCCCAGCAACCACTTGCGAATCCGGCGACAAATCCGGCACCGTTACACGCTTGTCGTCCACGACCTTCGCGCCTCTTCGTCTCGCGCTCACCGCGCTTCCCATCGCTGCCGAGAAACAGACGCCCTAAATTCTTCAAAAAGAGCTATCCGACAGTGTTCGCCGGGGAAGTTGCGGGGGGCGCGCGCATTGGCGGAGATTGCGGCGTTAAATCCGGGAATTTGTGGGGAATGGGGGGAGGAGTGGCGGAGGTGTTGCGCGGGCGGTGGTGGGAGGATAAATCGATGTTTGGGTACAAGCGGGAGAGAGCTCACGTGCCTCTGCACTCCCATGCGAGCGTCGACGGTACGGATGATTACAGTGACATGTGATGCCGTTGAGGAGACATGCTACACACCCATGTTCATAATGCCTGTTTGATATTGCATACTCAAGATTGCACGTGCCTCTGCACTCACATGCGAGCGTTGACGGTACAGATGATTACAGTGACATGTGATGCCGTGGAGGAGACATGCTACACATGCATGTTCATAATGCTTGTTCTATAATGCACGTTAAAGATTGCCTGTTCTACATCGCATCACCATGAACGTTAATAATCATGACATCGTCAACATTGATTTGATTGTCCAGCGTTGAGCATTGAATCTTCGGAGATTCATCACGCACGAAAAGCACGAGCATGCTCACCACTTACACAATGACCATGCCTCTCCTGCTTCCTATCTCCCAACACCCCATCAGACGCCCTTCGTTTCTGGTACCACCGAGACAGAGCAGCCACGTTCGAGGCAGCAGATGCTGCCACCTGGGCGCCTGGAGCTGGCGCTGACGTGGCAGCGGTACGGAGCGCCAGGTGGTGGGTCCACGGGCTGCCACGTGTAGCCTCTCTGAGCGGCTCCTGGCGGTTCCGGCTGTTCCCGAGGCCTGAGGAAGTTCCCGAGGGTTTTTTTGCGCCTGGATTTGATGTCTCTGATTGGTCAACGCACCCAGGTAATGGGTTCGTGAGAAGTGGTGGCCTTAGAAGATTGCTCTTAAGCTTGATTCTGACTCTGCAGATTTACCCCTATACCAGGACCAGCCAGCCTCTCACATTTAGAGTCCTCCTTTTTTGCGAACATTCCTCCCTCCCTCCCTTCCTCCCCCTCGCTTCCTCTCGCCCTTCCCCTTCTCTCCTCCTCTGTCAAACACCCCCCGCCTCTCTTGCCCTTTCCCCTTTCCCCTTCTTGCCCCCCTGCATGCAGTCCCATCCCACTGGCAGCTGCAGCTTCAGCAAAAGAAGCAGAAAGAACAGCAGCAGCAAGCAGCAGAAACGGGAAGAGACGAAAAAACGCCAGCTGCAGCTGCAGTTGACGATTCAACCGTACCGTCACCATCCACACCTTTTGCAACACCATCAGCATCAGCATCAGCAGCAGCAACACCATCAGCATCATCATCATCATCATCATCAGCAGCAGCAGCAGCAGCAGCAGCACCACCACCACCACCAGCAGCAGCAGCATGGGCATGGGAGGAGGTGGAGGACCCGCCCATCTACACCAACATCCAGTACCCCTTCCCCATCCAGCCGCCCTTCGTTCCCACCGACAACCCCACCGCCTGCTACCGCCGCCGCTTCTCACTCCCTGCCTCCTGGTCAGGTAGGCTCTCGTGTTTCCTACTTTTTTCGTGGCTTTTTTAGTAGAACTGTCTGAAAAACAGACTGTCACCAGTAGCACCAGCATCAGCACCAGCAGCAGCATCAGCGGTGGCAGCAGCAGCAGCATGGGCATGGGAGGAGGTGGAGGACCCGCCCATCTACACCAACATCCAGTACCCCTTCCCCATCCAGCCGCCCTTCGTCCCCACCGACAACCCCACTGCCTGCTACCGCCGCCGCTTCTCCCTCCCCGCCTCCTGGTCAGGTAGGCTCACGTGTTTCCGGGTTTCAGTGAGGTAGGTCCCCTCCCACTCTCCGTGCTGCCATGCAACCCCTGCCAGGCCAGCTCGCCTTTCACACTGACTCCTTCCCTCCCACTCAAGCGTCCCTCTCGCCTCTCTTCCCTCTCCCTGCTGTCATCAACCCCCCTGCCAGGCCAGCACGTCACGCTGTGCTTTAAGGGAGTCGACTCCGCCAGCCACGTGTGGCTCAACGGTAAATATGTGGGGTACAGCCAGGATAGCCACCGCCCTGCAACTGAACTCTCACGAATCTGTCTCTCTCATTACCCCTCCCACTTCCCCTCCCTTGCCAGGCCAGCACATCACTCTGTGCTTTGAGGGAGTGGACTGAACGGGCACTACGTGGGGTACAGCCAGGACAGCCGCCTCCCTGCAACTCAACACTCCGAGACCTGTGTTTCCCACTCCCCCTTCCCCTCCCTCTCGGTCCTTTCCCCTGGCAGGCCAGCACATCACCCTGTGCTTCGAGGGAGTGGACTCCGCCATCCATGTGTGGCTGAACGGGCACTACGTGGGGTACAGCCAGGACAGCCGCCTCCCTGCCGAGTTCAATGTCACACCTTATTGTATCACGCGTGGGAAGGAAAAGGGCGAAGAAGGCACTTCCGAGGGGAAGAATCGGGAGGGGAAAACTCGTGAAGCAGAGGAGAAAGTGCGGGTGGGAGGGGAGGGGGAGAGAGTGGGGGTCGGGGAGGAGGGGGATGGGGATGGGGATGAGGATGGGGATGGGGAAGGGGAGGGGGAGAATGTGTTGGCGGTGATGGTGGTGCGGTGGAGCGATGGGTCGTATCTGGAGGACCAGGACCACTGGTGGCTGTCTGGCATGCACCGCGACGTCACTCTGCTGTGCCGCCCACAGGTGAGATTCGATTTCATTCCTTGACAGTATGAGTCGGGCCTGAGGCGGAGAGAGAGGAAAACAGGAAAGGAGATGGGATGGGGATGGAATTGGGATAATATTGGGAAGGGGAGGGGGAAGGGGAAGGGGAGAATGTGTTGGCGGTGATGGTGGTGCGGTGGAGCGATGGGTCGTATCTGGAGGACCAGGACCACTGGTGGCTGTCTGGCATGCACCGCGACGTCACTCTGCTGTGGCGCCCGCAGGTGAGATCCGATCTGCATGTGAGAATTTATTCATTCTGTGACAGTATGGGTGGGACCTGAGGTGGAGAGAGAGGAAAACAGGAAAGGAGATGGGGATGGGGATGGGGATGGAATTGGGATAATATTGGGATGGAGATGGGGATGTGGAAGGGGGGAATGTTCTTGCGGTGATGGTGGTGCGGTGGAGCGATGGGTCGTATCTGGAGGACCAGGACCACTGGTGGCTGTCTGGCATGCACTGCGACGTCACTCTGCTGTGCCGCCCGCAGGTGAGATTCAGTCTACCTGTAAGATTCTATTAACCCACCTTTGGCATTCGGTTCACTCTGCTCTCTGCTCTGGTTTTGAGGTGCCTCAAAACTATTCGGTCTACCTGTGAGATTCTAATAACCTACCTGTGGCATTCGGTTCACTCTGCTCTCTGCTCTGCCACAACAGTAGATTTTTTCACTTTAGCGCCCACCTGCCTTTTGAAACGAGGGAGTTGTTCGCTGTGCTGTGTGGCATGTGCGTAAATTATTCTGGCCTCAATGTGACTTGAGACGTCTCAAAACACGGCCTCAATGTGACCCCCGTCTGAAAACACGTGATTGAAGAAGTGTTTTGAGACGTCTCACAACACGGCCTCAATGTGACCCCCGTCTGATCTCACTGCCAACCCTCAGGTGCACATTGCAGACTTGGAGGTGAAGACTGAAGTGGCTGACGACCTGCAGTCCGCCACATTGAAGGTGAGACGTTTGGTGGTGCATGTGGTTACCACGCGGTTGAATCTGGTTGTACATGGTTGTGTGCGGACTTGTGGGTGAAGACTGAGGTGGCTGACGACCTGCAGTCTGCAACGGTGAAGGTGAGATGCTGGTGCAGCATGGTCGATGGTTCGTGGTGACATGCGGTTGTATGCGATTGTACATGGTTGTGTGCGGATTTGGAGGTGAAGACTGATGTGGCTGACGACCTGCAATCTGCCACAGTGAAGGTGCGATGAGATGGTTGCTGCCGCATGGTGCATGGTGCATGCGGTTGTACGCGGTTGTATGTGGTTGTACGCGGTTGTATGTGGTTGTATGCGGATTTGGAGGTGAAGACTGAAGTGGTTGACGACCTGCAGTCTGCCACAGTGAAGGTGTGATGCTAGCCATGCATGATGCTTGCTGCATGGTGCATGCGGTTGTATGCGGTGGTATGTGGTTGTACATGGTTGTGTGCGGATTTGGAGGTGAAGACTGAGGTGGCGGACGACCTGCAGTCTGCAACGGTGAAGGTGAGATGGTTGCTTCCGCATGGTGCATGGCTCATGCGGCTGTACATGGTTGTATGTGGACTTGGAGGTGAAGACTGAAGTGGCTGACGACCTGCAGTCTGCAATGGTGAAGGTGCGATGCTTGCTGCTTCTTGGTGTTTGAAGAGGGGTCTGTGGGTGTATAGAGGGTTGTAATAGGTGCTGTTGAAAGGCTGGCTTCTGTACTGACTCAAAAACATTCTCCATTTCCTCCCTCCCTTCCTCCCCTTCTTTCCTTTCCCTCCTCCTCCCGCAATCTCAGCTAGTGGTGCTCCTGGAGGGCTGGCCCTGCTGAAACAGCCGTTGAGAAATCTCACAAGTCCTTCCTTCTCCGTCCCCTCCCTCCTTCCCTTCCTCCGTTCTCTCCCTTATTTCTCTTCCTCCCTCGAGCTCAGCTAGAGGTGCTGCTGGAGGGCTGGCCCCGCTGCGACATCCAATCCCTGCTCGACAGCTGTCACGTCGAGGCCTACCTCTTCGACGCGTGGCGCTCCCCACCGCCTCCACCTCAGCACCCCCTCTCTCCCTCCTCCTCCCCCTCCTCCGATCCCTCCTCCTTCCTCTCCTCCTCCCTCTCCTCAGTCCCCATGTCCCCCACCTCCTGCCCCCCTAAAGACCCTGAATTGGATGATTTAGAAGCGCTGAGGCTCCCAGAAGCAGCGGTTTTCCAGGCTGTGGGGTTGGGAGCGGGCGACAAGAGAGCGGAAGGAGTGGGAGTGGGTGGAGGAGGGGGAGAGGGGAGTGGAGGATGGAAGGATGATAAGGTGGTGGTGATTGGGAACACGATGCGAGTGCGGATGGAGGCGCAAGTGGATAAGGACAAACTTGTGTTGTGGTCTCCTGATCAGGTGAGAAGGAAACATCAGATGTGGTGCCGAAAGGGACTATTTCAAATGCTGAAACCACGTGAACACTGGATTCTCTTCTCCTCTTACCCCTCCCACTTTCCTTCGCTTCCTCCACTCCCCCCACCCCCCAGCCACACCTGTACACGCTGGTGGTGAAGCTGGCAGATGCCTCGGGGCGGGCACAGCAGGTGGAGGCGGCGAGGGTGGGGGTGAGACGGGTGGAGGTGCGGGGGAGAGAGCTGCTGGTGAATGGGAGGGCTGTGGAGGTGAAAGGGGTGAACCGGCATGAGCACCACCCGCAGACCGGGAAGGTCAACATTGAGGAGTGCATGGTCAAGGTGAGTCAACGCTGGTCAAGGTGAGTCAACGCTGGTCAAGGTGAGTCAACGCTGGTCAAGGTGAGTCAACGCTGGTCAAGGTGAGTCATTGCTGGTTACGATAATCAATGCTGGACATGGTAGGACTTATGCCGCTGTCCACTTCTCATACCCTCGCTCCCTCCCTGCTCTTATTTTAACAGGATGTGGTGGAGATGAAGTGGCACAACTTCTCACAACGTGAACGATGCGCGATGCAGCCACTACCCCAACCACCCTCTCACCACTCATGGTTTCTCACGCCCTGTTTTCATACCCTCACTCCCTGTTTTCATACCCTCACGCCCTGTTTTCATACCCTCACTCCCTCCCTGCTCCCTCCCTGCTCCCTCCTTGCTCCCTCCCTTACCAGGATGTGGTGGAGATGAAGCGGCACAACGTGAATGCAGTGCGATGCAGCCACTACCCCAACCACTCCCGCTGGTACGCCGCCCTGAATGGCCATTTTCTTTCCCTGTAAGCTCCCCGTTCGCCTGCTCACAACAACCTGCAACACACACACAACACAGCCATTGTCCATCATCATTCCCATCCCCATCCTCATAATGGCCATTCTCTCTTCCTGTAAGCTCCCTGTTCGCCTGCTCACAACAACCTGCAACACACACACAGCCATTGTCCATCCATCCCCAATTCCATTCCCATTCCCATTTCCATTCCCGTTCGCCTGCTCACAACAACCTGCAACACACACACAGCCATTGTCCATCCCCATTCCCATTCCCATGCTCATGCCCATGTGGCGTGCCCACGCCATGCCCATGCCCATGCCATACCGATTCTTATTCCCATGTGGAAACACGTGCCAATCCTCCCATCCATCTCCTCCCTCTCTCCCTTCAGGTACGAGTTGACCGATCTCTTTGGCCTTCTCGTAATCGACGAGGCGAACATAGAGACGCATGGGTTCGATCCAGACAACCACCTTAACTGGAAGGGGCTCGATTATGTTGCCAAGCATATTCCCCTCCTGTCCCTCTCCTCCTTCCTCCTCCCCTCTCAGGTACGAGCTGACCGATCTCTTTGGCCTCCTAGTCGTAGACGAGGCCAACATCGAGACACATGGTTTCGACTCAGACAACCACCTCAACCGGAAGGGGCGGCATCTCTCTCCCTTTTCATCTCTCTCCTTCCTCCTCCCCTCTCAGGTACGAGCTGACCGATCTCTTTGGCCTCCTAGTCGTAGACGAGGCCAACATCGAGATACATGGTTTCGACCCAGACAACCACCTCAACCGGAAGGGGCGGCATCTCTCTCCCTTTTCATCTCTCTCCTTCCTCCTCCCCTCTCAGGTACGAGCTGACCGATCTCTTTGGCCTCCTAGTCGTAGACGAGGCCAACATTGAGACGCACGGGTTTGATCCAGACAACCACCTCAACAGGAAGGGGCGGCAGCCGGCAGAGGACCCCGAGTGGGCGGCAGCGATGGGCGCGCGGGTGATGCGCATGTGCGAGCGCGAAAAGAACCATGCGAGCGTGGTGGTGTGGTCGCTGGGGAACGAGGCGGGCTATGGGGCAACGCACGACGCCCTGGCAGGTGGGTAGATGGGTGGAGTGCGGATGGGTGGTGTGCGGTTGGATGGTGTGGGATTGGGTGGTGTGGGATTGGGTGGTGTGGGGCTGGGTGGTGTGGGGTTGGGTGGTGTGGGGTTGGGTGGTGTGGGGTTGGGTGGTGTGCATGTGCAAGCGCGACAAGAACCATGCGAGCGTGGTGGTGTGGTCGCTGGGGAACGAGGCGGGCTATGGGGCCACGCATGACGCCCTGGCAGGTGTGGTGGGTGGTGTGGTGTAATGGTGTGGGGTTGGGTGGTGTGGTGTGGGGTTGGATGGTGTGGTCGCTGGGGAAAAAGGCGGGCTATGGGGCCACGCACGACGCCCTGGCAGGTGGGTTTGATGGGTTGTGTGTGGACAGATGGTGTGGGGTAAATGGGTGGTGTGGGGATGGGTGGTGTGGTCGCTGGGGAACGAGGCGGGCTATGGGGCCACGCATGACGCCCTGGCAGGTGGGGTAGAGTGGATGGTATGGGGAGGAATGTCAAGTTCTGCATAGGAGATGGCCTTTACTACAACGGTGACTAGCTATGCCCCCCTTCTTCCTTCCCACCATCCCCTTCCCCTGGCTCTGCATCCTTCCAGCATGGTTGCGTCACAGGGACGTCTCTCGCCCCATGCTCTATCAGGGGGGGGCGTTCTTGCACACTGCAACACCATATATCATATGCACTCCCTGCCTTCAACTTATCTTCCTTCCTGCTTTCCCCTTCCCCTGGCTCTGCATCCTTCCAGCGTGGTTACGTCAGAAGAACCCCTCTCGCCCCATACACTACGAGGGGGGCGGCTCTCGCACCACTGCCACGGACATAGTGTGTCCCATGTACATGCGCGTGCGTAGGCTATTGAGTGAGATTTCTCCTTCCCATTCCCCCTTCCCCTGCTCTTCGTTCCATCCAGCATGGTTGCGTCACAGGGACCCATCTCGTCCCATACACTACGAAGGGGGTGGCTCTCGCACCACTGCCACGGACCTAGTGTGTCCCATGTACATGCTACTGTTGAGTGACATGGCACTTGCACATCACTCTCCCTCCCTTTCCTCCTCCCCCCCCCGCATTCTTCCATCCAGCGTGGTTGCGTCACAGGGACCTGTCTCGTCCCATACACTACGAGGGGGGCGGCTCGCGCACCACTGCCACGGACATAGTGTGTCCCATGTACATGCGCGTGCCGGACATCAAGGCCATAGCTGCCGACCCCAAGGAGACCCGCCCTCTCATCCTCTGCGAGTGAGTGAATTGGTCGGTCTGTTTCCATGTACCGCCCTGCCATCTGCTGCTTTGTGCTGCTCGCCTCTGCTGTATTGCATTGCATGTAATACATGTGCTCTCGCACCTCTGCCATGGACCTGGTGCGTCCCATGTACATGCGCGTGCCTGACATCAAGGCTATTGCTGCTGATCCTAAAGAGACTCGCCCCCTCATCCTCTGCGAAAGAATCAGCAGGGCTATGTGGCTGTTACCTTGTGTTTCTTGCCCCTGCTGCTTCCACAGACACTAGTATTTCCATACAACGCTTGCAGTCATAAAATTCCTCTTATTCCATCATGTATCCAAACACACCATGCGACCCATGCTCTTTTCAATATAAATACCACCTCCACCAGGTACGCCCACGCCATTGGCAATAGCTGTGGCAACCTGTATGTTTGAGAGTCCACTCCCAACCCGCCTCATTTTGTAAACACCATGCACGGCTGTAGTGAATGCACCATACGCCCCCGCATCTGAATACCACCTCCCCCAGATACGCCCACGCCATGGGCAACAGCAGTGGCAACCTGGACGCGTACTGGGATGCCATTGAGTCAACCCACGGGCTGCAGGGAGGCTTCATCTGGGACTGGGTGGATCAGGTGCGATAGGCTTTGACTGGGACAGGCATTATCTAGGACAGGCTTTTATGTGAGACAGGCATTGCCTATGTTACTGTGGAGTGGATTCACACTGGGGACGCCATAGAGTCAACCCACGGGCTGCAGGGAGGCTTTATCTGGGACTGGGTGGATCAGGTGAGTGAGACAAGGATAGGCTTTATCTGGGACAGGATTTATCTGGGAGAGGCTTTATCCAGGAAAGGATTTACCTGAGACAGGCTTTATCTGGAACAGCCATTATTCATGGCAGTGCTAAGAAATTCCCCCCTCTTGCTCGCCCCCTCTTCCCTTCATACTCACCATTCATGTGATAAACACTCGCCATCTTGCGATAAACAGTCTCACCCCACCCACCCACCCCACCCCACCCCACCCCGCCTCATCCCACACCACCCACTTCATGCCATGCCCCTCCTCTCCCTCCTCTTCAGGGCCTGTGGAAGGACATGGCTCCACGCATCAGCACGCGGGTCGACAAGATTACCAGCGGCAGTACCTGCAATGGCATCACTGGCACTGCAACAGCAAGTCCTGACACTGACCCTAATGCCAAAGATGCTGCAGAATCACCTAGTGATCCCCCTTCGGTTGGTGCTGCGGAGGAAATGCCAAGTGAGGCACCGGTAGCTGGGGTACCAGACTCAGCGCCCCAAGCTGAGTTGGCACCTGAGTCAGCACAGGAAGGAGAAGCGACAGCTCGGGTAGCAGTAGAAGGAGAAGCAGGAGCAGCAGCAGCAGCAGCAGCAGCGGAACCCGCAGCAGCAACGGAACCAGCAGCAGCACCAGCAATTGCTGAACCAGCATGCTCGGCATCAACATCAGCAGCAGCATTGCCAGCAGCAGGTCTCAAAGGAAATCAAAGTGGTAGCAGGAAAGCTGGAATAGAGGGGCTGCAGGAGCAGCAGAAGCAGCAGCAGCAGCAGCAGCAGCAGCAGCAGCAACCATGGGAGGAGGTGGAGCTGCCAGTGAAACATCCTGGAAGGTTCTGGGCGTATGGGGGCGTCTTTGGGGACACACCCAACGACCTCAACTTTTGCATCAACGGGCTCGTGTGGCCCGACAGGACTCCCCACCCTGCCATGCGCGGTAAGTGTAGCACCTGACCATGCCAGGCAAGCATAGTACACTGATATGGGAGGTATGGGTGCGGGAGTGGCCCAGTGGGGGACACGCATGGTTCCGTTCCATGCAATGTGCTTACTTCGGGCGTATGGGGGTGACTTCGGGGACCCACCCAACGATCTCAACTTCTGCATCAATGGGCTTGTGTGGCCCGATAGGACTCCGCACCCTGCCATGCGAGGTGAGTGAGCATATTGTCATGTGAGCGAGGTGAGGGGGCTGGGATCAAATCCGGGTTAAGCATATGCTAGACTTTGGGGACACTTTTTGAGGCGCCTCAAAATACACCTCACTGCACGCGGATTTTGAGGCGCCTCAAAATACACCTCATGCTAGACTTTGGGGACACACCTAATGACCTCAACTTCTGCATCAATGGGCTTGTGTGGCCCGATAGGACTCCCCACCCTGCCATGCGTGGTAAGTGGGTTGGCATGTGCGGTAAGTGGGTTGGCATGTGCGGTAAGTGGGTTGGCATGTGCGGTAAGTGGGTTGGCATGTGCGGTAAGTGGGTTGGCATGTGCGGTAAGTGGGTTGGCATGTGCGGTAAGTGGGTTGGCATGTGCGGTAAGTGGGTTGGCATGTGCGGTAAGTGGGTTGGCATGTGCGGTAAGTGGGTTGGCATGTGCGGTAAGTGGGTTGGCATGTGCGGTAAGTGGGTTGGCATGTGCGGTAAGTGGGTTGGCATGTGCGGTAAGTGGGTTGGCATGTGCGGTAAGTGGGTTGGCATGTGCGGTGAGTGCGAGCCTTGTTATAAGAGGCCTCTGACCTCAACTTCTGTATCAACGGGCTCGTGTGGCCTGGCAGGACTCCCCACCCTGCCATGCGTGGTAAGCTCCCTGCCATGCGCGGTAAGGGAATTGGCTTGTAAGGTAAGCATAGTGCCATGTCATGCGAGGTAAGCACCCTGCCTTGTACGGGGTGGTCCCTCGTGTCATCCCACCTGTATCATCTTCCTCTCTTCTCACCCTTCTCATCCCCTCTACCCCTCCACTCTCCCATGCCTCCACCCCTCCACGCCCCACCATCAGAGCTGGCACATGTGTATCGCTACTTTGGCTTTAAGTGGACGGAGCAGGGTGACGTTGAGGTATGACATGTGTCGAGCTGGGAGCATGCACAGCGGTGCTGATGGATGTAGAGTGCTGCAGAGTGGTTTAGAGGGATGCAGACCAGTAGAGTGTTTGTAGGTGTGGGGGGCCCACATGCCCACCACATACACCCCTCTGTACCGCACTCAATCTCTTCATCCCCACCCTTATCTCCCTGTCCAACCTTCAACTCTTCTTTGTCACCTCCCATATACTCCCACGAAATATGCCTCTCACTTACCCCTCTCCTTCTACACCTTCCCCTCTCTCTCTCCCCCCCTTTCCCCTTCCCCCCCTCCTCCCCTCTCTCTAACCACCAGGTTTTCAACAAGAGTTTCTACCAGCCCTCCTCCGCCTTCTCCTTCTCCTTCTCTCTCTTCTCCCTCCCTCCCCCCCCGCAATCCACCACCGCCCTTCCCCCCTCTCCTCCCACTCCCATCCTCTCCTGCCCACTCGCCATTCCTACCATCCTGCCACGTCAGTGCCACGTCATCCCCAGCCCCATCCCTGCTGACCTGGACTGGGCGGCGCATGGTGTCAGCGCTGACTCAGAGCTCTTTGCACTGTTCACTGCTACAGTGAATGAGAGAACAAGGTGGTGTGCTCCGGGGCAGGTTGTCGCATCTGTTCAGCTGCCCTTTAAGCTGCCCGAAGGAGCTATTTCCACCAAGCCTGCCATCTCCGAACCTGAGCTGTCCGAGCCTGCTCTACCCATCCGCCAATCATCTGTTCTCGTCACATCCACTGACGGCTCGTTCGCAATCACTGTTCACGTGAAGACCGGTGGCGCACTTTCCTGGAAGGTGAGGCTTGTGTCTGCTCTAGTTCCCGTCTCTTGATCATGACCCTGAAAAAATAGACTACTATGCGAAGTAGAAGGAGAAGTAGACTACTATGCGTTCCAGTAAAAGGAGAAGTAATCTCCCTCGTACCAGTTGGCGTCCCACATTCCCCCCTCCGGCCCTCTTCTGCCTTTACTCCCGCCATCCTCCCCCCCCCCCGCAAATCACACCCACAGATTGACGGTTCCGACCTGCTGCTCCCCCCGTTTCCCCCTGCCCCATGCCTGTGTGTGTGGTGGGCACCCACTGACAACGACAAGGGAGGCAGTGCCACACCCTTCTTGCTCCTCTCCCGTCCTGCCTCCCTGTCCTTCCCACTCGCTTAGATCAACGGTTTGGATGTGTTGCTCCCCTCGCTGCCGTCCTCGCCCTGCCTCGCCCTGTGGTGAGCACCCATGGACAACGACAAGGGAGGCGGCGCTGCCAGCTACACTGCCCGATGGAAGGCTGCTGGGCTCTACAGCCTTGTTGCTGCCCAGGGCTGCTCCCATTGGCCTCTGTTCCTGGATCCCTCTCACTCTCCATCCCACTGCACCCCCTGTCCTCCCGTTTCCCCCCCATTCCCCCCTTCCCTCTTCCCATTCGGAAATAATTCACACTCAGGTCAATGGGTCTGACCTGCTGCTTCCCCCGCTGCCGTCTTCGCCCTGCCTCGCCCTGTGGCGAGCACCCACGGACAACGACAAGGGAGGCGGCGCTGCCAGCTACGCTGCCCGATGGAAGGCTGCTGGGCTCAACAGCCTCTCTGCTGCTGACGCTGGGGGGGTGATTTCCCTAAAAGGGGACGCTACGGTGGTGTCTGCAGGGAGAGGGGAAGGAGAGGGGAAGGACGAAGAGAAGAGGGTTGAAGATGGGGACGGGAAAGAGGGGCAGCAAGGCGAGGGTGATGATGAGCCTTTAAAAGTTTCGATTGGAAAGGATGGGTTGGTCTCTGTGGTAGTAGAGGCAACTTTTCGACCCCGGGCAGATGAAATTTCTGAGGAGGGAGCTGTGGAGGCTGGTGCTGCCCCAACCAATCTGGTCGAGGCTTATGGAGGGGCAGAAGCTGAAGCATCTGCCAGCGCCGGGCAGGCTAAAAATATTTCCGACGTGGACTGCTGGGTCCGGCTCAAGTCAGAATGGCAGATCCATGGCAACGGGCAGGTTGTTGTAAAATTTTGGGTGGACCCAAGCCCTGCTCTGCCGCCTCTACCGCGTGTTGGAATGCAGTTCCGGGCAGCAAAAAAACTCTCCAACGCTGTCTGGTCCGGGCGGGGCCCGCACGAATGTTATCCTGACCGGAAGCAGTCTGCACACGTGGCGCTTCACTATTTGCCGATGAAATCCCTGCACGTGCCGTACATTGCTCCTGGGGAGAATGGAGCGAGAGTAGACACGCGTTGGGTCACACTCTTTACAAGCACACAGGAGGGAGAACAACAGGGGTCGGTGGGGGAACCACAGAAGGGTGCAGAAGGCGGTTCGCAGCCAGAAGCACAGGGGGGAGCACAGGTGGAAGCGCAGGGGGAGGAATGGAAGGAGGCAGATGGGGGGAAGGGGAGGGAGGTATTCCAGAAGGTTCCATACTTAGGGCTTGTTATGGAGCCAGTGGAGATAGGAGGAGGGGAGGGAGGTGGAGGAGAGCGTGAGGAGAGTGGGGAGGGAGGGAAGGCGGTGGTGCATTTCAGTGCGAGTGGGTATTCTGCAGAGGAGCTGCATCGGGCACAGCATGAGGAGGAGCTGGTGGAAGACGAGGAGTACAACCATGTGAGTGGATTGGGGATATACTTTTCAAAGGATGGACTAAAAAAGAGGTGACTAGCAAGTGGGTACTGTGCAGAGGAGCTACATCGAGCACAGCACGAGGAGAAACTGGTGGAAGGCGAGGAGTACAACAATGTGAGTGGATTGGGAGGGGGGGGGGTTATTTTGAGGCTCTTATCTGAAGAGGTGAAGTTTCTGTTGTCATCGAGCACAGCATGAGGAAGAACCGGTTGAAGATGAGGAGTGCAACCATGTGAGTGGATCGGGGGGGTAATGTCTGTCGTGGTCAACTTAAAAGAGGTAAATACTTGAGTTCAACTCTCTCTCTCTCTCTCTCTCTCTCTCTCTCTCTCTCTCTCTCTCTCTCTCTCTCTCTCTCTCTCTCTCTCTCTCACAGCTCGGTCGCAGCTGACTGCTTGACTCAAGGGACGAGATACACCCAACTCCATTCTCTCAGGTGTATCTGAATCATGTTATCATTGGGGTGGCGGCGATGATTGCAGGACTCCATCCGACCACCAAACCGAATCACAACATTCCTACCTGATGACCTTCCCTTCCCAACCCCCGCCACCCACACCCACGCACACAACACTTTCAGGTGCATCTCGATCATGCCATCATGGGGGTGGGCGGGGACGACAGCTGGACTCCAGCTGTCCACCGGACCGAAATCACAGGATACCTACCTGATGACCTCCCCCTTCCCACAACACCCACACAACCCATTCAGGTGCACCTCGATCATGCCATCATGGGGGTGGGCGGCGACGACAGCTGGACCCCATCGGTGCACAAGGAGTTTCTGCTGCCGCCCCGCCCGTACGCATTTGGAGTGGCATTCCGGCCCCTTACTGGGCGAATGGAGTGACGCCGCACAAGGCTTTCGAGGCGCCTCGAAAGGTAGCGCAGCGTTCCGGCTGGGAGTGACTCATTGATCGGTGCCTATTGGGTTTCTGCTGCAAACCACCCCACCTGTATGCATTTGGGGTGGCATTCCGGCCTCTGATGCATCAAGTATGCCTGCAGTACGGTATGTTCTCCTGAGATACGGTAGCTACCGTAAATCTGGTTCCCATCCCAAAACTGCACAGGATCTTACTGCCGCTACCCTGGTACCAGTATGAATCTGATGTGGGCATGTGGTAGGCTGGCAACATTTGCTCTCCATCTGACCTCTCACGTGTGGATAGCTAGGTTGGCTTTGAGCCTTCTGTGCAAAGCACCAGCAGTTTCTGAACATATGTGCTTGTGCAAGACATCAGATCAGAGCAGGTACGGTATTGCATTTATGTTGTTAGGTGTACAGATCTTTGTGGAAAGGACTGGGATGGAAAGGATAGCACACACCTAAATTTCTGTTCTGTAAGTTGCTAACACATTGGCTGGGCTGCCAGACCTCCTAATTGACCATACTATGTGCATAATGCACCCTACGATATTTAAGAATTGATCACATAGGTGGAGAAGAATTTATCTATTACAGGTTGGTGCAGTATGAGAGCGTAGTGTATCAGCTGGATTTGGCTTTGCCGGTCTTCTGCCCCATGAGTACAGCAGCAAAGAAAATGAGGACGAAACCGAGCATGAGCACAGCGGCAGCAGCGGGGATGAGCACGGCGTAGATGCGCGGGAGGAAGAGCGCATTGATAAAATGGCCGTCCGGGAGAAACGGCTGGGGGTGGGAGGGAGTAGGAGGAAAGGGCGATAACGGGAAAGAGAACGGGGGAAACAGTGGCAGCAGCGGGGATGAGCACAGCATAAATGCGCGGGAGGAAATGCGCGTTGATAAAATGGCCGTCTGGGAGAAACATCTGGGGGTAGGCCGGAGTGGGAGGGGTGTGGGGTGGGGAGGGGAGTGGGGAACAGCGGGAATTGTTGGGAGAAAGGGAAAAAGGGGAACGCGAAGGAGGAGACAGCGAGTGGAAGAGAAACGAGCAGGGCAACCATGGATGCGTGGGATGAGGAAGGATTTGATGAAACGTCCGCCTGGAAAAAACGGCTGGGCCGAGGATTCAATGGATCGGGGGAGGCGATAATTGACGACGACACGGGGAGCACTGTAACCAGAAGTCGCGACCTAGCCGGACGCGAGCACTCATCGCCGAAAGCCAGACCAGTATTGGAACGATCTTGTCTACAAGCGATACTCTGTACGAGAACATGGTACTTACTGTAACGAGGACCCAGATGCTGTAGTACGAGAACACGGTAAGCGCGATCAGAACCAGCACGCCACCGACTATGCGATCCACGGTGTCGCTCATCGCGTCTCGTAGATGCTACGAAGGCATACGAAGTGTTTTCAGTTCCTAAGAACAACTACCCTCCTGTGTGAATCAAGACCTCCCCCGCCGCCGCAAGTCCCGCTAGGATGTGATGTGGATGGCTGGAGGGTCGTTTAGATTTGCAAGCTTGAGTGCTGACTCTTGGTTGAAATAGCTATTTTGCAAGTGGAAATGGTTTACATTTTGAGAATAGCCACGATTACAGTTATTTCGCGAAACAAGGGAAAACTGGCTGACGAAAGTCTAAAAAATTCCGAGCCTCAAGCCATTGTGAGCTGGTTTGCAGAACTATCATCGGGCAGCTCGAAGTGGGTCAAGGGTTACATCATTCCGTGCGAAGAATGGCAGGCGAGGGTAACATTGAAATGTTTACTTCGTGAGTTTGCTTGGCTACCTGCAAATCCTTTTTTTTCCAAAGCACACCCAGAGCTCCAGGTGTGCAAGGGCAGATTCTCCTGACTCCTGATCCGGAGTCATAAAAATTCAAGGATTTATGCCGTTTCTGATTCTGATTGGGGGCGAGCGTAACGGCAAGGATGAAACAGACGACCAGGATGCCTGCAATGAGGCCTACAAACGGTTGGATGTGCCTTGAAAAACACGAGGGCAATTCCAAGCAGCACGATAGGCTCGGAACATTGCCTCACCGTGTCAGCCTCCCCCTCTGATGGTTTCTTGCAGCCAGCAAGACAATCCGCCAGCACACCATCCCTTTCTAATTCCACTTCCACCCACGCGTACTCCTCTCCATCCCTCTCTGTCCACCTCCCCCCACCATCTTCCTCCACCCACCCACCCGTCCATCCATCCATCCTTCCTCTCTCAGAAAGCATTCTCAAATCTTGGTTCATTCAGGGCCAGAGCCAGAACCTGGTTTTCAGGAACAGGACAGACTACGGAAAGATTCTCTCTCCGTGTTGGTGCTGCATTCAATACTGCCACGTTTGCTATGTTAGGGTTGGGATTAGGATAGCTTCTGGTTGTCCCCCATCCTAGTTTGCTGCTCTAAGACGGAAAAGAAGGCGACGGTTTTGAGAAAGTTCTGACTGCTGTCGACGTGGACAGGTGAGAGTCTACGTAACTCGCAATGCCTTCTAAAATGTCAGTGCTACGTAAAACAATGGACTTTGCGAGATTTGCAAGTTGGTTTTCAATGTTGCATTCATCGCAGATATGACGAATGGCAGGAAGCTGCCGACTATCTCGATCGCGCTGTCATTGCAATTCCATGTTTCGCCTTCTGTTATCCGACTTTTGCATCTCCTTTCGTCCGGCGTCACACTTAACTTTAGTGTATGTCCTTCCGGCGCAATCTCTCGACATAATGCTGCCTGGAAACTGCTTGTGCATCGACAATGCTTGCTGATAACTCGCGTAACTAATTTGCCCAGCTTCGGTAAGGTTGCGAAGCTGCCTGACGCTGAGCCGTCCCAGCCGCCTTTCCTAGCAATGATCCCACGACCACACTTATGTTGACTCTTTGAACGAAGCAATCGTTTTGTGTCGCGAAACGCTTTTCTTAGTCGATGCTGCACCGTTGACTCTCCGTCGTGTGTGTGGAACAGGCCGCGTCTGTGCACGGTTTGTTCGCACGCTTGCGTCATTCTTAGATGTCGTATGTCATGAAATTCAAATGCCATGCTCGTCGATGTTGACGACGCGGGGAGTGAGCGTCCAGGTGTACATCCATACGGCCTGCTTACAGGTTTCCTGAATCGTCGAACGATTCTTTTAGTCGACTCGAACCTCATCATGTACAATTGGCGCGTTCCCGTCTTGGACACAGAATCGCCACCAGCCACATTAAGAACACAAGCTATTAAGAAAACGAACGAGTCTGTCTACCCTAACGTCCCTACTCTTCGCTGCTTCCTTTTTCTCAATCCGCCAACCTCTTCCATCTCCCAGCGATGGCGCCCGCTGTTCCTGTGAGCGAAGCCGCTGGCTGGACCTAACGTTTGTGCTGCTGCGGGCGCTGCTCTCGCTGCACCCTCAATCATTCAAATAATTTCCCTTCCTATCCGCTGCTTTCTTTTTTTCCCTCGCTCCGCGAATCCCTCCCATCTCCCTTCCAGCGATGGCGTCCTCTATACCCGTGAGCGGAAGGCGCGGGTTGGACCTGCCGTTTGTGCTGCTGCTGGTGGCGCTGCTTTCGCTTCACCCTCTGCTGCTGGGTGCGGCCGACACCGGCCCGCAGCAGACGCCTGACAGTAAGTCACGTGCATCGGACAGGTGACACTCAGGCGGCCTTTTTATTCGGATCTGTTTGAACCGAATGCATTGCTGGGTGCTGCCGACACTGGCCCGCAGCAGACGCCTGACAGTAAGTCGCGTGTATCGGAGAGAGGTGTTCGACACGAAGGTGTCATCTGGGTGACCTTCTAATCAAATCTGCTTGGGACGAATGCACAGCTGGGTGTGGTGCGGTGCGGCCGACGCTGGCCCGCAGCAGACGCCAGGCAGTCAGTCGGTAAATGCAGCAGACGAGCAGAAGTGTTCGATGGCCTTTTCATCATATGCTGCTTGAAACGAATGCCCTCCTCCGCTCTCCTCTGCGCCCGTCTCCTCCTCAGTGGCGGCGCTGGTACAGCTGGAGGCAATGCTGCAGTCAACGGCCCCTGGGGTGGTGTCGACGTGGGGAGGGAAGGGGAGCCCCTGTGAGAAGGCCTGGACCACTGACATCCAACCCCCTCCCTTTTCCCCCATCCCTCTCTTCCCGCTCCCCACCAGTGGCGGCGTTGCTGCATTTGCAGGCGGCGCTGCAGTCAACGGCTGGGGAGGGAAGGGGAGCCCCTGTGAGAAGGCCTGGACCACTGACATCCAACCCCCTCCCTTCCCCCCCATCCCTCTTTTCCCGCTCCCCCCCAGTGGCGGCGCTGCTGCAGCTGCAGGCAGCGCTGCGTTCAACGGCCCCTGGGGTGCTGTCGACGTGGGGAGGGGAGGGGAGCCCCTGTGAGAAGGCCTGGACCACTGACATCCGCTGCGACCCCGTCACTTGCCGCGTGGTGCACCTGTGAGTCGCTGCTGCTGCCAAGTCCCATGTGGCGCATGTGTGTCCATGTGTGTCCATGTGTGTCCATGTGTGTCCATGTCTCCCACCCTCCTCACGCCCTCACCACACCCTCCTCATGTCCTCACCATTCCCGCACCAAGCCATCTCTCCTTGCAACCGTGTTCTGTTCTCTCCCCGGCATTTTTCTACCCTTTCGTGTGCTACTCTGCTGCTGCTCTGCTGCTTTACTGCGGTTCTTCTGTATTGCTGTGCTGGGTTGCTCCCATCACTACTCACCACAGGGATCTCAAGCGGGCGGGCCTCGTTGGGAACATCCCCACCTTTGAGCTCTCCCAGTTCGATGCTCTCACTTATCTGTAAGTAGGCAGCACAAGCATGCTCTCACATACCTGAAATCGCACATGCACACGCTCTCTCACACACCTGTAACACCCGTCCGCCCCTGTCTCCTCTCACCCATTCGATTCTTCCTTTCTGGACCTCGCCATCGAGCTGCCAGCAGCAACACCCCTCTCCCAACGGTCAGGCGTTTATCGACTGAAAGATGGTTTCATACCTCCACCTCCCCCCTCTCCTTCCCCTCTCCCCTCACTCCACTCTCCTCCAGGGACCTGGCAGCCAACAACTTCTCTGCATTCAACGGCCAGGCGTTCATCGTGCAGATGACCAGCCTGCAGCACCTGTGTGTGCTGTGATGTGCTTCCTTGACCCACCTTGTGTTCGTGTATGTGTCTGTATGTACCACCTCGAAGAAGGCTTCCCCCTAATCCCCTCCCTGGTGCCTGGGAGGCTCTCTGTCCTCCCACATGTCTTACATTACCATGTTACAACACATCTCGATCATCTTCAGCTCCTAACCTCTTTCTCTTCCATGGTCCATCCATTCAGGTCTCTCGCAAAGAACAACATGAAGTGGTTTCCCACGGATGTTGACATGCTCACGAGTCTCACCTTTCTGTGAGTGAACAGCTTACCTCCTCCCTGTTGGCAGCATACCTCTTCTCTATAAGCACACTCGCTTTTCTGTATGTGCACTGTTGAGACGGCTCGAAGGAGAAGCAACACGAATTGGTTCCTCACGAATGCTGACATGTTGATTTTCTCGCGCTCACCTTCCCACTCTTGCAGCGATCTGAGCAACAAAAAGTTTGACGGTCAGATCCCCGTGGACATCTTCCAGCTGCTGTCCCTTCTCTTCCCCTTCTCCTCGTAATTCCTTTTGACAAATTTCCCGCGCTCACGTTCCCACTCCTGCAGCGATCTGAGCAACAACAAGTTCGACGGTCAGATCCCCGTGGACATCTTCCAGCTGCGCAATCTTGAAGTTCTGTGAGTCGCTGCCTGCCCTCACACTCGCCCAACGCGAGGTCCCTCCAGGACTTGCTTTACTCACGCTGCTCTTGAGGTGGTCAGATCCCTGTAGACATCTTCCACCTGCGCAACCTAGAAGTAATGTGAGTCTCTGCAGTCCCACTTCAGAACTCGCTTTGCACACGTTGTTCTTGAGACGGCCAGATCCCCGTACACATCTTTCAGCTGCGCAACCTCGAAGTTCTGTGAGTCGCTGCTCCTAACTGGCATCATTTCTCCGCATGCTTGCTCGTCCTATGTAGTTGCTCCCGAGCCGTGTCCACCCTGGCTTCCCCCTCCCCTCCTCCCCTGTCTTGCTTTCCCTGCTTGCTCCTACCACGCACGCCCTATCTGCTCTTTTAAAGGCCGCATCTGCCTGGCGCGGGTAGCTCCTTAAGGAACAATCTGTTCATAGGGACTGTGCCTTTAGGGACATGACATCTGCCTTAAGGACGGCTCAAATGTCTTCCCTCCCTCGCCTCGCCCTATCCACTCAAGGGAGTGTGCTTTTTAGATACGTCTCTAAAGTCCTCCCTCCCTCCCCCGCCTTATCCACTCTCTCAATGGCCCCGCCCTTCTGACACAGGTCCTTGGAGAACGATCTGTTCACAGGGAAGGGAGTGTGCCTTTTAGAGACGTCTCTAACGTCCTCCCTCCCTCCCCCGCCTTATCCACTCTCTCAATGGCCCTGCCCTTCTGACACAGGTCCTTGGAGAACAATCTGTTCACAGGGAGTGTGCCTCGCGCTCTCAGCAACCTTGTCCGCCTCAAGACGCTGTAAGCACAGTCGTAGCTACGCTTTACGCAACTCAGGATTCTGTCGCTGCAACTCTTTTGAAACCGTATTCAACCACACTAATTGCCTCTTCTTCCCGTTACTGGCTTGTTCACACGCAAGGCTTTCATAGTTGTCGCGTCGCGTGTACCCCTAGTTGCGAATTGAATCAGGAAGGAGTAGCGGCCTCTTGCTCCTTTTCACTTTTCCTCACCTTTAGCTTAACCCCTCCCTGCCTGCCTGCGTCCATACACTTGCAGCAATCTTGGCAAGAATGATTTCTACGGCCCGCTTCCCCAGTTCTTTGGCGCCATGCACGACCTGGTTAACCTGTGAGTTTGGAACGAGCATTTCACTCTGGATGACGTCATGTGTGTGTGTGTGTGTGTGTGTGTGTGTGTGTGTGTGTGTGTGTGTGTGTGTGTGTGTGCTTTGCTTTCACACCAAACATACGCGGTTATTGGGACGTCCCAAGGTACCTGTGATGCTGTGCACCAGTGGCCTAACCACTTCTTTCTTGAAATGTCCATGCATCCCCTACTCATCCCCTCACCCCTTAGCCTAACTCTCCGTGTAAGCACCATCACCTGTGCACACATATCATGTACGTCTGCCTGCTACGGGGCTTGCTTCTGTGTTGCATGGTGGCTGGCTTGCATGACTTGCATGGGATAACTCTTGCATGGCATGGCGTGGCATGATGGTCTGGTGTGGTGTGGTGGCAGGAAGATGGATCTCAACCGCTTTGAAGGCACCATCCCCGAAACCTATGCCATTCTCAGGAACCTCCGTCGCTTGTACGTGCCCCTTTGGTTTGTCTCTAGTTTTTTTGAGAGAGGGCGTGAGGGGAGAAGGAAAGTTTTTGGGGTGAGCGGCTGCTATACCACCTTCCCCGTCCACGCTTGTCATCCATTCCATACATGTTCTGTTCCTAAATTATCGTCACCCCTACTCCATCCCTCTTCTTGAGTCCTGTGCTCGAACTTTTGAGGCACCTCAAAAGTCCTTCCTCGTCCACGCTTGTCAGCCATTCCATACCTGGTCCTTGTACTCCCTCCCCCACACTCCTCCCCTCTTCTTGAGACCAAGACTCGAATAGAACACATTCATAAATTCCACTTCCCTTTTCCCCTGTCTCCCTGTCTCCCTCCCCCTCTCTCTCCCACCTCCACCAGGGACCTGAGCTCCAACAGGAACCTCACAGGTCCTCTCCCCAGCTTCCTGGGCGAGCTCGGTCTGCTGCAGTCGCTGTGAGTCAACCAAGTCAACGCTGCCTGTGTTTCTGTTGAAGAGGGGTGAGGGGGGGGGAGAGGGGGGAGAGGAGTTCGAGAGACACTGCACTGCAGTCATTGTCAGTCAACAGAGTCAATGCTGCCCACAGTCTGTATGGAGAGTGGGGTGGGTGAGTCATTGTATTCACTCGCTCGATTGAGTCAGTGCTGCCCATATCTTACGGAAAGAGAGAGAGTGGAGAGGAGGACAGTCGGAGAGTCAATGCAGTCAATGAAGTCAAACAACCGCTTCAGGGGCTCCAACGCTTGCTTACCCTCTCTCTGCCGCCCCTCCCTCTGCTGTCCCTCCCTCTGCTGTCCCTCCCTCTGCTGTCCCTCCCTCTGCTTTCCCTCCTCTCAGCTCTTTGGACGACTGTGACTTCACCGCTGGACTCCACGACAGCTCCTCAAGTCCCTCACTCGTCCCGATCCAACCACCCTCCACCCCCCTCCCTCCCACTCTCATCCCAACAGCTTTCTCGATGACTGTGACTTCACACCGGTGGGCTGCTCGAGTCCCTCGCCCGCCTCCCCTACCTCACAGAGCTCTTTCTAGAGCACCACTGCTTTGAGGGAACCATTCCCGAGGCGTACGGGCACTTACTTCCCTCACACAACCTGACCGGCCTGAACCACTCTCCACCCACTCTCCAACCACTCTCCAACCACTCTCCACCCACTCTCACCCACTCTCACCCACTCTCACCCCATCTCGTCTTGCACAGATCTCTGGACGACTGTGACTTCAACCGGCGGGCTCCTCGAGTCCCTCGCCCGCCTCCCCTACCTGACGGAGCTCTTTCTCGAGCACAACCGCTTTGAGGGCTCCATTCCCACTTACCTCCCTCCGCTCCCCTGTCCCTCCCTCCCGCACAGCTCTCTGGATGACTGCGACTTCACCGGTGGGCTGCTCGAGTCCCTTTCTCGCCTGCCCTACCTCACCGAACTGTTCCTCCAGCACAACCGCTTTGACGGCTCCATTCCTTCCTTTCTTTTCTCCCAACCTTCCACTTCCCCTTCCCTGTCCCTCCCTCCCGCACAGCTCTCTGGATGACTGTGACTTCACCAGTGGGCTGCTCGAGTCCCTTTATCACCTGCCCTACCTCACGGAGCTTTTCCTCGAGCACAACCGCTTTGAGGGAACCATTCCCGAGGCATACGGGCACTTCCCGCGCATCGTGTCTCTCTACCTCAGCAACAACCGCCTCATGGGGGGGATTTCCCACTTACCTCCCCCCGCTCCCCTGTCCCTCCCCACCTCTTAAACAGCTCTCTGGACGACTGTGACTTCACCGGTGGGCTGCTCGAGTCCCTCTCCCGCCTGCCCTACCTCACCGAACTGTTCCTCGAGCACAACCGCTTTGAGGGGACCATTCCCGAGGCGTACGGGCACTTCCCGCGCATCGTGTCTCTCTACCTCAGCAACAACCGCCTCACGGGGCGCATTCCCGAGAGCATGTGTGGGCTGGAAACGGCGGAGCTGCTGGTGCTGGAGAGGAATGAACTGACTGGCCCAGTGCCACCGTGCATGCTGCAGCTGCAGGGGCTGCTCATTCTGTGAGTGCCTCTGCCTCTCCTCTCACACATGGATAAATGTGTCGTTCTCTCTACCTGAGAAACAACCGCCGCACGGGGCGAATTGTTGAGAGCATGTGTGGGCTGTAAATGGCGGGGCTGCTGGTGCTGGAGAGGAATGAGCTGACTGGGCCCTTGCCACCGTGCATGCTGCAGCTGCAGGGGCTGCTCATTCTGTGATTTGCGCCTTCTATCGAATCATGTGTGTAACACACTTTTTCAGCACCAATGGTGTGCTGGAGAGGAACCAGCTGACTGGCCCCATGCCGCCTTGCATGCTGCAGCTGCAGGGGCTGCTCATTCTGTGAGTTGTGCCTTCTATGAAATCATGTATGTAACCCACTTTCTCAGCACCAACGGTGTGCTGGAGAGGAACCAGCTGACTGGCCCCGTGCCGCCTTGCATGCTGCAGCTGCAGGGGCGGCTCATTCTGTGAGTTGTGCCTTCTGTGAAATCATGTATGTAACCCACTTTCTCAGCACCAACGGTGTGCTGGAGAGGAGCCAGCTGACTGGCCCCGTGCCGCCTTTCATGCTGCAGCTGCAGGGGCTGCTCATTCTGTGAGTTTTGCCTTGTATGAAATCATGTATGTAACCCACTTTCTCAGCACCAACGGTGTGCTGGAGAGGAACTAGCTGACTGGTCCCATGCCGCCTTGCATGCTGCAGCTGCAGGGGCTGCTCATTCTGTGAGTTGTGCCTTCTATGAAATCATGTATGTAACCCACTTTCTCAGCACCAATGGTGTGCTGGAGAGGAACCAGCTGACTGGCCCCGTGCCGCCTTGCATGCTTCAGCTGCAGGGGCGGCTCATTCTGTGAGTTGTGCCTTTTCTTGGATCATGCACGTCACACTCCAATTCAGCAGCAACCGGTTGTCTCACAGAGCCCTTACTTCCCAACCCCCTCAGTTTAAACCTCTCCCTTTAACCCCCTCCCTCTGAGTCCCTCGTTCTTACCCCCTCTCCCCCACGCCACAGGGACGTGTCAGATAACTACCCCACGGGAACACTTCCCAGAGTCCCTCCCGAGAGGTTGTGTGAGCGACAGGCGGGAATCGTGGTCCCAAATTATGGTCCCAAGTTCCAACCCCCTCTCTCTCTAAATCCCTCCCTCCAACCCCCTCTCTCCCCCCCACGCCACAGGGACGTTTCAGAGAACTACCTCACGGGCACACTTCCCAGGGTCCCTCCTGGCTCGCCCATGCAGTTTGTGTGAGTGACACTAACGTTAGTGAAGGGTTTTAAGGTTTCTACTGATCGTTTTTCCAGGAAAGAATTTCTGTTTCGTTTCCTTTTGTTGCTTTAAGCGTCACTCTTTAGAATTGCTGCTCTTCCATTATGAGCGAAGACCCGGGCACACTTCCCAGGGTCCCTCCCGGCTCGCCCATGCAGTTTGTGTGAGTGACACTAATTCTGTCTCTGTACAACGTCAAGACTTCATGTCTGCTGGTTGGCTTGGCTTGGCTGGGTAACATTTCTCTGTCCTGTTAAAATCTCTCACTCAACCCCGTTGCTGTACCCCTCTGCTCGAGTAGTGTGTATCTCATTGGTCTCCGACTGTTGATAGATCCCTTGACTCAAACTCTGTTGCCCACTGCTGGTCGCCTTAATGTCTCTCTCTCTCTCCCTCGCTCCCTCTCCCCTCTGCTCCCATTTCTCATTATCCATCCCACACTTCTTCCATATCCCGATTAGGTGCCCACAACACACTCCCTTCCCGCCCACCCTCCCTTGCTCCCTCCCTCCCGGTTCCCCACATGACCAACTGCTTTGATAAAGTGGCCGACAACTCCCCTGCCTGCCCAGTAGCTCTGCCGGGTGGGCGAGAGGGCCCCCCTGCTTTCTCTTTCCCTCCCTCCCTCCCTCCCTTCCCCCCACCCTCCCGGTCCCCCACATGAACAACTGCGTTGATAAAGTGGCCGACAACTCCCCTGCCTGCCCAGTAGCACTGCCGGGTGGGCGAGAGGGCTTTCCTTTTCTGACCCGCGCCCACAACACACTCCCTTGCCGCCCTTCCTCCCTTCCCGAATACTCCCTCCGTTCCCCAGCCACATGAACAACTGCTTTGATAACGTGGCCGATAACTCCCCTTCCTGCCCAGTGGCAGCACCGGGTGGGGGGGAGGAGCAGATAGGCGCCCCCATCGACCAGCAAGGAGGTGGGCCCCCCAACCAGCAAGTCGGAAATCCCCTCGACCAGCAGCAAGGGGGGCTCTGGTGGTAGCCAGCAAGTGGGAGTCCCGATTGACCGGGAAGGAGGTGGGATGGAGCAACCAGGAAGTGCCTTTTGAGTCGATTCAACAATCACTCCTTTCCTTCGTCCCTCCCTCCTTCCCTCCCTCCTTCCTTCCCTCCCTCCCTCCCAGCCACTTGAACAACTGCTTTGATAACGTGGTCGATAACTCCCCTTCCTGCCCAGTAGCAGCACCCGGTGGGGGGGAGGAGCAGATAGGCGTCCCCATCGACCAGCAGGGAGGCGGGCCCCCCGACCAGCAAGTCGGAAATCCCCTCGACCAGCAGCCAGGGGGGGATGTTAACCAGCAAGTGGGGGTCCCAATTGACCGGGAAGGAGGGGGGTCTGTGAGTCAGAATGTGGGGGTGCCACAGCAGCGACCGGGGGCCGGGAGCATTGGGCAGCAAGTGGGGGTGCCCATTGGTCAGCAGCTGCCGGGAGGTGTTCCTGTGCCTGGCGCCAACACCCCGCCCTGCCCTGACAGTGAGTTCCTTGCTTGCACCCCTCTCTGTCCTGAGTGAGAGTAATCTTTCCACTGGTAACCAGAATGGAGTAACAACAAGGGGCCAGGAGCATTGGGCAGCAAGTGGGGGTGCCCATTGGTCAGCAGCTTCCAGGCGGCGTTCCTGTGCCTGGCACCAACACCCCCCCCTGCCCTGACAGTGAGTAACCCTCCCTGACAGTTTTTGTTTATTTTTCTTCTTCTTTCTTGTTGTTGTTGTTTTTTTTTTTTTTTTTTTTTTTTTTTTTTGCTTTCTCTTTCTTTCGTTGCGTTTCTTTTCTTTTCTTTTCCCGTGACTTCCTTAGCAAATATTCTTTGAATTTCCCTCGCGTCACTGCTCCGCCCTGCCCTGACGGTGGGAATTCTGAATGGAGTGGCAACCGGGGCACTTTTAGAATTGTCAAAAGCGGCACACGGCACAATACAGAGTTATTCCGTTCGTTCTCTCACTTCTCCATTCCCAGTGGGCTCACTGGTGGCCCTGCAGGCAGCTATGCGCTGCGCCAGACCTCCCCCATTTCCCTGCGGACGTGTGAGACCAGAGGGGAGACCCTAAAAGGGCCATTTGTTTTTCCTTCTCTCCCTCCTTTTCCCACGTTCCAAGTGGGCCCGCTGGTGGCGCTGCAGGCAGCATTGCGCCAAGAGGTCTCCTCAGACGCCCTGCAGACATGGGACCAGGGGTCAGCAGGGTGAGACTGTGAAACCCTGAACGGACCAACTGTAATCCAGTCTCCTCTCTCTGCTTCCTCTCGTTCTCCATTTTCTCCACGTCCCTGTGTTCCCAGTGGGCCAACTGATGGCGCTGCAGGCAGCTCTGCGCATGGACTCCCCTGATGCCCTGCACACGTGGGACCAGGAGGGCAACACAAAAGGGTCCAATTCTTCTCCTATTTTTCCCTCGTCCCACCCCCTCCCCCTGTTCCCAGTGGGTCCGCTGGTGGCGCTGCAGGCAGCACTGCGCATGGACTCCCCAGACGCCCTGCAGACGTGGGACCAGGGGTCGGACCCGTGTGACGGCACGTGGGAGACTGAAGTTATCTGTGACCCCATGACCGGCCATGTCATCCGCCTGTAAGACGGCTCTTATGAATTCTGTATTATCTCTTGCTTGCAAGATCTCTGAGTTTTCCGAAAGTCAAGGCCAATACGCCTGGCAGATGTGGAACCAGGGGTCAGACCCCTGTGACGGCACGTGGGAGACCGAAGTCATCTGTGACCCCATCACTGGCCACGTCATCCGCCTGTGAGTCGACTCTAGAGAATCTCTTGCAATCATTCTCTGAGTTTTCCAAGAAACGCACACCAACAATACGCCCAGAAGATACGCCCTGCAGCAGAGCTGGCCCTCTCATCTCATTCCTGCCTTTCAACCTCTCAACACCCCCTCCCCCACACTCTTCTTCCGCCCTCCCGCCACCCCCCCCCCCCCCCCCCCCCCCCCTCCTCGTTTGCTCTCCCTGTGCTCGTGCAGTGATCTCCGCCGGGCCAACCTGTCAGGAGCCATCCCTTCAGCAGAGCTGGCACAACTGAACCGACTCACGTACCTGTGAGTGATCAATCGATGGATGTTACTTTGAAGACTGAACTGAATCACAGCATTCCTGCAGCAGCATCTCTTTGTGTCTAAATCAATTTCTGAGGCTGTGCTTTGAGTGTGTTCAAAGACGGGCACCCGTCCCCTTACTCCATTTCGATTTTGCCTCATGTGTTTGTCCTGTTTCCCCGTGCCACCCCATTCATTCCGCCTGGCTGCAGTGACCTTGGCGGTAACGAGTTCTCATCCTTCATTCAGCAGGATTTTCTGGAGAGACTCACACGCCTGGAGCACCTGTAAGCGTGATGCTTAGTGGGTGTGATGCTTCGTATGTAAACCACCGCACCAGGTCTTTATGCTGTATCCGTATCGTATCTCGAGTATTTCTAAACCGTGTTGTTCTGATCATGCTCTCATCTTGCCCCTCACCTCTTCTCTTCCTTCATCTCCTTCCTTCCCCCATCTTCCAGCTCCCTGGCAGACAATCAGCTCCAGTGGTTCCCAACCTTCATCAATGCTCTCACCCGGCTGACATCGCTGTAAGAACTTTCTCTTTCACTTACTTGAGAAAGACTTTTGGGGTGCTGATTTCAGCTCTAGGCATGTGTCCCTAGGCTTTCATTTCGGTGTCATAGCAAGCAGTGCATTTAGTGACAGCTCAACTTAACAATTCTCATCCGTTCCCACACAACACAACACTTCTCCCTCCCTCCTCCTACCTGTTCCCGTCCGTCCCACCCACCCACCGGGCCACCGTGCCTCCCTCCATCTTCTCAGGGATCTGAGCACCAACAAATTCACGGGCGATTTCCCCGAAGATGTGCTTGTGATGCCCAACCTGCTGCACCTGTGAGTTGCCTTCCCCAAATAAAGGGTTCTCAGAGCACAGGTAGCATAGTGCTTTTGCCAATGTTGGTTCCGCATCCACTCCACTGATCTTACTCGGGTCCTGCCATTCAGATTCCTGTCTTTCCTTTCCTTTTTCATCTCCCACATGTGGTGCCTCCGCTCCGCCCATTGTGCTTTTGCATTGTCCCTGGTATCTCCCCCCTCCCCTCTCATACACAGCAAGCTGGAAGAGAATCACTTCTCTGGCAGCGTTCCTGATACCATCACGGCCCTCAGCAAGCTCCGATCCATGTCAGTATCATTCATACGTTATGGATGCTCAGTTCGGCTCACACATGTATGTATGTCATGTCAGTCATTCAGTGCTATGAGTCTGTCTGTACAGCCAGCCATGAGCCTGTTACGATGGCTGTCAGTCAGCTGACAGACAGCTCCATTGATTCCTCCCAACGTGAAAGCGTGTGCAAGACGATCAGCAATCTAGTTTTGAGACGTCTCAAGACGATCTGCAATCCCTTCATCTCCCTCCCCCTCCCCTTTTCTTATCCCACCCGCCGCTCGTTTTCATCCGTCCCTGCAGCGCCCTCGCCAACAATTTTACAGGTTTTCTGCCTGAATCCGTTCGTTTTGACGCGCCTCAGAAACAAGCTCAATTCTTCGCCCCTTTCCGACCCTCTCCTTCCTTCCCTGTCGTCTTTCCTTGCAGCACCCTCGCCACCAACAATTTCACAGGCCTTCTGCCTGAGTCGTTTGCGCAGCTCACGTCGCTGCAGGCCATGTGAGTGGCGTGGCTCACGAGAGAAAATAGCAGCCTAGCGTGCTCGAATCTGAACTCCCAGAAGTCAAGTCGCTAGCGCATCTCACGTCCCTGCAGGCCCGCGGAGGAGCCCTTTGAGGCACCCACAAACTCCCCAATATCTTTTTATCCACCTCGTGGCAGAACGTGATCGCTGCCTGCCCGCCCCCTCTCCCCATTCTCAAAACTCGCATTCGTTGTTCTCCATACCCATCTCCTCTTTCTTTCCCTCCCCTTTTGAGTTGACTCAGAATGTGTTGTGTGCCATTGTAACGAGGTGACTTTTGAGTCGACTCAAAAGTCACCTCGTTCTTAAAACCTGCATCCATTGTTGTTCTCCATGCCTTCCATGCCCTTCTCCTCTTTCTTTCCCTTCCCCTTCCTCACCCAGCTTTGAGACGTCTCAAAGCCCCTTCTCCCCATTCTCAAAACTCGCATCCATTGTTGTTCTCCATGCCCCTTTCCTCTTTCTTTCCCTCCCCTTTTCCTCCCCTCTTCCTCCCCTCTTCCTCCCCCATTCCTCCCCTCTTCCTCCCCCATTCCTCCCCCATTCCTCCCCCATTCCTCCCCCATTCCTCCCCCATTCCTCCCCCATTCCTCCCCCATTCCTCCCCCATTCCTCCCCCATCCCTCCCCCATCCCTCCCCCATCCCTCCCCCATTCCTCCCCCATTCCTCCCCCACACCCCCGTCTGCAGCAACCTTGCAGGCAATCAGTTCGCCGGCCCTCTGCCTGCGAGCTATGCTGCTCTCACCAACATGGTCTTCTTGTGAGTGCTCACAGTGGGCTCATGGGCTTATTAGAGCGTGCTAGATGTGTGTATAGTGGTGGTGATAGATTGGTCAGCTGAGCTAATTTCAAGTGGCAGCACATGCTCTCGAGGGGGAGATTCCATGTCTGCTCGAAATTTACTCAACCCCCCCCCCCCCCCCCCCTCCCCTCTCCCGCCCATTCTCCTCTCCTGGCAGCAAGGTGGCCACAAACGCTCTCGAGGGGGGAATTCCGGACTGGCTGGGCTCCTGGCCTCGACTCAACCACCTGTGAGTGCCCATGGTCTATGTATATGCGACACCAGTCTCACTATTACTGAGAATTCTCAATGATACCCTGGGATGCTACACCATTTTAAACCACTTTCTCTTTCCCGAAACCCACTCTTCCACCCTCTCCCCTCCCTCCCCACCCCTCCCCTCCCATTCCTTCCCCCCACAACCCCGCTCTCCTGTCACTCGTTCTCTTCGAATCCACACAGGTCGCTGTTCCACAACAGGTTCACAGGACCCGTCCCTGCCTCTCTTGGCAACGCCAAGAACCTTGCTACCTTGTGCGTTTCTCCCTTCCTCACTCCCTGAGTTGGCTTTTGAGTCGACTCAAGACTCAACCCGACTCTCTTGGCAATGCCAAGAACCTTGCTACCCTGTGCGTTTCTCCCTTCGTCACTTTCTCGGTCTCCGATTTGAGACTCTTGACAACCAAAAGTCTCATGTTTTGAGGCACCGTAGCATAGCATACCTCCCATGGATCAGACTGCTCCCCACATGCGCTCTTTCGTATTTGTGTGGTTTCTCCCCCGTCCCTCTGTTCATGATTTCACCTCTCTTGTGCCTTCGCATCTCTCACTCCAACCCCACTCTCTGCCTCGACCCACTCTTTCTTCCTCAGACCCTCACCCTCTCTCTCTGCGGGTTGCTGGATGAACTTCTGACTGGGTCCCTGACACCCTCAGCTCAATTTATGAAATTTCTCAAAATCCGCCTCAACACTATTATCCATCTCCACCCCTCTCTCCGCGCCTCTTCCCCTCTCTCTGCCTGCAGGGTGCTGGATGAGAATCGTTTGACCGGGTCCCTGCCTGACGCCTTCAGCGCGCTCACCAATCTGGAAGCATTGTACGTACATAGCATGGCTCATGCGCACATGCACATACGCACACACGCACTTTGACTTCCCCTTTCCCTTTCTGCGCTCACTTCTCACTCTCTCTCTTCCCCCCCTCTCTCCTGTCTCCCCACCACGCAGCTACGCTGTGGGCAATCAGCTGGACGGCACCACTCCTGACTCCCACTCCTCCACTTGCCCCTCCTTTTCTCTTCCCGCTCTCACCTCCCCTCCGTCTCCTCGCTTCATGCCTCCCCACCACGCAGTTACGCTGTGGGCAATCAGCTGGACGGCACCATTCTAGACTCCTACTCCTTCGATTTTCCCACTCTTAATCTTCCCGCTCTCACCTCTCCTTCATTTTTTCTCCCCTTTCCCATCTCCCCATCACACAGTTACGCTGTGGGCAATCAGCTGGACGGCACCATTCCCGACTCCTACTCCAGCCTGCAGAAGCTGCGATACATGTGAGTGGGATGATGCATGTGCATAGGGATGAGCAAGGGGCGAACACGAACATGTTCGTGTTCGCCCCTACACGAACACATCCGTTTGCCGAACCGAACACATGTGAGTAATGCGATGATGGTTGGATGTGAGTACGTGAGATGATGGATGGGTGCATGTGAGATGATGGATGGGTGCATGTGAGATGATGGATGGGTGCATGTGAGATGATGGATGCGTGCATGTGAGATGATAGATGCAATGTGACATAATGATTGCTTGTAGTGATGAAAGATACCCTGCTGCTACCCTATCACCCTGCCTGCTCCACCCTCCCACGCCCACGTCCCACCCGGCCAATGCCACTCTCATGCCCATTTGGCCAATCCCCCAAATCGCCAATGCCTCATCTCACTTTGTCCTCCTTTGCATTGTGTGTATTCCTCTGCTGCTGTGCAGCGATCTGAGCTTCAACACCAAGATCACTGGCGCCCTGCCCGAGTTCCTGAGCGGCATTCAGTCTCTCGAGTCAATGTGAGTCAATGTGATTGAGTGAATGTGAGACAATAGCGATCTGAGCTTCAACACCAAGATCACCGGTGCCCTGCCCGAGTTCCTGAGTGGCATTCTGTCCCTTGAGTCAATGTGAGTCAATGGAGTCAGCAAGATTCAATGTGAGGCAATGAGATTCATGGAGTATGAGAGTGAATGTGAATCACTGTGTTTCAAAGAGTCGATGCGAGTCAGTGAGGCTTCAGAGAATCCCTATGTCAACTCAAAAGTTCCATTCTGTCCCCAAATCACTACCCCCGTTCTTCCCATGGGCGAATTGACTAAAAATTCTCTTCCTTCTCCCACACCCGCTTTTTCCCAGTGCATTCAAGGAGTGCGATTTCACAGGATCCGTACCAGTGGGCTATGCCAAGCCAAGCCGCCTTTTGAATCGACTCAAGTCGTCCCGTCCTGCCCCCACCCCCTTCCAGTGCTTTCGAGGAGTGTGACTTCACGGGGTCCCTCCCTGTGGGCTATGCCAAGCTTCCCTTTGAGTCGACTCAAAAGTCCTGTCCTCCTGCCCCCACACCCACACCCCCTTCCTTCCTTCCAGTGCTTTCGAGGAGTGTGACTTCACGGGGTCCCTCCCTGTGGGCTATGCCAAGCTGCCAGCACTCGCTGAGCTCTACCTGGACCGCAACAACCTGGAAGGTTCCATCCCGGGCCTGTACGGCGACATGCCGAACCTGGCCACGCTCTACCTCAGCAGCAACCGGCTGTCGGGGGAGATTCCTGGAAGCTTCTGCCGGCTGGGGAAGGCCAAGACGATTGTGCTGGCACGGAATGAGCTGAGGGGAAGCATTCCGGATTGCATCATCAGCAACCTGAAGGAGTTGCGCCTGCTGTGAGTGGACTTTGCCTGGTGATCCCGTCAACCCCACCCACCCTCCCCCCCCCCCCCCTCCCCCCCCCCCCACTTTGTTTTTGTCACTTGCCTGTTTGCCTTAATCTCCACTCTCTCCGGCTGTCTCCCTCCCCCCTTGGAGCGACGTCTCTGACAACTATGTCTCCAGCCCTGTGCCTGTCATCCTAGTGGGCACTGTTCAGTCGACCCTCTCCTCCTCCGAGGTGACCTTTGAGTCGACTCCAAGGTCACCTTGTCTCCCTCCCCCCTTTGAACGACGTCTCTGACAACTATCTCTCCAGCCCTGTGCCTGTCATCCTAGTGGGCACTTGTTGAGTCAACCCCCTCCTCCTCTGCCCCTCCATGCTCCCCTCTCCCCCCTCTCCTTTCCTCTCCCCTTTTCACACAGCGATGTCTCTGACAACTACCTCACGGGCCCTGTGCCTTCCGTCCCAGCGGGCGGCCCTCTGCAGTTTGAGTAAGCCTTACCCGTCGCCTGTAGACTGTGTGATTCCCACTTCTTTCTGCTCGGATGTCTGCCTTGATTGATTGTCCATGGTGCGATCTGGGGTTGAAGCTTCACCTGCATCCTCAGTGATTCCCACTCTTTTCACATTCCCATTTCGCTTCCCCTTGCAGCTTTTTGAGCATCTGCCTGGCAACATCAGAGGGCGCGCAGAGGAACTCCTGCCTCCATTCTGCTGCCTATCATCCTAACCACCCCTCCTGCCTCCCATCCTAACCACCCCTCCTGCCTCCCATCCTAACCACCCCTCTCCCCACCTGCCCCCACTGTCACCCATGCCCCCTCCTACCCCATCAGCTTCTCGAGCAACTGCCTGGCAACATGAGAGGGCGCGCAGAGGAACCCCTGCCCCTCTTCGCCTGTGCCTCCCACCACACAGCCTCCTGATATAACCGCTTGTCTGCTGCTCTCTCCCCTGCCCGCCACTACCCCATCAGCTTTTCGAGCAACTGCCTGGCAACATCCGAGGGCGCGCAGAGGAACCCCTGCCCCTCCTCGCCCGTGCCCACCATGCAGCCTCCTACTTCCATTCCGTTGCCTCCCATCCTAACCACCACCCCTCTCCCCATCCTAATCACCACCCCTCTCCCCATCCGAACCACCCCTCCTGCCTCCCATCCTAACCACCACCCCTCTCCCCATCCTAACCACCACCCCTCTCCCTATCCGAACCACCCCTCCTGCCTCCCATCCTAACCACCACCCCTCTCCCCATCCGAACCAACCCTCCTGCCTCCCATCCTAACCACCCCTCTCCCCACCTGCCCCCTGTGTCTACCACGTCCAACCTGTCCCCAGATTTTCAAGCAACTGTCTGGCATCATCAGAGGGCGCGCAGAGGAACCCCTGCCCCTCGTCGCCCGTCGCCCCCACCCAGCCTCCTCCGGACGAAGCAGCTCCCAGGCAGCCCGGAGGCACAGAGCCCACTCCTGCCGAGACCACTGTCGACCCGTCTGCCTCCTCCTCCCTACCCTCGCCTGACGGTGAGTGCCTTCATTCATGCATGCATGATACAAAGCTGGGCTTATGCGCTTGTTGGTTGAACTGCTTGGCTGCCTCTGAGCGAAGCAGCTCCCAGGCAGCCGGATGGCACAGAGCCAACTCCTGCTGAGACCACAGTCGACCCCTCTGCCTCCTCCGCCCTGCCCTCGCCTGACAGTGAGTGCCGGGGGATCGAGTCGCAAATCTTAGTGTGCAGTATGGAAATGCTGGGCTTGTGGGTTGGACCGTGCGACTGCCTCTGAGCGAAGCAGCTCCCAGGCAGCCGGGAGGCACAGAACCCTCTCCTGCCGAGACCACTGTCGACCCATCTGCCTCCTCCGCCCTGCCCTCGCCTGACGGTGAGTGCCTGGGGATTAGATCAAAGAAGGGCGTTTGTGCATTATGGAAAGGCTTCCTTCCCTTCCTTTCTTTCATCCCTCCCCTTCCTTTCCCGTACTTCTACTCATCCTCACCCCCCCCTTTCCTCTCCCTTCCATCCGTGTTCTCTCCTTTCCTACTTCCCCTTCCCTTTGCCCCCCTCCCCGCTTTTCCCAGCTGTTGCACTGATGGAGATGCTGGCAGGGCTGAGGGCAGCAGCAGGAACGGACGTGCTGCCCTCGTGGACGCAAGAATCTGACCCCTGTGATGGCTCCTGGGCCACGTCCATCAAGTGTGACAACCGCACACGCCAAGTCGTGCACCTGTGAGTTACTCACTCCACGCTAGCCGCCCTGTAGCAACACACATATATATAATTTTTTGCGATGTCTATCAACATGTGTAGCATCCCGCGATGGCTCCTGGACCACGTCCATCAAGTGCGACAACCGCACACGCCAACTCGTGAGCCTGTGAGTCACTCTCTCCATCCATGTTGCATTGCAGTAACTGTTGAATAATTTTTGAGGCGCCTCAAAACTCTCCATCCATGTTGCAGTTACCCTGACTCATGTTTCGAAGGGCTGCAGTAGTAGAGAGGACGCTTAAGCAAAGGAATCAAACAGTAAAAACTGGTGAAAAAAACGCAGATCTGAAAAACCCTTAGTTTCCGAAAAGCCTCCTTGCGTAAACTAGTTTCGGCGGATGGGCGAACCCAATCACGCCTTCATCAGTACAGCACAATTCGGAACTATTCGGCGCCTCAAAACTCTCCATCCATGTTGCAGTTACTGTTGAATTCTACACACCCCATGCTTATGGTCTGAACTCATCAAATTACTTTCTCCTCCCCATGCTTATGGTCTGAACTCATCAAATTACTTTCTCCTCCCCATGCTTATGGTCTGACTGAACTCATCAAATTACTTTCTCCTCCCCATGCTTATGGTCTGAACTCATCAAATTACTTTCTCCTCCCCATGCTTATGGTCTGACTGAACTCATCAAATTACTTTCTCCTCCCCATGCTTATGGTCTGAACTCATCAAATTACTTTCTCCTCCCCATGCTTATGGTCTGAACTCATCAAATTACTTTCTCCTCCCCATGCTTATGGTCTGAACTCATCAAATTACTTTCTCCTCCCCATGCTTATGGTCTGAACTCATCAAATTACTTTCTCCTCCCCATGCTCCGTTTCAGTGACCTGCGTCGTGCCGACCTTGTTGGGGACGTTCCTTGCTTTGGTCTCTCCCAGCTCAACGCCCTCACATACCTGTGAGCACCACCGCACCCCACCGCACTGCACTGCAACGATCCCGCTTACCTGTGAGCGCTACCGCGCCCCACCGCACTGCACCGCAACGCTCTCAGCCCTGCTCCCTCTTCTCCTGCCTCCCCACTGCTCTGCTCCTACTTGATCGCAGCACCCTGCCCTCTACTTCTGACAGAATGGTGCCTGCCCTCACCAGTGACTGCTCGTTTATCATCCCGCTGCTATCACAGTTATCACCTCTGTCTTTCTCCCTCAGCTCATTTGTCTCGTCTGCCCATCTCAGCCCATCTCAGCCCATCTCAGCCCTTCTCGGCCCCTCTCGGCCCCTCTTGGCCCCTCTCAGCCCCTCTCGCTCCCTCCCTCCCCTCTCTGCGGCCCTACCAGCGATCTGGGCTCCAACAGTCTCTCCTTCCTTTGGTTTTGACCTTGGCCTGCCCCCCTCCGTTCTGCCCCACCAGTGACCTTGGCTCCAACAATTTCACCTTCTTTCGCCAGGCACCCTTCTGTCAGCAGAGTCCTGAGATGAGATGCTCACAACACCCCCTCGTTCCCCTTCCCCTCCCCCCTGTGCTCCCCCCACCAGTGACCTGGGCTCCAACAATTTCACCTTCTTCCGCCAGGCACCATTCTGCCAGCAAATGACCAACCTGCAGCATGTGTAAGGCATCCCAGGACATGGTGTGACATGACATGGCATCCTATGATGTGATGTGGTGCGACATGACGTGACATGGTGTGACGTGACATAACATTGCATGCATGAACGATACGGCTGAGCAGATGACCAACCTGCAGCTTGTGTAAGCCGCCCCATGACGTGACACATGACATGGCACGTCTGGCACATGACATGATGTGACATGATGTGATATGATGTGACATGATGGCATTGTTTGACGTGAAATTTCATTACATGATGTAACATGATATGGCGACATGCTGACATGACATGACATGACATGACATGACAGGACATGAATCACAATACAACGTGAAGTGAACCTTTTGTCATTCATTCCCTTCCCCATGTGCCATTCATTCCCTTCCCCATGTGCCATTCATTCCCTTCCCCATGTGCCATTCATTCCCTTCCCCATGTGCCATTCATTCCCTTCCCCATGTGCCATTCATTCCCTTCCCCATGTGCCACTCATTCCCTTCCCCATGTGCCATTCATTCCCTTCCCCATGTGCCACTCATTCCCTTCCCCATGTGCCATTCATTCCCTTCCCCATGTGCCACTCATTCCCTTCCCCATGTGCCATTCATTCCCTTCCCCATGTGCCATTCATTCCCTTCCCCATGTGCCATTCATTCCCTTCCCCATGTGCCACTCATTCCCTTTCCTCCTCATGTTGACCCCTCAGTTCTCTGGCAGAGAATCAGCTCAAGTACTGGCCTGAAACTGTTGTTGGCTACTGGCCTCAGCTCACATTCCTGTAAGCCCTGCATTCTTGTACGCTCACATTCCTGTAAGTCACCTCCGTCCAAGTCACAACCCAGTACGATTTACAATCAGAAGTGGTGTACTCAGCTGCCACAGAGCCTGTCAATCGCAGATGGACACGTCATGCATTCTGTCGGTTGTTCTCTTGGCATCTCACTCTCTTCTCTAGTTTACCCTTGTCAAATCACCGCCACCACACGACTGCCACATCACCGCCACATCTCTGCCAGATGGTATGCACTTCGCATGGCAATGAATGAGCAAGCAGGAGCCCGGCAGCCAAAACGTTTGTTTTTTTTTGTGTAACACCACCGCCATATCTCTCTCACGTGGTGTGTGCAATGTGCACTGTGCATGGCATCATGGCAATGAATGAATGAGTAGGAGCTTGGCAGCCAACCTCTTGTCTGGGCCCATTCCAGAGGACATTGGTGATCAGCTCTCCACCACGCTCGTGCACCTGTGAGTGGGTTGCTGTCAGGTGAGGCCTCTAAAGCACAGGAAACTGGGCTAGATTATTGCAACTGTTCACCCCCCTCACAATGACTATTCACAATGACTCAGAACCCCAGGTGGAGAAAGAAATACAAAACAAAAGGTACTGACCCAAGCTCATTGCCACTGTTCCTTGATAACAAGTCTAGTGTCACCCTTGTTCCCCTCTTCCTTCTTCCCTGCAGCGATCTCATGGGCAACTATTACAACAGCACTGTGCCACCCAGCTCACTCACTATCTCTGTCGCCCCTCTCCCCCTCCCCCTCTCCCTCTCTCTCCCTCCCCCTCTCCTCCTCTCCGCCTCTTTCCATGTTTCCCCCTTCACCCCATTCTCTCCTCCCCGCAGCGATCTCATGGGCAACTATTTCAACAGCACGGTGCCCAGCTCGATCTCCGCCTTGCAGAAGCTCAGATACATGTATGTGTGGCTGCTTGGTTGCTTGGTTGGTTCCATGCATGGCTGCGTCTTTGCTTGTTTGCTTGGGGGTGGGAGGCATGGTTGGGTTTTTTTTGCTTCTTTCCTTCCCTCCTTCCTTCCTTCCTTCCTTCCTTCCTTCCTTCCTTCCTTCCTTCCTTCCTTGCTTCCTTCCTTCCTTCCCTCCTTCCCTCCTTCCCTCCTTCCCTCCTTCCCTCCTTCCCCCCTTCCCTCCTACCCTCCTTCCTCCTTCCCTCCCTCCCTCCTTCCCTCCTTCCCTCCCTCCTTCCCTCTTTCCCTCCTTCCCTCCTTCTTTCCTTCCTCTCAAATGGTCCCTCCCTCCCATTTTTCCCTCCCATGCACCTATCTGAGTCTCAACTCCAACCTCACATATATTTTTGCCCCCCCTTTCCATTCTTCCAACCCCTCGCCCTCCCATGCAGCGATCTAAGCTTCAACTCCAACCTCACTGGCCCTGTTCCAGAGGCACTCGCTAAAATCAATACCCTCCGAACCATGTGAGCAAACTGTCTTAACTCAACGTGCCTTGGAATCTCCTTTAAGCATAGTATATTGTAGGAACTGGTTTTGCAGTCCCTCTCAATTCCTCCCCTCTCAAGCACGTTTCCCCTCTCGTCTGTGCTGAAATTTTAGCCGCTGACACAACATTGACCTGGAGGCCTGCAGCGCCACAAGTGCTATTCGCGCTCGCAATTCCTGTCAAGCCCCTGGACCTCGGATGTCCCCTCATCCCCTTGCTCCCCTACCCCTTCAAACCCCAGTAATTTGGAAAGCTGCAGCTTCACGGGGGTGCTCTCCGAGAGCTATTCCAGGCTGCCCCTCCTGGCGAGCCTCTAAACACCCCACCCACTAGCGCTACCGCCCCTGCTCTTACCACTCTTCCCGCACTGCACAAGAACGGGCTGGACGGTGCCATCCCCGCCTCCTACGGCTACATCCCCAGCCTGTCTCCTCCACTCAACCTCCTCTCAGGCCACAACCCACTGCAACCAACACCGTTTCTCCCCGTCCCTCCCTCCTCCCCCCCACCCCCCCCCCCCGCCCTCCCCCTCCCCTGCTCCAAACCCCAGCAACTTGGAAGGCTGCAGCTTCACAGGTGTCCTTCCTGAAAGCTACTCGCGGCTGCCCTTCCTGGCGAGCCTGTATCTCGACAAGAACGGGCTGGACGGCGCCATCCCCGCCTCCTACGGCTACATCCCCAGCCTCGTGAACCTCTACCTCAGCAACAACGATCTCTCGGGGCACATTCCGGAGAGCCTGTGCCGGCTGCAGAAGGCCGAGGCGATCGTGCTAGAGAGGAACTCTATAGGGGGGATGATTCCCGCGTGCCTTGTCACCATGGATAACCTCCTCATCCTGTGAGTGCTGCGGTTACTGTGCACGTGGTATCATGGTATGGTAACATGTGACTGCTGTTACCCGGAGTGCCTTATATGGTAACCACCTCATTTCACAGAGACCTCACTGGCGAGCAACTACCGCAAGAGGCCCCATACCCAAGGTGGAAGCAGAATCCATCCACACTACATGCACAAGCACTTTTGAGGCGCCTCAAAAGTCCTCAAGAGGCGCCTCAAAAGTCCATCCACACTACATGCACAAGCACCATACAGTGTATACACTCACTGACCTCCTCTGCCTTCTATTCATCCCTCTCGCCTTCCCCCCTGCCTTACCCACCCACCCCGCAGTGATGTGACGGGCAACTACCTCAAGGGCCCAATCCCCACGGTGGAAGCCGGCTCCATCCTTCAGTTCCTGTGAGCCACTCTCTTTTCTCTGCCTCTTGGTAGGATCGAATGTGACTTGCCTCGAATGTGCCTGCTGAGTCAAAAGCTTGAGACGTCTCCAAAGTCCTTCCTTCAGTTCCTGTGAGCCTCTCTCTTTTTCTGCCTCTTGGTAGGATATGATGCGATGCCTCAATTGTGCCTGCTGAGTCAAAAGTAGGCTCCCTGCTTAATTTGCAGCGAGATGCTCTCGTCACCCCGCCTGCCTAGCCCCCCCCGCTACTTGGTGTGTTTAGTCCATTCCTTCGTGCCCCCCTTTTTTCACTTTCCTCTCTTCCCCCCATCCCCCAAATTATATCCCCTGGCACCACATGGGAACAGCTACGCGGGCAACTGCTTGGACGGTCAGGATCGTGGCAACGACCCGTGCCCAGTGCCTGATCGAGACTCCCTATAAGACCCACCTTCTCTTTCTTACCGCCTTCGCCCTTCCCCACTCCCCGTCTCCACTCCCCTTCCCCACTCGTTTCATGGGAACAGCTACGCGGGCAACTGCTTGGACGGTCAGGATCGCGGCAACGACCCGTGCCCTATCGAAACGGCAACGGACCCCAATAGCAGGCTGCCACCTGGCAGCCACCAGAACCAGCCGCTGTGGGAGAACGCACAGACCCCCGAGGAGAACGCCTGGCCGGGCACTCCCACGTGGGGGGAGGCTCAGGCCGCCGCCGCTGCTGTTCCCGCCCCCTCGGGTCCTCCAGGTGTGTATTGGGTTCTTGAGTCACAGGCACAGGCACAGCCGCACAGGCACAGGCACAGACACAGTGGGTTGAGTTGACTATAACACATCATAGGTGCAGGCTGCCACCTGGCAGCCATCAGAATCAGCCACTGTGGGAGAACGCACAGACCCCAGAGGAGAACGCCTGGCCGGGCACTCCCACGTGGGGGGAGGCTTAGGCCGCCGCTGCTGCTGTTCCCGCCCCCTCGGGGCCCCCAGGTACGTGCAGTGTGTGAGTGTGCTGCTTGGGTGTCTACTTCTTTAGCCTGCCCGGTTCCCCACCCCCTCTGACTGACCCTTCTCGGCTTCTATTTGAGATTCGCTTTTGAGAATCGGTTCACCGGCCCTCTAACCCTTTGCAGCTTCTTTCTGGTGGCGCTGCTCTCAGTGGTGTTCGACTTCCTCCTCTGCTCCGCCTTCCCCATCCTCGCCAAGCAATAAACCCCCCTCACTCTCTCCCTTTTCTCCCCCGCCCCCCTAACCCCTTCCACCACCCAATCACGCAGTGGACTGGAAGCCCATTCTCAGCTTTGTCTTCTTGGCGCTGCTCTCAGTGGTGCTGCTCCTCCTCCTCTGCTCCGCCTTCTCCTTGCTCGCCAAGCAATAAGCTCCCTAGCACTCTCCCCCTTTTTCCTCCTCGCAATCACGCAGTGGACTGGAAGCCCATTCTCAGCTACGTCTTCTTGGCGCTGCTCTCAGTGGCGTTCGTCTTCCTCCTCTGCTCCGCCTTCTCCATGCTCGCCAAGCGCCGCCGCTACACTGCTGTTGACTTCTCCGCGCCACGTGTCGACCAGCGTACGTTTGACTTACTGTGGCTGTAGCTTTGTCCCGTTCTAAACTGTGCGTGTGCACTGTGAGCACCGTATGGTTCACTGCGGTGGTCACTGCAAGGGCTAGCGTTGTTTGCCACGTGTGCCGCTCCGCTCCCTGCTCCACTGCCTTCCTCCTCTACTCCGCCTTCTCAATGCTTGCCAAGCGCCGCCGCTACACCGCGGTTGACTTCTCCGCGCCACGCGTCGACCAGCGTACGTTGCATTGATGTGCTTGCCGCTGTATGTTGTATGCTATATGTTGTATGCTACTCCAGCTCCCCTAACTCATCCCTTGTACCCCCCCTTCACCAACCTCCCCCCTCTATTTCCTTCATATGGGAGCATGACCTCTCCCAAATGAAGCGAGCCTCCAAGCACTTTCCTTGCCTTTTCCCTTCTCTCCCCCATCCTCCAGTCCCAGTGACAGAGTACGGGCTGTCAAAGATCAAGAGGGCAACGAAGAATTTCACCACAGTATTCGGCAAGGGCAGCTTCGGCACTGTGTATCTCGCTGATGACTTCCTTCCCGACCAGATCGAGCCGCGCGCCATTGTCAAGCGCGCACACGAGCCCGAGAGTGAGTGGCATGGGTGGGGATACTGGGCACAGGTGGGTGTCGGTGTGTGTGACAAGGGCAGCTTCGGCACCGTGTATCTCGCTGACGACTTCCTTCCCGATCAGATTGAGCCGCGTGCCATTGTCGAGCGCGCCCACGAGCCTGAGAGTGTGTGGGCAGCGGACGGGATGGGGCGATGTGAGGAGGGGGTATGCATAATGCATGTGCATGAGGCGATTTTTGAGTCGACTCAAAAATCGACTCTTCACACATGAGCACACTGCTCTTCCGGGTATAGCTGTCCTGAAGTAGCGAGGTTGTTTTTGAGACGTCTCAAAAACAACCTCGCTACATATAGCTGTCCTGAAGTTGGGTGGGGAGATGACTAAAGCAGCTGTTCAGAGAGAAGGTGCAGCTTCTGGTGTTACTCCGGCAGTAACACACCCCTCTCACACTGCCCCCTCCCACTTGTGGCATGCCTATCCCTTCTCCACCCACCCTCCCCTTTACCAGAGATGACTGAAGCGCAGTTCCGCGAGAAGGTACAGCTACTGGCCAAGGCGCGCCACTGCTACCAGGGGCTATCTGTTGCCCATTGCCTTACTCCCATCCCCGCCCACCCACTCCTGCCCACTTCAGAAATGACGGAGGCCCAGTTCCGGGAGAAGGTGCAGCTGTTGGCAAAGGCGCGCCACCGCTACCTCGTGTCGCTGCGGGGGTACTGCATCGGCAAGGCAGAGCGCATTCTGGTGTTTGAGTTCCTGCCGCACGGCTCCTTGTTCGACCGGCTTCACCGTGAGTGCTGGTGGTGGTGTGAGGGCTAGGGCTTCAGGTGTAGGTGGCTGCATCAGCAGGGATTACCGCATCGGCAAAGCAGAGCGCATCCTGGTGTTTGAGTTCCTTCCGCACAGCTCCTTGTTCGACCTGCTTCACCGTGAGTGTTGGTGTCGTGTGGGCTGTCATGCTCGCCTTGTGCTTCCGCTGTAAATGCATGCTGTGCAGCTTGAGTGGTTACTGCATCGTGTCACTGCGGGGGTACTTCATCGGCAAGGTGTTGTGCTGCGCATCCTCGTGTTTGAGCTCTTCGAGGACGGAGCCTTGCTTCACCGTAAGCAACTTATTATTGAGTTGTCTGGCAGAGGTGTCCCAAATCCCCTTTTTTTTTCACTTTCCTCTCCTTAATCCCTATTTTTTCTCCTTTTGCCCCCATCCCGCATTCCGACCAGGCTCCGACGTGGACCCCCTGACACCACCAGGCTCCGACGTGGACCCCCTGCCATGGGATGTGCGGGTGGCTCGTGGCAGTCAACCTCGCGTCCACCTTAGCTGCTCTGCACGCCCTCAGAAGCACACTCTGTCTCTCTTTCTCACTAATGTCCTCTGCTCTTGCCCCCATCCCTCCATCCCACCAGGTTCTGACATGGATCCTCTCCCCTGGGACGCGCTAATGCACGTGGCAGTCAACCTGGCCTCGGCCTTGGTTACCACACATATGCTCTATCGCTCTCCTCTCATCTTCTCTAACCTTATCCTGACCTCTCCCACTCCCACCAGGTTCTGACGTGGATCCTCTGCCATGGGATGCGCGGGTGCACGTGGCAGTCAACCTGGCGTCCGCCTTGGCCTCTCTTTCTCCTCTCATCGCCCACTTTCTCACCTCTCTCACTTCCTACCATTACAGGCTCCGATGTGGATCCCTTGCCCTGGGATGCACGGGTGCACGTGGCAGTCAACCTGGCATCAGCCTTGGCGTTCCTCCACCACGGCTGCGACCCGCCTCTCGTCCACCGCGCCGTCACCTCATCCAACATCCTCCTGTCTGCTGACATGAGCGCTAAGGTATGCCCACATCATTCCATACCGTGTCTTGAGTGGCATTTTTCAAAACAAGGTGCTGTTTGGTTCTTCCAGCCTTGGCGTTCCTCCACCATGGCTGCGACCCGCCCCTCGTGCACCGTGCCGTCACTTTGTCTAACATCCTCCTCTCAGCCGACATGAGCGCCAAGGTGAGCTATTTGCTGTACACTGGCCGTCCTCTCTCACCTCATTCAGTCAGCCTTGGCGTTCCTCCACCATGGCTGCGACCCGCCCCTCGTGCACTGTGCCATCACTTTGTCTAACATCCTCCTCTCAGCCGACATGAGCGCCAAGGTGAGCTATTTGCTGTACACTGGCCGTCCTCTCTCACCTCATTCAGTCAGCCTTGGCGTTCCTCCACGATGGCTGTGACCCGCCCCTCGTGCACCGTGCCGTCACTTTGTCTAACATCCTCCACCCCGCTGATATGAGCGCCAAGGTGGGTGGGCAGTGCTAAGTTGGGCTAATTGCTCTTGAATGGGCGTCTCTCTCTCTGCTCATTCAGTCGGCCTTGGCCTTCCTTCACTATAGAATGGACCCGCTCATTCATTCCCTCCCTCCTTCCCAGCTCTCTGACTTTGGTCTTGCTCGCAGCTCCACGTCCCACTTCTGCGTTCGTTTAGCCACGCCGCCGCCGCCCCAACCGCCGCCAGCGGGGAACAGCAGCAGCGGGCCAAGACGATGCCTCCGCAAGCAGCCTTTGCCACGAGCCAGGAACAAAGATTTCTGAGACGTCTTACCCTAAGACAAGGCACGAGCCTCACACATGGAAATTCCTCTCCACCCTCCCGCCCCACCCCCTTCCCTTCACTCCTTCCCAGCTTTCCGATTTAGGTCTTGCTCGCGGCTCTACCTCCCACGCTGCATTTGACGAGCCGCCCCGCCGCCGCCCCAACCACCGGCAGTGCGGAGCAGCAGCAGCAGGCCGAGACGATGCCTTGGCAAGCAGCAGCCTCACCGCTGTTGGCAGCAGCGGCTGTTGGCAGCAGCGGGACAGAATCCGAGCTGCATTTGACAACCAACGGCCAGACATGACAAGGACTCTGCCAGCACACAACTCAAAGTGACTACTTCTCTTTCCCTCCCCATTCCCCCTCTCCCTCACCTTCCCCTTCCCAGCTCTCCGACTTTGGTCTTGCTCGCGGCTCCACCTCCCACGCTGCGTTCGACGAGCCGCCCCGCCGCCGCCCCAACCGCCGGCAGCGGGGAGCAGCAGCAGCGGGCCGAGACGACGCCTCCGCAAGCAGCAGCCTCACTGCTGCTGGCAGCAGCGGCGACGGGAGCAGCGAGACAGAATCCGAGCTCCTACAGCCAGTGGTCACCCGCACTGACGCGCGGAAACTGGATATCTATGGGTTCGGAGTGGTGCTGCTGGAGCTTATCACTGGTCAGAAAGCCATGAAGGATGTGCATATCACTAGTCTGGCCGCCCCTTTCCTGGAAGATACCCAGATGATGCCGCTGATGGTTGACTCGGCTCTGGGCGGGTTTTTCAACCAATCGGAGTTGATCGAGCTGGCGACTATCGCGAGGGATTGCGTGAAAGAGGATCCGAACAGCCGCCCGTCGATGCTGGAGGTGGTGAGGACGATGGAGGGGAGTATCGAGCTGGCCGTTGACTTGTTTGACCCGCTTGACTCTGCTGACTCAGCTGCTGGGAGTGCTAAGGCTGGGACCCCGAAGACTGGAGGGGCCGGGTATGCGGCTCTGAGTGGTGGGTCGGGGATTGCGGGGGATGCAATGGGAAGTGGAGGGGTTGGGAGTGGTTCGGGGGGGAGTGGGAGGCAGGGCACTGGGGGCGGGACGTGGGCGCCTCTGGAGTTGTTTTCGGGGTCGTTTGGGAGGAGGTCGGGACGTGAGAGGGAGGGGGGAGGTGGGAGGGGAGGAGGGGCGGGACAGGCAGGGACGGAGAGGGGGGACGTTGAGTCAGGGTCGTCGCTGCTTTATATCACTCCCAAAGATGGGCAGCACTAGCAGGGCAGCAGTGGGGGTGGGATGTGGCCGCCTCTAGAGTTGTTCTCGGGGTCGTTTGGGAGGAGGTCGGGACGTGAGAGGGAGGCGGGAGGTGGGAGGGGAGGAGGGGCGGGACAGGCAGGGACGGAGAGGGGGGACGTTGAGGCAGGGTCGTCGCTGCTCTATATCACTCCCAAAGATGGGCAGCACTAGCAGGGCAGCAGTGGGGGTGGGATGTGGCCGCCTCTAGAGTTGTTCTCGGGGTCGTTTGGGAGGAGGTCGGGGCGTGAGAGGGAGGCGGGAGGCGGGGGAGGAGGCAGGAGAGCAGGAGGGGCGGGACAGGGAGGGGTGGAGAGGGGGGACGTCGAGGCAGGGTCGTCGCTGCTGTATATCACTCCCAAGGATGGGCAGCACTAGTATGGGGAAGTGGAGGGGCCAGGGAAAAGGCAGCATTGTATGAAAGGGGGGGGAGGGGTTTGGAAACCAGGAACGTTGGATTGACACAGGCAGGGACGGAAAGGGGGATTGTGGTAGGAGTGTCTGGTGGCCTACTGGAAAGACTCCGGTGTTCAGTGTAACTTGGGCAGGAAGCTTTTGAGGCGCCTCAAAAGACGAGAGGGGGGATTGTGGTAGGAGTTTCTGGTGGCTTACTGGAAAGATTCTGGTGTTCAGTTCAGTTCAGTGTAACTTGGACAAGAAGCTTTTGAGGCGCCTCAAAAGACAGAGAGGGGGGATTGTGGTACCGTAGGAGTGTCTGGTGCCGTACTGGAAAGATCATGGTGTTCGGTTCAGTGTAACTTGGGCAGGAAGCTTCTGCCAATTCTTTGAAGGTTTGTCATCGCTGCTTTGCTACACTATTTATTCGCTGTAGGGTCAATCCGTTATAGGATCATTGTTTGTCACTGCATTACCAGTATATGATGCAGAATGATGAGACCTGAAGGGAGCGTTACAGAAAGCACATGTGGGGAGCATGGGGAACAGGTTAGGGAGGCATGTCTGAGGCATGCCCTTGTGTTCACTGATACCTTAAAGGATCTATTGTACCAATTAATTCTAGTTTTCTCATTATGCTACTATTTGTGCTATTTTTGTTAAATAGAGAAACATGTTAAACATTAGACGTTCAATCTTCTCCCCAACCCTAACCCCAACAATGTGAACTACCAGTAAGCAGTAAGCCACCGCGTAGACAGATTGTCATCCTGAGCGTAAATCGGCCTTCTTTATATAGCCTCGTAGTACTCTACGGCGAGTGAACCAATATCGAGGATAATGGATGGCAGGAAGAAGAAGAAACCAATGTGGGACATGGCAGTTGCGGCCTTGGACCTCCCGCAGAAGAAATTCCAGGGGGTGTTACCCTCGCAAATGGTTTGCTGATAGGGGAAACCACCCTGGTCATTGAAGGTAGTTACCCCTGCTGCTGCTGCACCTGCTGACAGCAGTAGTGCTGCTGCAATCTGTGTGAGTGATGGGCAAGCAAGGAAGGGAAGCAAGGCAGGCGAGAAAGGAAAATGGAAAGCAAGGCACAAGGAATTTGTCACAAGAAAGTCGAGGAGATGGTTCTGAGTGGCAAAAGAGGGAAAAAGGAGGAGTTTGAAGGAACGACAGCTCAAATCTTCTGTGAAAAACAACCTATACTGCTGCACCCAACAGAGCCGTGGAGCAAACAGCCAGATCAATCAGCAGTAGCCACGGCAGCAAGAGCAGCAGCAGCAGCAACTGCATGGCTGAGTGGGACGTCATGCCTGCTGCCAGCAGTACAAGGTTGATCAGAGACAGCAGCCACAGCCGCCTCAGCAGCAGCAGTAGCAGCGCCCAGAAGCCTGCATCCTCGTTATAAGCATCCCCACTAGACGACGAAACAACTTACAAAATCCCCAACAATCCTCAGCTCCCAGCAGCCCAAGGTTGATCGGAAGCAGCAGCAGCAGCAGCAGCCACAGCAGCAGCCGCAGCAGCAGCCGCAGCAGCAGCCGCAGCAGCCACAGCAGCAGCCGCAGCAGAGACCAGCATCCTTGTTATAAGCATCCCCACCAAACAAGAAAAATGACTTACGAAGTCTCCAATGATCCTCAGTATCTTGAATATGGCCGAGTGAGACGTCATGCCAGCAGCCAGCAGTCCAAGATCGATGAGAAGAAGCAGCAGAGACGAAAATCCTCGTTATAAGCATCCCCATATGCCAAAAAGACAAAGAGACTCACGAAATCTCCGATGATCCTGAGAATCTTGAAGATGGCGGAGTGAGAGGTCATTCCTGCTGCCAGCAGTCCAAGATCGATGAGTAGAAGCAGGAGCGCCCAGAATCCGGCGATCACGCTGGCAGCAATGAGGTAGCGGAAGGCGTGGAAAGACGAGTAGCTTATCCCGGCGACTTTAGCTGTCAGCATCACTGCCAGCGCACACACCGCTGCGAACAGCTGGGGGTAAGGGGAAAGGGCAGGACGTAAACGGGGGAGAAGGGAGCAGCAGTAGAATCAGCAGCAGCTGAACCAACACCACCACCAGGAGCAGCAGCAGAGCCCAGAAGCCGGCGATGACGCTGGCAGCAATGAGGTAGCGGAAGGCGTGGAAAGACGAGTAGCTTATCCCGGCGACTTTAGCAGTCAGCATCACTGCCAGCGCACACACCGCTGCGAACAGCTGGGGTAAGGGGAAAGGGCAGGACGTAAACAGGGGAGAAGGGAGCAGCAGTAGAATCAGCAGCAGCTGAACCAACACCACCACCAGGAGCAGCAGCAGAGCCTAGAAGCCGGCGATGACGCTGGCAGCAATGAGGTAGCGGAAGGCGTGGGAGGACCAGTAGCTTCTCCCCGCAACCTTGGCTGTCACCATCACTGCTAAGGCGCACACCGCTGCGAACAACTGGAGGGGGAAAAAGGGGAGGGAAAGGGGAGAAGGGAGGCTGGGGCAGGGATGTGTTGACAGCAACAGCAGCAGCTGCACCAGTAGCAGCGGCAGCACCATTTCCCAGATAACACCTTCCTGACAAATAGCAACTCCCTCACAGATAGCACCTCCCTCCAGATGTACTCTCTTCGGCCTCACAGGAGCCGTCTACATTTCGAAGTTTCCTGTGCAGTCATCCACTGGTTAAGAATGAAGCCCCTTCTTTCCACTAACATAACATGCATGATGCACCCAACCCAGCACAAGGTTTCTGCATTTTGAGGCGCCTCAAAATACATAACATGCACCCAACCCAGCACAGGGTTTCTGCTCTTAAATCTCCCACCCACCCCACTTGCCAGATCTACCCTCTCATCGCCCTCACAGGAGCCGTCTACGAGATGGAAGGATCCTGTGCAGTCATTCACTGGCTGGATCAAACCTTCTTGCTTTTGCATTCCCACCTCACCCTTCAGATGTACCCTCTCATCGGCCTCACAGGAGCCATCTACGAGATGAAGGGATCCTGTGCCATCATTCGCTGGCTGGATCAAACCTTCTTGCTTTTGCATTCCCACCTCACCCTTCAGATGTACCCTCTCATCGGCCTCACAGGAGCCATCTACGAGATGAAGGGATCCTGTGCCGTCATTCGCTGGCTCAAAGACAACCTCAAGGATTGGCTCGCCCGCCACCCGATCCTCCACCGCCGAACCAAAGCCTCACCCGATTGGTCCAAATTTGCCCTCACCGGCCACAGCCGTGGCGGGAAAGTCGCGTTCGGCGTGCTCCGGAAGCTTTTCTGCAAATCAGTTGTGCCGATTAAAGCCCAGTTTCTACTTGACCCGGTTAATGGTGGTGGGAAAAAAAGTTCCTGGAAATCGGGGGATTCGGTGCTTACATACGTTCCAAACTCGATACGCGTCTTCGCCCCGGTGGCGGTGTTAGGAACGGGACTGGGAGGTTTATGTGCTCCTGAAGGCGACAACTACAAAGATTTTTACTCTGATATGGTTGGCCCTGTGTGGAAATTTGTCGTGCCCGAGTACGGGCACGCCGATTTTTTCAATAATTGACTTGGCCCAGGGATTACTTTCATTTCGAAGCACTTCTGTAAGAACGGGCCGGCGAGAAGGCCGATGCGGGTGGTGACTGCTGGGCTGATGGTGGCGTTCCTTCAGGCCAAGCTGCTTGATGACTCGGCGGATCTGGATGATTTAATGGCCAACCCAGGCCACTCCCCGGTTAAGATAGACCAGCCTGTGACAAAACCATAATGTATACAATATTGTTTCAGTTTGTAGTAGTTCATAAATGCTTTTGCCGTTTGTAGATATCACCCTGTATGACTAAATACATCGAAGCCTTCTGTGCGGAACATTGGACTTGTGGTGCTGGGGGCGCACGGGCAGTGCTTGGAGCATGAGTGAACCATTGAAATTATGCGCGGTGGAATTGCCTTTTCTAGTAGGAAATATCATGGACTAGCAAGTAGCAACTATTCTGTTCGCGTTGCGTTCCGGCAGAACCACTCACCTATCCAATAATTTCCTCAATGCCGGACTCCGTACAAGCAATGTCAGCATGGCCTCGTCGCACTATAACCCGCGTCCCCCTTCTGAGATGCCTAAAAATACGTCAGGCTGCATTAATTTGCTTCATAATCTTAATCTCCAGTGGCTCGACAATTCCTGCTGAGGGCTCAAACTCCTCCCAATCATTACCATCACTAGTAAATACCCTACAGTCTTTTGATTCTGACGGTTTCGCCAGTCCCGACCAGAAAGATCCCAACCGCAAGCTGATTGGTGACGACCGCACCCCTAGCAAGGTCTTCTCGCGTGGTCCTTATCGCGTGCTCGAGCGTAGGATCGGTACAAAACGACCTTTCGGCAACTCCAAGGTACGGATGTGTTGCTGTGTCCCGCATGTGCTAGTCTTCTCGCTTCGCCAAATCGTGTTCCCCGTTTTGTGTTCCCCTGTTGGGTGTTGGCGTGCTGCCAAATAATCGCATTTCTGGTATTTTGCACATGCTTTACCCCCTCCCTCTCGCCCTCTGCGCTGGTTCCATCCCTCCCTCCTCTCTCTCCCCCCTCTTTCCCTCCTCTCTCCCTCCTCTCACCCTCCGCTTTTCCTCATCCCTCCTGCCTGTCCTCCTCCTCCTCTCTCCCCCCTCTCCAGTTCGCCCCTCCAAAGCCTCTGCGCCTGTGGGTGCCAGTCTCCTCATCGCAGCTCTCCGCACCCCTCCTGCTCTTCCCACACGGCCTCAATGCTCTCTACCTCCTCTTACCTCCCTCTAACTCTCTGTGCTGAGCCCTTCTCCCACTCCCTCCTCTCTTTCCTCCCTCCAGTTCGCCCCTCCAAAGCCCCTGCGCCTGTGGGTGCCAGTCTCCTCATCGCAGCTCTCCGCACCCCTCCTGGTTTTTCAACACGGTTTTGCCGCCAAAACGCACTTTTACTCGCAGCTTCTGTCACGCATAGCATCGCATGGCTTCATTGTCGTGGCTCCGCAGGTAGGTGTGAGTGTGGGCGCGCGCACGCATGTGTATGTGTATGTGGATGAGTGTGTGTGTGTGTGTGTGTGTGTGTGTGTGTGTGTGTGTGTGTTTGTGTGTGCGCGCGCGTGTGTGCGTGTGTATGTGTGAGGGCGCGTGCGTTTGTAAGGGTCTAGAGTGGTTTTACTGCATTTAAGAAGGCTTTGCTGCAAAAACGCACTTCTACTCGCAGCTGCTCTCGCGCATTGCATCTCATGGCTTCATTGTCGTGGCTCCCCAGGTAGGTGGATTTACGTATGGGTTCAGTGAGGTGGGCAGGTGTACATCTGGTGCTGCTGCTCCCCTGCCAAAAACGCACTTCTACTCGCAGCTGCTCTCGCGCATTGCATCTCATGGCTCCATTGTCGTGGCTCCCCAGGTAGTTGTGTGAGAGTGTGAGATTGTGTGTGTGTGTGTGTGTGTGTGTGTGTGTGTGTGTGTGTGTGTGTGTGTGTGTGTGTGTGTGTGTGTGTGTGCATGCGTGTGTATGTGTGAGGGCGCGTGCGTTAGTATGGGTCTGTGTATGGGTTAGAGTGGTTTTACTATTATAGTCACAATATGCTTGAATGTGCCTAAAACGAAAGATAGAGTGCACTGTCGGATTTCAGCACAGCGGCTTTAAACGTTCATAGCGTTCTGGTCACGGCTTCAAATGACCTAATATAAAGCGTCTTATTGTCGCCTACAATAGGCAATTTAGATCGCACGATTTGATCAAGTATTGACAACACATCGTCGGTTTGAACGAACGGCACTATGGCAGCCACTATAGACTTATAACACAAATTAGAAAGAGTTACGAGTTGGGAATGACTCACAACCTCTACAAACCCCAAAAGCCGAGGTACAGTGATGTGGAACAGTGTCACACTGTCCCCAACCATGAAGGGTTTCGAAACTACCCTCCACAATCATAATCGCTCACTGCTGTGCCTCCTTTTGACTCGACTCAAAACCAGCTTCTCTCACAATCATAATTGCTCATTGCTATGCCTCCCCAAATATTAATGCCGCCCAGTCCTTCCCTGCATCTCTTCATCCCAACATTTTTATTTTCCCTCTTTTGAGACGCCTAAAACTCACCTCTCACTGGTCCGAGTTGACTTTTGAGTCGACTCAAAAGTCAACTTCCCTGCATCACTTCATCCCAAAGATTTGTTTTCCCTCGTTTGAGACGCCTAAAACATACCTCTCACTTGTCCATTCCTGTCGCATGTTTTGCCTGTGCACAGATGTACCCCTTTATAGGCCGATCCAACACAGAGCCGGAGATGAGAGGCAGTGTACGCGTGATCACATGGGCAAGAACGAATGTTGACACATGGCTGCAACAGAAGAAGCAGAAACGACCCCTGTCTGAGTCGAAGCAGCAACTTCAACCAAGCTCTTCCCCACACCCCTCCTCGTTCTCCTCCTCACCCTCATCACCCACCTCGTCATCTTCTTCCTCCTCCCCTCCTCCCTTCAATCTTTCATCTTCCCCATCATCATCACCCAATAACGCCTCCCCCACTGCCACCTACCCTTTCAAAAACACTGTCCCTGATTGGTCCAAATTTGTCCTATCAGGGCACAGTGTGGGTGCCAAGGTGGCATTTGGTGTAACACGTAACGTCGTCTCTCCCTCTTCCCCTGTCCCCATTGCCGCCCTTCTCCTTTTCGACCCTTCGGACGGCACCTCAAATACCTCCAAAAACGTGCCGCCCGTTCTCATGCACAGGCCCAACTCCCTTGTCGTTTCTGCCCCAGTTCTGATTGTTGGCTCAGGTCTCGGTCCGATCCCAAAAGGTCCCGGGCTGCCCGCCTGCCCACCCAAATATTTTGGGCACAAGACATTTTTTTCTGACCTAGCGGGACCTGCCTATTATTTTGTAGTGCCCAAGTATGGGCACTTGGATTTTTACGATAAAAACATCGGGATTTACGGGGCAATGAGTGAGGTGGCTTGCAAAAAAGGCCCGGCAAAACGGCCGATGCATGTCGCTGCATCTGGTATTGCTGTTGCCTTTCTTAAAGCCAAGTTACAGGGGGACTCAGCAGATTTGGATGATGTAATGAGTAGTCCTGTACATTCTTCAGTGAGACTTGCTACACCTCAGTCTAAAGGGGCTTGATGGATGGCTATTACGGTAATCATACCATTAAAAAAAAAAAAAACCTTCTGAATTTCAGCTGTACATTGTACACTGCTCTAACAAACTTAAGATCTTCAAGGATCTATAATGACTATTACCGGTACTAGATAAGGACAGACATGGCCAGCTAGACCTCTACAGCAGAAGCTGAGGAAGCCACTAGAGGGCAGCAGCAGCTGCAACTGTAGCTGGTGCTGCTCCGCATAAAGTGGCGGGTGCTCCTGCAGGTATTTCTTCAGGTGTTTCCTGCTGCCGCCCCACTTTCCACCCCACCTCTGACAGCACCACAGGAGAATGCTCAGGGTGTTGCAATAGATCACAAAGATTGCTCACATCACTCCCCTTCCCTGAACCAATCACAGCACCACAGCCTCCGACCCTGTTCCCCTTAGCCGAGCCACTCCCATTGCCTTCTTTCGAGTCAACCTCGCACGCCCCTCCGCTACCTCCACTCCTCATGTACACTTCCTCAAGCCTTTGCCTCTCTCGCTCCAAATCCACCAGCTCCTGCCGCTCCTCCTCCTGCTTCTGCTGCTCCAGCCCCTCCTGCTGTTTCTGCTCCGTGCCTTGCCCCTGATCACTCAGCAACACAGTACCACTTGACACACCAACCACATCAGCAGCAGCATCAGTCACTAATCTCTCCAGAGCTTGCTGCTTCTCCTCGAAGCTCCTTGCGGCCTCTCCCACACTCCCTCTATCCCTTCTCTCCACCTCCATCCCACTCCTCTCGTTCTTCATTCTCCTCACACTCTCTCCTTTCTCACCATACCCACCACCCCCAACCACAGCCTCTAAAAACGCCACAGCAAGCCCTCCAGCCGCCACTCGCATCGGCTCCCTAGCAGGCCCGTTAGTGCACACTTTGCTAAACAGTGGCCCATAAATCGGGCCCAAGTCGTCATCGTAAAAGTCCGCGTGGCCGAATTCGGGAACCGAAAAATGGTAAGCCGGGCCGACCAGGTCTGAAAAGAAAACCTTGTGCCCAAAATTCGCAGGCGCACATGGGTTACCTTTATCGGAAGGGGATTTGCTGCCTCTGGGAATGGGACCTAGGCCTGAGCCTATAACGAGTACAGGAGGGTTGTTTAACAAAAAGATGGAGTCCGGTTGATGAGTGAGTGTGGGAGGATTGGTGGCTGAAGACGCTGTCCCATCCACAGGATCAAAGAGTATTGCGGCTTTAATAGGCACTGGTAACTCTGCCTTTATGAACCCACGCTGCTGCTTTGTAGACTTAACTAACTCCCCCACCAGCTTTCGCAAAATTCCAAACGTCACCTTTCCTCCCCGGCTATGGCCTGCTAGCACGAGCCTCGACCAATCAGGCTGCGACACCACTGTCTCTTCTCCTGCTGCCTGCTCTCCGCCTGCTTCCTTTCCAGCTGCCCGTATAGCAGCCAGGGCAGCAGGCTTGATACGCGCATCGATTAGAGTGTGCAGATTGGCGTGTAACCAGTTGATGACTTTCACAGCATCCCGCATCTCTGGCATTGTGTCGAATCCTGCTAATATAGAGTACATCTGAGGATTTGAGTGGGTGGGATGGGAAGGTGGGGTTAGGAAAAGAGGGAGAAAGGGGAGAGGGGAAAAGGTGGGAAAGATGCAGGTGTAACAGGCATTACCAGTACTGTACCAATAGCAATGATTGTTCGTCTTATGTAATGAAGGTGATATCTGAGGAGCCACAACGATGTAGCCCTGAGTGGCAAATCACGAGAGCAGGTCAGGAGAGTTAGAGTTTTGTCTCATGCGAGGCAGGTACTACCTGAGAGGCTGAGAGGCAGGTGCTATCTGGAGATGGTAATACCTGAGGTTTCAGGACGATGTAGCCATGAGAGGCGATTCTTGAGAGAAGGTCGGAGTAGAAGCAGGTCTCATCCTATGTGAGGCAGGTGTTACCAAAGAGCAGGTGCTAACCGAGGAAGGTGTTACCTGTGGGGCAATGGCGATGTGGCCATGGGAGGCGACTCTCGAGAGCAGGTCGGAGTAGAAGCTGTAAGGCAGGGATACCTGGGGAAGGTGTTACCTGTGGCGCCACCACAATGTAGCCATGCGAGGCTATTCTCGAGAGCAGGTCGGAGTAAAAATAGTTCTGAGATGCAAATCCGTGCTGAAACACCACCACTGGCACCTGCCAGGTGCTCCTCTGTTGCTGCCAGGTGTTTTTGAGCTTCTCGTCAGGTGAATCGCCAGGAGCTGATTTAGCTTCAGACTCCGAAGCAGAAACAGCAACAGGAGCAGCCTGGGCAGAACCAGATAAGTTGCTGCGTGGAAGATCTAGGACCGGGAACCAGACGCGAACAGGCTTCGGTAGCGGCTCCTGTTTGGACGGGTTGGGAACGGGACAGGATGGGACCGGAACGGGATAAGAACGGGACAGGAACGGTATGGAACATAATCATACTCGACGTGCAATTAGGCTCCATATCCCAGAATGGAAAGCAAACATCCACACTCAACATCGAAAATAAGAAATCCTATTACGTTAGAATCCATGCCCAGTAAAATGATGTAATCATACCTGGGCGAAAGAGCAGTCCCGAGGTCGCACGCTATCCTCCACCACGCGAAACGGCCCGCGACTGAAAACCTTCCCTGGCGTGCCGTCCGCCGTCAGGTTGACGAAAAACGTCGGGCTCTTTTGACGGACGAAGGCGACGGCGCAGGTGACGACCCCCACGCCGATCGCTGCCACCCAGAACATGCCGATTCGGGGCACGGACGGCATGATTGGGACAGATTCACTGAACTCGGCAGCCGCCTACTGCACGACGGACGAAACACAGTGATGGCGACAGATTCAGTGAATCTGGCCGTGCGTTGGGCCGCGACGGTGAATTATATCGTAATGCGAACAAAATTACTCTGTTCGCTTGAACGCGAGACTAGGTGATAAGGAGTAGGCTTCGAGTGGCGCAAACAGGGAAATGGTGTGGCAAGGGATGTGAAGAGAAGGCGTGAGAAGTCAAGACGGAAGCTGTTTGGATGGAAATTGCTTGCCGTGCAGAAGGTGTTCAAATTGTACTCGTCACGAAGATCTGCGATATTCACACAAATTACTAAACATTACATGAACAGAATGCTAATCAACGCTGTGTTTTTTTGTTCGGTTCTATTCTTCCTTAGAGAGGTGGTGGTCTTTCGGGGAACCTACTTCACCTAATCTGAAAGTTGCTTGCTCTGCCCCTCTTTCGAGAGAATCTATGTAATCAGCAGCTGGCGACAGGTCAATCTGAGCCATTCGCACCGCCACGTCACCAGCAGGTCAATCAGCTGAGCCCCTTACCAGCTGGGCATCGCCGCACCGCGCCTAGATGGCTCAACATCAAACCAGACCGCGCCTCTTTGCATGTCCAATGTGCGACTCGATTCGCGACTCCTGCCAGCTTGCTATTCAAATTTCTCCACTTCCCGCCTCGAGGGGAGAGCGAGCGGAGCGGAACGAGGGGACGAACAGCGAGGGAATGGAACGATCGAGCGGCGAGAGACGATGGGGAAGCGGGGCGAGGCGCACGAAGCTGGTGCCGCTGCTGCGGCTAGCGGCTAGCTGCGCTCAACCTAATCGCCGGATTCCGCCACTCGACTTGTTCGCGCAATTCCGCCAGCTTACCGCCGGGCAAGCGGCGAATTCCGACGCTCGTAGCACCAGCAGCAGGAGTAGCGGCAGCAGCAGCGGGAGGAGTAGCTGTCGCCGTGGTGCTGCTAGGAAACGCACATTGGGGACTCACGGAGGGCAACGGGCGGTGTTCATAGATATGATAGAGTCGCTTTTGAGAGTTCTCAAGAAGGCAACGGGCGATTGTGGCGAATGTAGCGAGGACGAGACTCCATCTTCTCTCTGCCGTAGCAGGCTAGCAGCTCAGGAAAGCTTCGCTGACACGCGCTGCTTGTTACCGTATCCAGCAACTCCCAGACTTTTCAGATCGAGAGCAGGCCAGTTACTAGCCGAGTGTGGTAACCACACGTTCGGTACTGTCAGGTTGTGCTTGGTACCATTGACAGGTGACTAGGCGGCCTGCTCAAACCCGAGTTACTAGACACCATGCTGCCTGGAGCAGGGGGAGGGGGCGGAGGGGGAGGCGCGGGGAAGGATGGCAAGCGGAAGATGTTTGCCAAGAGCCCTCGCTCCTTCCACCACTGGGTCAGCCCGCTTCTGCGATTCCTGCAGGTAATCCCGTTACCACTACGATGTTTGCCTGGTTATGCCCGGTTCTACCTGGTTGTGCCCGGTTCTACCTGGTTGTGCCCGGTTCTACCTGGTTATGCCCGGTTGTGATTCTGCCTGGTTCTGCTCGGTTGTGCCCAATTTTGGCTGGTATACCACTGGTGGTAGTAGAGTAAGTTACGAGGACAGGAGGGGAGGCGCGCGGAAGGATGGCAAGCGGAAGATGTTTGCAAAGAGCCCTCGCTCCTTCCACCACTGGGTCAGCCCGCTGCTGCGGTTCCTGCAGATATGCCCCCACCCTTGGGATCCTGGCATGGTTGATCGCTGTGCTCATGCCTCACAAGAGCACACACACTCCCTCCACCACTGTGTCAGCCTGCTGCTGCCACTCTCTACCTGTTCCCAAACTTCCTCCCTCAGCCTTCCCCTCCCAATTCCAATCTCAAGCCCCTTATTCCACCGTTCGCCCCCACCCAACCCCCTCTTTCCCCGCTCCCTCCCCAGCTGTTGGCAGCGGTGTGTGTGCTGGCAGTGATGCTGACGATAACTACAGCCCTTCCTCAACCTCTCTTTTTCCCCTCTACTCTCCCATCCACCACCTCAGCTGTTCTCAGCCACCACAATGTAGCCATGGAACACCACTCTTTTGAGCATGTCAGCGAACCAGTAGTTGCGAGTGGCCCAGGGGAAGGGGCGGGAGGGGGAAGGGGGTGGGGGGGTATCTGTCGAAAGGTATTACCTGTCAGGGAGGTGCTATGTGTGAAGAAGGTGTTACCTGTCAGGGAGGTGCTATGTGTGAAGAAGGTGTTACCTGAGGAGCCACGACAATTTAGCCATGGGAGACCACCCTCTTGATCATGTCAGAGAACCAGAAGTTGCGAGTGGCACGGGGGAGGTGTTATCTGCCAGGGAGGTGTTACCTGCGGAGCAACCACAATGTAGCCATGGGACACCACTCTCTTGAGCATGCCAGAGAACCAGAAGTTGCAGGTTGCGAGTGGCCCAGGGGAGCTGTTATCTGCCAGGGAGGTGTCAGCCACGCAAGTTCAATCTGCTAAGAAAGGTCATACCTGAGGGGCCACGACAATGTAGCCATGGGAGACCACCCTCTTGAGCATGTCAGAGAACCAGAAGTTGCGAGTGGCCCACCCGTGCTGAAACACAACCACCGGGAAGGACCTAGGTGATGACGTGGCAGGCGCCCATAGGAGGATAGGGCGCGGAGGCAGCACCTGGAATGAGGGGAGGGAACAGCCAGAGGGGAGGGAACGGGCGGAGGGGAGGAGATGCATGAGGCAGGGGAGGCGAAACGATAAGCAGGAGAGGAGAGCGGAATACAAACTGAGTGACTGAGGGAGGGGTAAAAAGCTCTTTGGCATAAAAAGGTATTGCCTAGCAGACCTTGAAAATGAACATGGCCTCGCCAATGGACGATCGCTCCACCGCCTTGTGCGGCCCCACCCAAGTCAAACAGCTTCCCAGGTAATGTGCAATGCCATGCAGCGACTTGCGGTGTCATGCGGTGACATGCAGTGGTGTGTGGGGGAATGCTTTTTGCACACCTAAAAGATGAACATAGGTCCGCCAATAGACGATCGCTCCACCGGCTTATACGGTCCCAAGCTGCACACCTTTCCAGGTACTGTGCAATGCAATGCAATGCAATGCAGTGGCTTGCAGTGCCATGCGGTGACATATGGTGATGGCGGGGGTGTGCGGGGTGATGCCTCTCGCACACCTTGAAAATAAACATGGGTCCGCCAAGAGACGATCGCTCCACAGACTTGTACGGCCCCGAGCCAAACACCTTCCCAGGCGTGCAAGGTGGTGTACGGTGATGTGCGGTGATATGTGGTGACATGCAACAACGAGTGGTGATAAGTGCGGTAATGCTTCTCGCACACCTTGAAAATGAACATGGGTCCGCCGATCGACGATCGCTCCACCGGCTTATACGGCCCACGGCTAAACACCTTCCCCGGCGTGCCATCCACTCCTATCAGCTTCGACAGAGCGGCCGCCGTGCCGTCATCCGATCCGTTGACCATACAGGCCGGCAGGTCCGGCGTGCCGCCATCCATTCCAATCAGTTTCGGAGCAGTCGGCAGGAACTCAGAAGAAGGCAACGAGAGGTTCTGAACAGACTGACTTTGGAGCGAGGAGAGAGGTTCAGGGACGGGCGTGCTAGTCTTTGATGGGTTTTTCACGGGAATAGTTTGAGAAGAAGAGGTTTCTGGGAGAGAGTTGGCGGTTGGCTGCGAATGAGGCGCGTCGGGGAGAGGCGACGCGTCGGGAAGAGGCGAAGTGTCGGAGAGAGGCGAAGCGTCGGACACGATGGATGCTAAAGAGAGGGCCAGGATCGAGGTTACTACTAGGAGCGCGACGCGGGAAATGGCGGGAGGACGTAGGAGGGATTGGCGATCCACCGCCTGAGAGGAGACTAGAAAGCCCTTGCTACTATCGCTCGCGATAAAAGACATGAGCGAAGAAAGGCGAGAAGTCGCCATATATTTGTCAGCTGAATAGCTGGATTTCATTCAGCACTTAGTGGCATAAGCACAGAGGTACCGCAAGTTGTGGCTGATCGTGCCTGATCAACTCGGGTGATGTGGAAGTCAATTCTCAATTCGCCTCTGCAAAGTGCATAGAAATCGGTAAAGAAGGTCTCGTTTTCTCAGCGCCAATGTGGGGGCTCGCGGTGAATAATTTGTCTATCCATGTCGCTCAGAAATAACTGTGAGGACAACCATAAAAGGTACGGTAGAATGGAAAGCATCGACTGGTTGGAATAAAATACTGGTTGAAAATAAGCGGATGGAGGACAGGAGGATAGATGGAGGTGGTGTACGAGGCGAAGTGCTGGGGCAGGCGACCTAGAAGGCGAAAGCGAGGCGAATCTGTTACCATAAACTGAGAAAACTGACGAAAGATATCGCCTGCAAGTTGGAGGTGGTTATGTTGGGCTGGCATTTCGCCTTTCGCGCAGGAAACAGAATGCGCGACGTGGAGCACCGACACTAGGCCACTGCTGTCCTTTCAGTGAATGGTCTGGAGGGTACATGAATTGTCCGTGATATAGCAAAGCGTCGTGCGTCGCGCGAGCTACAATTATGTTCTGTACCACTCTAGTAATCGCATATATCTACACGTTTCGAAACATTTTCGCACTTCCCTCCTGCCCTTGGGAACTTCGGTCATTCCTCCCTCCCGTCAAAAAGCTGACTCCCCAGCTCCAAGCTAGACTACCCACTAAGCACAGCCACAAGCGAGCCTAGATTTCACCATGCGAACCTCGCTTTCACATCGCGTAATTTCTCTCCTCCTCGTCCTCTTTCTCCTCCTCCCAACCCGCGTTTTCCGTGCGGACGAGACTCCTGGCAAGGTGTTCAGCAAAGGAACCTATCCGGTGGCTGCGAAATGGCTGCCGCAGCGCCGTCGGGTTCTTTTCAGGGTAAATGCTGTGTGTAGTAATAACTCGTGACGCGCGTTACGCACCATGAGTATCCCCGCTAGCAGCGACAATGACAATGTTCCTGAGGGTACTGGCCTCGTTTCTGAGGAGAAAACAAAATTAGCAGAAACAAACTCTCCTCGTCTCCTCTTTCCTGTTGTTCCCTTCTCGCACCCAATCCCCGCGTCACCCAATCCCTCACCCTCATTCTCACATTCACTCTACTCACGCTCACTTTCAATCGCACTCACCCTCATTTGTTCCCCGGCAGACCTTCCCTCCCCCCTCATCAGCAATCCTCTCCGCATCTTTTCGCCTATGCCTTCCTCCTCCACCGCCTGCCAGTGCTGCTCTTCCAACACGCCTTCCCCCCAACCCCATCTTCCCCCCCCCGTCCCCCTACCGCATCTTTCCCCCTTCCTCACCCTTCTCTCCCTACCAGAACAACCCCCCCAAGCCTCTCCGCATCTGGTCGCCCAAGCCTGCCTCCGCCACCGCCCTGCCAGTGCTGCTCTTCCAACACGGCTTCTCCGCTCAAACTATTTACTACTCTCTCCTGCTCTCCCGCGTTGCTTCCCACGGCTTCATTGTCGTCGCTCCCCAGGTGGGTAGGGCAAATAGGTAAGCATAGGTTCAATGCGGTGACTGGGTGCTGCTCTTTCTCTGCTCAAGCCCTCTTCTACTCTCGCCTGCTCTCCTCATCGCTTCCCACGGCTTCATTGTCATCGCTCCCCAGGTGGGTACGTGCACATCTGTGCACAAATGAGTAAGCATGAAATAAGCATAAATCTATTGCGGTGAGTGGGTGCGTGGGTGCACATCCAGTGCTTCTCTTCCAACACAGATCCTCCGCTCAAGCCCTCTTCTACTCTCGCCTGCTCTCCCGCGTAGCTTCCCATGGCTTCATTGTGTCGCGCCCCAGGTGTGTATAAGAGAGGAAAGAAGTATCGTGTTGTACCACAGCCACCAATGCAAGGCCTGAAATTCGGCATCTGCCAGGGTGATGCCCTGGCTGCGCTCTCAACTCTCCTGCACCCGCACTCTCCCCTCGTCCCCTCCCCCTCCTCCCTTTTTTCCCCTCTCCACCTGCTCCTCATACCTTCTGTCATTCCAAGATGTATCCCATAACCACCACCACCAATGCAATCCCTGAAGTCCTCTGGCTGTGCTCTCACCTCTCCTCCACCCTCACCCCTTCCCCCCTGTTTTTCTCCCTCTTGCCCTCCCCATTCCTCCTTTCTCACTCCAAGATGTATCCCATAACCACCACCACGAATGCAATCCCTGAGATCCGTGCATCTGCCAGGGTCATATCCTGGCTGCGCTCTCACCTCTCCTCCACCCTGTCCAACCGCTTCAAACTCCTTGCCTCTCCCGACTGGTCGAAATTCGCTATTGCCGGGCACAGTCGTGGGGGTGCTGTTTGCTTTGCCTTATTGAGGCAGCTTATAGTTCCTTCTCCGGTGCCTCTTAAGGCTGTTGTGCTTTTGGATCCTGTAGATGGTAATCCCAATGGTACCCGGTTTGGAATAAACACATTTGCTACACTCGTTAGGAAACCTGATTCGTTAACTGTCAGTGCACCTGTACTCGTTATAGGAGCAGAGCTGGGGTCTGTGTCAAGGAGGAGGAATAGGCCGCCTTGTGTCCCGGAAAAGCTGGGGCATAAATACTTCTACTCAGACCTTGCCGGGCCAGCTTTACATGCGGTGATACCCAAGTGCGGGCACAGTGACATGGTCAATAGCCGAGGGGATCGCTGGCGCGGTGGTGAGCTCAGCCAAGAGCTACACCTTCCAACTGGATTTTCTACATCTGCTAAGATGATACATCTAACAGGCCTGTCGGCGGCACTTGCATCGAATGGGATTTGTCCCGGCGCCCGTTCAAGGAGACCTATGCAGGTGGCTACTGCTGGTTTGATGGTCGCTTTCTTGCAAGTCAAGTTGTTGAGTGATTCTGCGAACCTGGATGATATTCTTGCGACCCCAGACCATTGCCCTGTCAAATTAGACCCAATTGTGTCCAAGTAGTTAATTAGGAGTATGATGGTGATGTAAGATTTCCCGCGGAATTGGTCGATTTTCTTAGAAGCTTATAGCGCGTACGTGAAATGTTTGTTCCGTTTCTTGGCGTGGTGCGTCGGAACGTGTCTGGGCCCAGTTCGGCAGGCATTAAAAAAACGGTTTCCCCGGTTGGGCTACAGTAAACCGACCACCCTGGAACCTTCTTTGATAAGCGCGTGAAAGGTTATCTAGGCTCGATAAAAGCGGATCATCGCCGAACCAGACAATAATGGAATGCCAGCCGAACACCCCCTTTGACGCTGGCATTTTCTACCAGAGGAATCTTCCTCGAACCCTATTTCCCAGGCAAATGGTCCATTTTCTGATACGCCGCACCATACTGCCTCGAGACCCCCCCCCACACGGGGTATCAGTGATTCGGGGCAATCACACATTGCCCTGACAAAAACAAATCCCGGTCTTTCATGCCCCTCATTTTGCCCGCTGGGAAATCGCACATCACCAACACACCTTCACTAACACATCGAACGCACAGATTCTCTTGCCCGAATTTTTTCGACGTCCACCACTGGTTTGCATGGCTGCCCGTGCTGCCAGTACAGTGATTCTGAGCTCCATCAGCGCAGCTGCATGCGAGCTTCTGCGAAGTGTCATTTTCGGTTGATGCCGTTAATCCAGGCCCATTTAATGCCAACCGAACAGTCGGGCCCATTCTTCCGAAGTTAAACTGCAGCTACAGTCTGACTTCGCAGCTGTTTCGAGGGGCCATTTTTTGGGGGCCCGTTAAAAATGCCCAAAATGGCCATAATGGCCATAATGCCTGCCGAACTGGGCCCTGGCGAAAACAGCTTTCCCCTTCGCGAACCGAAAGCACCTGCAAAAAAGCCATGGGGAACCGAAAAGACTGTCCAAGTGTTACATATTCTAGCTGCACCGTACCGAAGCGCGCACCGAAATGTCTGTGTTTCCGTCTGGTCCGCTCCGCACAGAAGCCTAGGCTGTCCACGTGGCAGCACATCCAACCAGTAATTTTTAGAAGCCACTCTCCATGGTCTTAACCTCCTGCGTACTCTCTACCAGAAATAGGTACTCTCTCCGTACTCTTTGTAGATAGCAAATACTCTTCGTACTTTCCCTGCACCCTAGGTTCAGCTGCCAATTATTCATTCGTCTAGCTTACCATAACAGAGTTCTGCTACCTTACTGGCCGTCTCGTTTTTCGTTCGTTTTCCTGACACTGGCAGCACTCAGAAGCAGCTGTAGTGGCTGACACAGCGTAGGGGCGACTGTGGAAAAAGCTTCATTAGTGGGCGATTGTCGCGAACCACTTTTGCTGACGTGGTTGGAGAGATGGTTGACGTAGATTGCCGGTCACGTCGAACAGAAAAATGCAGGTTTCCGCGTGGCATCCTGGCTGCTCTTGCCACGTCATTAGCCGTCCTCTGCTTCCTCGCGCCAATCGTCCGTGTCGATTGCGAGGCGGTCAGTACAGATGCGGCGGCGGCCAGCTCAAACGTATCGTTTGCCACCCCAGTTGACACGACAGCTGACACTCTTGATGCAACGCCTGGAAAAGTGTTCAGCCGCGGACCCTATACCGTAAAACGCGGAGCGTTCCTTCTCAAACGGCGGCGATTCCTTTTGAAGGTAAAATAAACGCCCGTTCCATTTCACTGGCGAGCCGCTCGTCATCTCGCCACTTAAGCGAGGCTCCGCACCCCTTCCCCAACCCTTCTTCCCTTTCCTCCTTATCCCTCCCCATCCATCTCATCCATTCCCGTCCTTTCTCGTCCCTTCCCATCCCATCCCTCCCCCTTCCTTGTCCCACATCTTTCCTCCTCTTCCCCACCGTGTTCCCTTGTTACCAGAGCAACCCCCCCAAGCCTCTCCGCATCTGGTCGCCCAATTCCCCCCAACGCCCCCCTTCTCCTCCCCCCTTTCACCCTGTTCTCCCTACCAGAGCAACCCCCCCCAGGCCTCTCCGCATCTGGTCGCCCAATTCCCCCCAACACCCCCTTCCCCCCTCCCCCCTTCACCCTGTTCTCCCCCCAGAGCAATCCCCCCAGGCCTCTCCGCATCTGGTCGCCCAAGCCCACTACAGCCACCGCCCTGCCAGTGCTGCTCTTCCAACACGGCTTCTCTGCTTCTCTGTTCCCAGTGGCTTCTCCCCTCCCACACTCACTGCTTTCCCTTTATTACCTCTCTCCCCCACCCTCCTCCCCCCACCTCCACCCCATTCCACCCCCGCTCCTTCCTTCCCCCCCGGACCCTGTTCCCGCACCAGAGCAACCCCCCCAGGCCTCTCCGCATCTGGTCCCCCAAGCCCTCCACAGCCACCGCCCTGCCAGTGCTGCTCTTCCAACACGGCTTCTCCGCTCAGACCTCCTTCTACTCGCAGCTGCTCACGCGCATAGCCAAGCACGGCTACATCGTCGTGGCGCCTCAGGTATGTGGATGGGTGCATATCAGTGCACAGATGGGTAAGCATGGGTTTAGTGCGGTGGGTGGGTGCACACTGCTGCTCTTCCAACACGGCTTCTCCGCCCAAACCTCCTTCTACTCGCAGCTGCTCACGCGCATAGCCAAGCACGGCTACATCGTCGTGGCTCCTCAGGTGTGTGGGTGGGTGTAATCGGTGTTCAGATGGGCAGGAATAGGTTTAGTGCGGTGGTCGGGTGCACATCTGGTGCTGCTCTTCAAACACGGCTTCTCCGCCCACGCCTCTTTTCTCTCGCAGCTGCTCACGCGCATCGCCAAGCACGGATACATCGTTGTGGCGCCTCAGGTATGTGAGTGTGTACAACCAGTGCACTGCACAGATGGGTAAGCATAGGTTCATTGCGGTGGTGAGTGCACAGTGCTGCTCGTCCAACATGGCTTCTCCGCTCAAACCTCCTTCTACTCGCAGCTGCTCACGCGCATAGCCAAGAATGGTTACATAGTCGTGGCTCCTCAGATTCGTTGATACATATCTGTGCATAGATGGGTAAGCATGGGTTTACTGCGGTGCATGGGTGCACAGTGCTGATCTGCACACGCGGATAGCCAAGCACCGTTACATTGTCGTGGCTCCTCCGGTATTCTTCGTGCACATATATCTATTCCTAGCTCGCAGGCATGGGTTCATTGTTGACAGGTAGGCATGGCTTGGTTCTGGTGGGTGGATGCTGGCCTCCTCTTCCTCCCTCATTCCCCTTTTCCTCCTCTGCGGCCCCACCATTCTTCTCTCATCCAGCCTCCCCACTGACCCCTCCTCCAACCTTCCCCCCTTCCCCCCTCCCCCTCCCCCTCCTACCACAACCCAGATGTACCCTGTAACAACAGGCTCCAATGCATCCCCTGCACCACCCTTCTCTCATCATGTTTTCCCCCTGGTCCTCCCTGCCCTCCTCCCCCTCCCCCACCCTCCCTACACCTATACCAACCCCCAGATGTACCCCGTAACAACAGGCTACAATACAGCGCCAGAGATGCGCGGTTCAGCAAACGTCATTGGCTGGATGCGTAAACGACTCGCCAAGGTCCTTGCCAGCCGCCTCAAAGTGAAAGCCGTTCCCGATTGGGACAAGTTTGCTATTTCGGGACACAGTCGAGGGGGCAAAGTCGCGTTTGGAGTCGCACGGGGCTTGGTCAAGAAATCGCCCGTTACAATTGGGGCAGTGATTCTGGTTGACCCTGTAGACGGCGCTTCTAACAAAACGAAAAACCCCCCAGCTACACTGACCCACCAACCAGGCTCCATCAGCCTGGGCATTCCTGTACTCGTTATAGGAGCAGGGCTGGGCCCTATCCCAAACCAACCAGGCGGCATGCCCTGTGCACCCGCTTATTTCGGCCACAAGTATTACTACTCGGATCTTGCAGATTCGGCCTATCATGTTGTGATGCCCAGGTATGGCCATGCCGATTTCAACAATGACATGCGAGTGACTGTTAATGTGTGCCCTGGAGGGCCGAAGAAAGTTAAAGCCCGGGCGGCAACTGCTGGGCTGGTGGTGGCCTTTCTCAAAGCGAAGCTTGAGAGTGATTCTAGTGATTTGGATGATGTGTTGGCCAATCCGGGCCATGCTCCTGTTACTTTGTCACCAGTTGAAAGTAAATAAAGTCTGCTCTTGAAGCATCGAGCATTGCAGACATGGTTGTATGTACTGTATGCCTGGCACTTGTCCAACACCGGCCTCATCACTACCATTGTAGATTTGGCATAAGCTCAGGCTCAACATCCATGTCACAGGACTGCCAATGTTCCACAAATTTGGAGAATCATGTGTACAGAGGAAGATAAATCACATTCTATAGACATTGCCATGTCATACAACAAGTGGGAAAGCCACGCGGATCTTCCCAATGCTGCATACCCATCCAGTTGTGAACGTTATGAACACGGGCATCTACGGTAACCCTCTATCTGGCATCACACAGGGCTGCCAGCTCTGCAAAATGCAATAACGCACCACTCCCACTCCATGTACATTCAACCTAGTGCTATACATGCACCCGCGAGTGCTGTAGTTACGCCAGCTGGACCTGGGTGGAGTAGGGGCAGGCGAGGAAGTCGCCAATCTCCTGCACCAGGTACTGCTTCTCGCTCACACTCAGGTTCATGCCAAAGCGGTGCGTGCGAACGCCTTCGGAGACCTCGCAAGCTGTCATGAAGCCCGCAAACTGGCCCTGAAGGGGGAAAGAGAGGAAAAACGCCAAGATACGAAATGAGGGAAGCCTGTGAGGAGGGAATCACGAAGACCTCAAAGCCTGTGAAAGAACCAGTAAACTGGCCCTGGATTGAGACAGCGAGGAAAGAATGTAAGGAAACACACACACACGCCTACGCACGCACACACACGCACACACACGCACACACACACCCACACGAGGCACTTACCCCAGACACCACGATCTTGACGTTGCTGATGTCGGAGGCCTTGCCGTTCACAGACGACTTGCGGCAGCAGCACTTGCGACCCAGGAAGGACGACGTCATGGTGAACTCGGAGCGGGTGAAGGTGAGGTGGCGGCGAGTCAGTGCCTTGACAACCATGACAATGGTCACACTGAAAAGAAGGGTATATGTGCGGATTTTTGGAAAAATAGGGACAGTACAGATTGAAATGTGCACAGAACGAGGGTGATATGCTGATGACTTAAACGGATTCGTATGAAGTATGTGATGGAGGAAGAGATTCACCCTGCGCATGAATCCACGAGACGCGAAACGTGCACGGGAAGGGAAAATATTCAGGTCTCCTCAGAACTATGCACGGGTGCTTACATAAGGACCAGCGCCCCGAGGCCAATCAGGGGACACATGGAGCAGAAATCGGCGTTGGAAGGAGTGAGCGCATCAAGGTCGATGAAGAACACGGCAAAGATTGCCACGTAGATCTGGGAACAACAAAGCGAGCAGGTGGTACAAAGAGGAGGACGGCTAAGTGGTAGGAAGAACACTGGCAAGAAGCAGCTGTACGTTCGGCAAAACGACTAGGTTCAGACAAAGAAACAAAAGTAAATGTCTGGTAGAAAAGGACGGGAGGAAGCAAGGTTCACACGTGAAGGAAAACATAGCTTTACCAGAAAAAAGGTGTAGAGGACGAGGCAACGGGAGGTGAAACCATTCCGCGGAAGGTTAACCTCCAGGAGGTCACCGCCCTTGCGGTTCACGCCCTGATTTCCACCAAAAGGCAACGGATAAATGACGACGAGTTTAGAAAAAAGGAGTACAGGACGAGAGAATGGGAGGTAACACGGTTGCGCGGAAGGTTAATCTCCAGAAGGTCGTCGCCCTTAGGAAGCTTGGTTGGGGCGAGCAATATAATTGGTCAAGACTTTGGGTGCGAGAGCCAAACACAACCGAGGTTAGGAAGGTTGAACCGATTTGGGCCTTCTTGGCCCTTCGGTTTACGCCAATGCGGTTTAGGAAGGTTAACCTCCAGAAGGTCGTCGCCCTTGTGGTTCACGCCCTATTTTCCACCAACGGGTAAATGACGAAGCGTGAAGAGACGAAAGAATATCGAATCTTTAAGTGACGCCTCACAGCACGCAAATGACAACTGGCGAAATGCATCCAACACGCAGCACAACAAAATTCTGCAGAAATCACGTTTTAGCAAGAGGTTGCAGGCATTCCTTATAAAAGCTAATTCTGAGAAATCACAGGAAAGACTCCAGGCAATTCATCGAGAACCTAGCGCTTTGGTAAACGCACCAGAAAGGACCCGGTAGGAAGGCCGAGGCGGCGAACGCCAGCCTCCAAGCCGTTGACGGTGGAATCGCTGTCCTTGGAGGACAAGAGAGCCTGTGATTGGAGGATGAAAAGCGAATCAGTATAACACGGAAACGAAGAATCGAATTTCGTAAAACTCTGAGCAGCTCGCTGTCCTTAGTGGACAAGAGAGCCTGCGAGGAAAATTAACGGCAAAGTAGCACGACATCGAAAAGGTGGCACGACTGAATGATGTTAAGAAACGAAACAGCCCGCGCAGACGAAGTTGAAGCTCGCTCATGCTTTAAGCTCACCACTTTCGCCGAGTCCATGGTTGTGGACGATAAACACGAAGGGAAAGCCTGAGAGTCTGAGAAACGGAGTTATACGAGTACTACTGGAAAGTAAAAGTGTGGACAATGGAGTGAATGTGTCGTGACAGGAGTAAGATGGCGTTCCCACGTTTGCCCGCCATCGAAGTCACCCCATCAGGCTCGATATTGGGCGGGATGGTGTCCAGAGTGGGGTACTCTCCCACTCTGGACACCCTGTAGTTGCGATCTGCGCGCGCCCAATGAAGACGTTCATTTGACAAACCTAGTGATCAATTTATGCATGTGTGTGGTACCTACGACTACCCGTTTCAAGAGCTTCGGTGAGAAGGTGGAGGACGAAGTGCAGAAACAGGCTTGCGCACGTCAGTGGAACAACATCACGGACGTGGGCGAAAGGCTGGGGCATCTCAAATGTTTACAAATGCCCCCGTTCGGATGCACGTACAGTCAATACCACAACTGCGTCGTGCGCCGTTGGATGAGTTCGCTCACGGTCGTGGATGCGGCATTGCACGACCAAAACCACATTACATGTTGATGGGCAAAGTTCGAGCCGCATTTGCCCCAATTTCCTCACATTATACAAATTGGCGAACCGCGTGGGGTGACTTCGATGGCGGGCAAACGTGGGAACACCACCTAAGACTATGGAAGACGGAGAAATACAATATCTGGTGTGTGTGGAAAATCTGTTAGCAGGAGTGAGTGAGCGACTGACGGGGACGGACGATAAGCAGAGGCGGAAGTGTGAAATTTTGTGAATGGGCTGGGTTGACCGACGCGAACAAGGCAGGAACGGGACGGAACTTGACGGAACGGTAACGGGTATGGAAAAGGGGGACACGTTTGGATGGGATGGGATCATGGGATGGGAGAGAGTTGTTGCGAAAAGTTCGCTCAACGGAGGCACGGGATGACGGGACGGGGTCACAAAAATTTTGCTGGTGGGTCTGGGGCGGAGCGGAAGAATTCTAAGGGGAGAGGAGGCAGAAGGCAACAAGCCAGGAGACCTGGTCTGGAGCAGAGGTCAAACCAGAGGGGCTGCTGCGAGCAGGCGTGTACGGGCGGTGTTGTGGTGAGGAAGGTGAGGTGACGTTCGAGGCACGGCAGCAAGGCAACTGCCACTGGCTGCCGTACCATCAAGGCTTGACGCTCGGCATTTCTCTTGTAAACCAATCAGAATTCTCACGCCGGACCTGGTTTCACAAACCAAGGTTGTTGGGTTTTCCCCGAACTTGACGGAAACACAAATAGGACCTTGCAAGCAGCCTCGCGATCAGCTACTTGAACTGGCTAAAGATCAACTGCACTAGCTAAGATCAATACAGAAAGAGAAAATACTTCAGCACAAACATGTCAACACTTTGACCAGGCACTAAACAGGGACAAGCTCAACAGATGCTGGTACGAGTGCCAGCTGACTGGAGTGAATCCAAAACGAATTTCAAATACTAGCTGGGACTTGAGCATTCAGCCATAATAAAACCAAGGCCAAAATTCACTACAACTCCTCCCCATGCCCATCCCTATTACCACGCCCCTCCCCACTTCCTGGTAAAATCTTGGACAAGAGCCCTTCACGCATACGCAGAGCTCTCTCCCCAACCTCTCCAACCATCTCATTCATCTTCCGCACCATAGACACAACCTGCTTCCCAACAGTGCTCTTCTTAACCTTAATCAATGCTCTTTTTGCCTGCTTAACCGCCTGGCTCCGCTGGACCTGGCGAATGATCTTGCTTGTGTGCTTCCCAGCAGCAGTGGCTTGGAAGCTTTTGATGAGCGTGGTCCCGGTGTGAGCGACTCGTTGGAAGAGGGCTTGCGAGGAGAGGAAGATTCGACGAAGAGGGGAGTTGACTGCTGCTTCCTGCTGCTTCTCCTGCAACGTGCACGAGCCAACATGCAATGTAACAGGCCAACCAAAGATGTGAAAGTATAGTGTACATGGAAAACAGGTTCGAGGTTTCTCAGGTTACCTTGGATATCTTCCTCTTTTCAATGATCTATGTCTCTTTCTCACAACCCCCCCTCACACCCTTTTACCTTAGGCCCCAAGAGTTGCTCGATTCATCCCCTCGTATTCCCAGAGCCTACTCTTTCCTTAGCTAGCCTAAAACAATCCTGGTCTCTCATTCTCCACACTCCCTGCCTCTGCCACACTCTCTCCCCCTCTCACCTTCTCGTCTGCAGCCTTCAAAGCAGCCCGAATCGCCTCCATGTCGACATGTGTTCCCGGTCCCAACTCGTTCCTTGGCTTCTATTGAAACTGCATCTTCCATGCACCCCCTCCCCCTCTCACCTTCTCATCTGCAGCTTTCAAAGCAGCCCGAATCGCCTCCATGTCGACATGTGTTCCCGGTCCCAACTCGTTCCTTAGCTTCTATTCAAACTGCATCTTCCATGCACTCCCCTTCTATCTCACCTTCTCGTCTGCAGCCTTCAAAGCAGCCCGAATTGCCTCCATGTCGACATTCGTCCCCGGTCCCAATTCGTTCCTTAGCTTCTCCTCCGGATCCTCCTCCTCCCCTTCCTCCTCATCCTCCTCATCCTCGCCCATCCCCATCCCCCCTACAGACGTCTTCCTTAAGAGGTCGTCGCGCGAGTAAAGCTTCATTTTGGGCATGCGAGGGGCACGCGGGTTCTGCACAAACCAAGGGCGAGGAAAAATAGAAGGGGGCGGTGGGGAGGAGGACCCATATATGCTGGTGCCCTTTGGACGAATCACACGTATTCTTTAAGAGGTCGTCACGCGAGTACAGCTTCATTTTGAGCATGCGGGGTGCGCGAAATTTCTGCACGAAAATGGTGAACATAAACAACAATCACGTAGGAATACTGAGATTCGGGACCACATTTTTTTTTTTTTTTTTTCCGGTTTCCGTTTTCCTCCTTCTTAAAGCTCGCGTCTCGTGTTTTCAATCGTTTAACACTTGGTTGGGAAAAATCGCCGGTGATTGGGTGACGAGTGGCGAGTTATGTGACGTGTTGGCGAATTACTGAGGAAGCCACAGAAACGCTCAGTCGGCTGTTACCAAATCTCAAGCGTTTAACACTTAGCTGAAAACACATAAATATGAGGCAGGGGCTTTAAACTGAAAAAAAAAAAAAAAAAAAATGCCGTAGAGTAAATTGAAGCCATAAATGTGAATCTTCACTGCGTTCTTTATCGACATTGGTGTACCTCCCAACCCAACGACCTACCTCTTCCCGATACTTTTCAGACTTCATGTCCATGTCTCGCATCATCCTCTCCCTCTCCACCTCCGTGCTGCTCTTGCGCCGGAACGCCTCCCCTGGCTTGCGGCCCTGCAGGACGACGCAGCAGTGAAATCACAGACGCACGTGTCACATACGTGCCATGTCTCACATGTCATGCATCACAAGCATCATTGTTTGCCTCTCGATCCCTCTCCACCTCTGTGCTGCTCTTGCGCCGGAAGGCCTCCCCTGGCTTGCGTCCCTGTGGTATGCAACAGCGCAACAGCAAGGGAGGGATGTGCAGGCCGATGTGCCCTCCCCAGGGCATGTACGTACATGCCATAGATGATTGCTCGAAATACCTTGGAAACAGTTATTGAGACGGCTCAAAAACTCCCTTTAATCACGTGGCAACAGCAAGGGAGGGATGTGCAGGCCGATGCACCATGTACATGTTTTGAGACGTCTCAAAACACTTCTTCAATCACATGTACATGTCATAACTGTTTGCTAGTAATACCTTGGGAACACGAGGAGGCTGCTTTCTGCATGTGGGAGTCGCGTCGGCACCTGCTCTAACAGCCGCCTCCTGCTGAAAGCAACTGCAGACAGCTATTTGCTCATGGTACCTTGGGCATGGGAGGCGGCTGCTTTCTGCATGTGGGGGTAATTTCGTGGCACAGCTTGTCTCGCGAACTCCTCTTTGTGGATGGACGGGTGGGAGAGAAGAGCAGCTCTTTCCTACAGTCACCTTGCAAGCTATTTGTCTGTACCTTGGGCATGGGAGGCGGCTGCTTTCTGCACGTGGGAGTCATGTCGTGGTACAGCTGTTTCTTGAAGTCTGCTTCTTGGATAGACGGCTGGGACAAGGGAAAGCACTTCTGTGGAATCACCTTGCTTGCTGATTGTCTGTACCTTGGGCATGGGAGGCGGCTGCTTTCTGCACGTGGGAGTCATGTCGTGGCACAGCTGTTTCTTGAAGTCTGCTTCTTGGATAGACGGCTTGGAGTAGAGGAGCTCTGCCACGTCCGTGTCTGAGAAACCCACCACCTGATGGGGGGAAAGGAAATCGGGGCAAGGGAGGCGGGTGATGAAGAGATGAATGTGCGGATAGGGTGGGTGTGAGTGCATGTGGCGAGGAGGCAGGCAGGCAGCACCGGGTGGGAGAAACCCATCACCTGATGGGGGGGAAGGAAATCGGGGCATGGGAGGTAGGAAAAAAAGAGATGGAGGTGGGGATGGGATGGATGTGAGTGGAACAGGTGACGGGTCAGGCGGCACCTGTGTGGGAGTAGAGGAGCTCTGCCACGTCCATGTCCGAGAAGCCCACCACCTGAAGGGGGGAGGAGGAGATGGGGTTGGAGATGAAGGGATAGGGTGGATGCGAGTGCGACTGGCAAGGAGGCAGGTAGCACTGCGTGGATGGCTGAGAGAAGAGGAGCTGTGCCACGTCCGTGTCTGAGAAACCCACCACCTGATGGTGGAGGGGAGGAAATGGGCGAGGGATGGATGTGAGTGCAACTGGCGAGGAGGGATAAAGGGTAACAACAGGGAGTGGAATAACAGAAAAGGAAAGAAGAAAACAAAAGAGCTGTATGAATGATATCCTGCACTCCCTGCCACATCTACCACACACTCACCCCACAACTCTTTGAGGCACTCACAGCAACCAATTTACCTACTCTCTCAAGCACCGCTCATATTACCGTCAGCCCCCCTCCCTACTCTCTCCATTACCTCCTCCAACGCTCAAATTACCCCCTCCACACCACCCACCGCTGCACGCGTAATCCCCCCTGCCACCCCCCTTGCACTACCTTACACCACACCCCACTCGCATATGACCTCGCGCACATTACCCCCCCATACTCCCCCTTGCACTGCCTTACACCCCACTCGTATATGACCCCCATACCCCCCCTTGCACTGCCTTACACCCCACTCGTATATGACCCCCATACCCCCCCTTGCACTGCCTCACACCCCACTCGTATATGACCCCCATACCCCCCCTTGCACTGCCTCACACCCCACTCTCGCACATTACCTCCTGGCAAGCCTTCTGGATCGTCTTGCATTCTGCGCGGCAATCCCCAGGGTAGGGGAACTCCTTCAGCTGACGGGGAAGGGGTAGGGGGGTGTGGGGAAAGGGGGGAAGGGGAGGGAAGAAGGGAGAGTGTTGCATTCAGTGCGGCAATCCCCAGGGTAGGGGAACTCCTTCAGCTGACGGGGAAGGGGTAGGGGGGTTGGGGGGAAAGGGGGGAAGGGGAGGGAAGAAGGGAGAGTGTTGCATTCAGTGCGGCAATCCCCAGGGTAGGGGAACTCCTTCAGCTGACGGGGAAGGGGTAGGGGGGTTGGGGGGAAAGCGGGGAGGGGGAGGGAAGAAGGGAGAGTGTTGCATTCAGTCCGGCAATCCCCAGGGTAGGGGGACTCCTTCAGCTGACGGGGAAGGGGTAGGGGGGGTGGGGGGAAAGGGGGGAAGGGGAGGGAAGAAGGGAGAGTGTTGCATTCAGTGCGGCAATCCCCAGGTTAGGGGAACTCCTTCAGCGACGGGGAAGGGGTAGGGAGGTGTGGGGAAAGGGGGGAAGGGGAGGGAAGAAGGGAGAGTGTTGCATTCAGTGCGGCAATCCCCAGGGTAGGGGAACTCCTTCAGCTGACGGGGAAGGGGTAGGGGGGTTGGGGGGAAAGGGGGGAGGGGGAGGGAAGAAGGGAGAGTGTTGCATTCAGTGCGGCAATCCCCAGGGTAGGGGAACTCCTTCAGCTGACGGGGAAGGGGTAGGGGGAAAGGGGGGAAGGGGAGGGAAGAAGGGAGATTGTTGCATTCAGTGCAGTGCGGCAATCCCCAGGTTAGGGGAACTCCTTCAGCTGACGGGGAAGGGGTAGGGGGGGTGTGGGGAAAGGGGGGAAGGGGAGGGAAGAAGGGAGAGTGTTGCATTCAGTGCGGCAATCCCCAGGTTAGGGGAACTCCTTCAGCTGACGGGGAAGGGGTAGGGGGGGTGTGGGGAAAGGGGGGAAGGGGAAGGAAGAAGGGAGAGTGTTGCATTCCGTGCGGCAATCCCCAGGGTAGGGGAACTCCTTCAGCTGACGGGGAAGGGGTAGGGGGGTTGGGGAGAAAGGGGGGAAGGGGAGGGAAGAAGGGAGAGTGTTGCATTCCGTGCGGCAATCCCCAGGGTAGGGGAACTCCTTCAGCTGAGAAGAGGGGGTGTGGGGGGGTGGGAAGGGAAGGGAAGAAAGGAGGGGGTGTGGTGTGGGTGGGTGGAGGGAAGATGTTATTATCCTTGCACTCGGTGCGGCAATCCCAGAGGTAGGGGAGCTTGGAAGTGTAATAGGTGCGGGAATGTGTCCGCATCATATCAAGATTACGACCAGGCCCGGTGTGCTTCATTTTGCAACTCATAAACAAACTCTGTACGTTATTTTGTGTTCTCTCTCTCTCTCTCTCACCTCCCTATTTCTTCACCACCAGCTACTCTCACCTCCTTCTACTCTCACCCTCCTCTACCCCACCTCCACCACCCCGTCTTCTTGGAATCTTACCACAGACCAAGCATAGCTTATCCCTTTCGTTGCATCTCTCTCTAATTACACCTCTCCTGCATCTTATCTCCCTCCTGCATCTCACCTTGGAAGGTCCCACCGTCCCTGCACCTCACCTCGAGCTTGTCCCCCTTCTCCTGCACATCAAGCCATCGAATCCAATCGCCCTCGTCCACCGGTCACCGAACCAGCCCCCAAACCGGATCCCGAACCTGTTCCCAAGCCTCTGTTCCTTCCCTGCACCTCACCTCGAGCTTGTCACCTTTCTCCTGCACATCAAGCCATCGAATCCAATCCTACACGTCCAATCCTGAACTGAAATCCATCTCTCGAATCCACGCACTCTCTCGAATCCCACCTTGTGCATCTCACCTCGAGCTTGTCGCCTTTCTTCTGCACATCCAGCCATTGGATCCAGTCTTACACATTCATAAGTCCTACCCTCCCTGCATCACACCTCCCCCACATCCCACCTTCTGCATCCCACCTCGAGCTTGTCGCCTTTCTCCTGCACATCCAGCCATTGGATCCAATCCTACACATCCACTCCCTGATTCCTACCCTGCCTGCATCTCACCTCGAGCTTGTCCCCTTTCTCCTGCACATCCAGCCATTGGATCCAATCGCCCTCGTCCTTGCTGACGTCACACGCCGATTCCACAAGCTCGATGATCTTCAGCTCTGATAGCTGCGAGTGAGGAGGGGTGAGGAAGGACAGGGGTGATGAAGGAAGGCGGAGGAGGGAAGAAATTGTTAGGATTGTCTTGGTGATGACAATAATCTTCAGCTCTGATAGCTGCGATTGTTCGTCAATCCCGAGGGAGGAGGACGAGAGAGGAGCGGTGAGGAAGGAAAGGGGAGAAAGTGTAGGAGTTGTCGATGATCTTCAGCTCTGATAGCTGCGAGATTTCGTCAATCCCGGGGGAGGAGGTGCGGGGAGGGGTGAGGTAGGAAAGGGGAGGAAATGAGGAAGTGTTGGTGATGTTGCGAGGATGTTTGTTATTTTCAGTGGCTGTGAGATTTCACCGACTACCTTCTTCGGCGCGATCGCCTGGCGTTTCTCCCGCACTTGCCGCAGAAGGTTCTTCGCGAGCAGCTCGCACACGCCGCACTTAATCAGCGGCACGTCCTCCTTTCGCGCTACGTACTTCTTAGCGGCAATCGCGCCGTGAATCCCGTCAATAGCAGTGGTGTGAAAGAAGGAAGTTTCGGAAATACCGGAGTGCTGCTGCGATGGAACGAGGAGTAGCAGAACAAGGAGTAGAGGAGCCGAGAACAGGCCATGCAGCAGATTTCGCAGATTTCGCATCGCTACTAGCGGGCTTCGCGAATGTGAGGGGTTGTTCATCGTTAAAAGTTGTCTCGTTACAGCGCTAAGATTCGACAACAGCTGGTGGACATCAACAACGCAGATGAACCTGTTTCGGATCCGCTGGCTTCTAACCACCGACTTGTACGTATGCGACGCGCGACGGTTAATGACTGAATCTAGTGTGAAAGTCGAACGAGCGACCATAATCCGACTCGATCCCTGAATAGATTAGGGAGGGGCAAAGGAAACTGGCACCAGGTTAGGATCCAGGCTTTTTCTCAACGGGCTTTCCGCTCAAACTCTTTCTCAACCCTTCCCAAATGCTTACGACCGTAAAACATCTCACGATACCAAACCGAATGTTGCCCTTCTAACCACCACAGTGGTGTGATGTGATGTTGACCAATAGCTTTCGGGGTCGATTCAATTGTGAATCGGACGGCCAAAATCGCTGCAGAGGTCAGCCCAGGAATTCTTCTAGAAGCGCTCATCGTCGAGTGTCAGCCATGAGTTTGGAATTCCAAAGGAAATCGACGAATGGAGTGAAAATGTGATGCAGTACGGTACGCGATTTTGCTTGCCTCGTTTTAGATCCAAGAGATTTAAATCTTCCTCTAAGAGGTAAGGCACACATTCGGATCTTTTCAAGTACAATGTACAACTACTAAAACGTTGTGCATCATGTCATGATCATACAAATAAGAATCACAGGCCCTGATTGTAGTCAGGTGAATCCCATCGCCTGGAAGACATGTCTAGTTGAGCAGACGGGGACCTTTGGTGAAGGTTTGGCCGCCGAGCCAGAGGGGCAGGTCCGGGGGAGCGGCTCGGCCTGGGTGCAGATTGCTCCTGATAGCTCCCAGGACCAAAATGCTGCTGCTGATGTTGCTGCAACTGCTGCTGGTGATGTTGCTGCAACTGCTGCTGCTGAATCTGAGATGAATTGCCATTTCCTCCTGGGCCAACACCTGGGCCAGCACCTGCCCCACCTCCTGAGCCAACACCTGGGGGAGGATAGGCCCCAAATCTACCACCAGCACCACCACCACCAGCACCACCACCACTGCTCCCACCAGCGCTCCCACCAGTGCCAACGGCAATCCCAAGGTTGGCCCCAGCAGCAGCACTGAACCCCAGGTGACCATGCTCGGGGGAGATGCTGTGGGAGCGTCGGTGGGCGTGGGGGCGGCGGGGGGGCATGGAAGGGGGGGAGGGAGCAGAGAATATGGTGTTGGGGGAAGTGACGCCTTCAGGAGAGGGAGGGAGGGCAGCGCTGTACCCACTGCTGCCACCGCCACTGCCACTGCTGTTGTAACCACTACCAGCACCAGCACCACCAGTGGGGCCTCCACTTGCGCCCCCTGAGACAGAAGACGATCCGTTCCCGAAAGATACACTGTAGTTTCCAGAGCTACCGCCACTGGAGCTTCGGGGGAGGCCTGGGCGAGGAGGAGTGGCCCGAGCCTGTGCCTGGTGGTGCGGGAGAAATCCACTCTCTGTCTCCACCCCCCCTGCTCCCGCTCCTCCTCCTGCTGCTGCAGTAGCTGCTGCTGTTCCTCCTGCTGCAGCCATGGCTGCCGCGGCTCTAATCGCCTCCTGACCCTTGGATATCTGCCTCATCAACGGCCCCATGCGGATGCCTGGAGGCGGCACCAGCACGGGGCCCAATGGCATCCCGCCACCTGTCGCTGTTCCTGTGGCTCCTCCACCACCCCCTGCTGCGTCAGCTGTTAGTGCAGGCGGGCCGGGAATAGCAGCAGCTAGGGCCGGGTTCATTGAATTCGCCCCCAGATCGACCATGGGCAAATTAGGGTTTGCACCAGCGCTGCCGGAACCAGCAGGAGAAGGAGCAGGAGGAGGAGGAGGCTTAGTCATGGGAGATACATTTCTGCTGGACGCCTTACCAGTCGGGGGAATGCTGCTCGGTGAACCCTGGGCCAGATTCGCGATTACACCAGGTGGATTAGGGTTACAAACAGGGTTACCTGTGCCAGGCAGAGAAACGTGAGTGGATATGAGCTGCTTCGGCTGTGACTGGGACCGTTGGAGGGGAGTTCGGCGCGTTGGGGGGCGGTCCAAAGAGGCTCCCCCGCCTGCTGCTCCCCCCAGCCCCCCTCCCCCTAATCCTCCCCCTGATCCTCCCCCCATCGCTCCTCCTGGCCTCCCTCCCCCAGAACCAGGCGAAGTGAACCCTCCGCCTGATCCCCCAACCGCAGTGTTTGGCGAAGAGAGCGAAGTAGGGTAACCACTGTGGGAATGCATCGACGAACTGGGTGGCGTGAGCGGGGGGGGTGCGTTGAACCCTCCCGGGCCCATGCCTGCCACCATACCTGCTGCCATGCCTGTTGCCGAGCCTGACTCCTCTGCCGAACCGGCTGACGCGGATCGTGGTAAGCCTACTCTGTAACGGTCCGGGGTGCGAAGCCTCTCTCCAGCAGCTGGTACACCAAACGCCCCGCTATTAGCTACTCCATTAGCAGCTACTATTCCACCTGATACGGAACCATTCATATTCTCCGTACTGTACCCAGGCATACTATTTGCACTAAAAGCAGCATCATTATTACCGATACTGCCACCACCTAGGAGGCGGAAGAGCGGCGGGCACGGCGAGGGCAGCAAAAACGCGTGGTCTAAGAGCAACATAGCACTAGGCCGGTTCGCCGGGTCGCGTTCTAAGCACCGTCGCAGCAAACTACGACACTCTGGCGAGACTTCCGCCGGGATATGCGGCACCTCGAACGTGCTCCCTATCATGTGCAACACCGCGTCTCGATCACACGCCCGAGCACCACCGACCGCGCTCCCAGGCGCCGCCGCGAAGCCCGCCGCTTCGAGCTGCGCCGTCCAGGGCGGCTCGCCGGTGATCATCTCAAGAACCGTGCACGCGAACGACCAGATATCCGCGGCGCAGCCCTGCGCCTCCTGGCGGACCACCTCCGGCGCCATCCAGCTGTACGCCCCCGCGCCTTGGAACCGCGCCGGCGGCGGCTTCCGCGCGCCGGCGGCTTCAGCGGCGGAGCCGTCGGCAGCGCGGATCGCGGAGCCGAAGCTGCAGAGCTTCGCCTCGCCTTTGTCCCCGTTTAGGAGCACGTTGGCGGCGCGGATGTCGCAGTGGACGATTCCGCGCGCGTGCAGATCGCGCAGCCCCTCGCAGATCCCCCGCGCGTATCTCCGCACCAGCGCCTCCGGTAATCTCCCGCCGAATGAAGACATTAAGTCCGCAATGCTGCCGCCTGAAATGTACTCCATAAATAGGTTCCTAACCCTAGCTCCTGGAACGGCAGCGTCGTCTTCCCAGTTTGCGCCCAATAGCCGCACGACACGTGGCGAGCCGCGAAGCTCATCGAGGATCGCCTGCTCGTTGTCGAGCTGTCGCATGTCGCGCGGGAGAGCGCGCGACGAGACGGATTTCGCGACGAAGATTTGACCGGATTCGGCGTGAAGGGCAAGGTGAGTTTTACTGCGCGGATCGCCGCCAAGCTGATTTCCGCGAATCCATTGCGGCGGGTCGCACGGCGGCCCCTGCGACAGGCCATGCGACAATCCGTGCGACGACCCATACGACGATCCGTGCGGCGATCCTTGCGACGATCCGTGCGACGATCCGTGCGACCTGTTCGACATCGCGGACGACGGTCGCGACAACGGGCCTGCGGACGATCCAGGTCGGGATGGAAGATTGTACTCGAGCTGGTGGAACCCGTTATTAGGCCCATACGCGCCTCCATTAACGAGGATGTTAGGTTTGGCACCAGAGTGGACACCAGGGTTGAGCTGTTGCTGAATCGAAGAGTTAAAAGGCTGGTTAGAATAATAATTATTACTGATCTGGCTATTATCAATGCGCAGAGGATCTAGGCTGGCGGAGCGCAGCAGGTTACGCCGGCCTTCGGCGAAACCAGCAGACTGCATCGTGTGTGCTCTTGGACGCGTGGCAGCAATCGGCACTCGCCCAGGATCACGCAAATGCACTAACCCTAAAATGAACAAATCAAGCGCTGGGATTTGGCACCAGAGTAAGCCAAACCGAAGTCTCTCATGAGGAGATGAGAAAGATGAGGAGATAACATCGAGGGAGAAGACTGGAGAGAGTTTTTCTTTCACGGCACAGATAGCCGGCAGTAGCAGTCACACTTGTACAGGATGACGTATAGAGTGAGTGAGTGACTGACTGACAGACTGACTGATAGAACAAGGATTGCGGAGCGGAGCAGAGGGAGAGGAAGAGAGGAGAGGACAAGATCGATAAAACTACGTGGAAAGCGGTGCAGAGGGAGAGGGGAAGGTGGACTTACACACCGGCCTCAGGCTGGCAGGTTAGGGGCTGCCCTGCCATGCCGTGCCGTGCCGAATCGTGCAGTGAACTGAACTGTTTGTACACGCATGCCACATAAGCTCACCTGCCCTGCTCTCCACCACCACACCACACCACTCCACATTCGGGCGGCCGCGTCGGTGGGGGGATGGGGAGAAGTGACCAACGCCATCGAGGGTCGCCAATTTTTGCCCAAAGGCGACACACTACGAGTCGAGGATGTTTTTCGCTGCCCTGTTTGGTCGGATTTGGCTGGAGGCTTGGTGGTGTGGAGAGGAGACGAGACGAGCCGGGCAGGGAGCAGGCCCCAAGCTCACCCCTGGACAGTTGGCGCCTCCATCCATGAACCAGATAAGATCGATGAATCCAAAACTAGCCACTGGGCATTACTGTCCGCTCATTCAGATCCTCGTTACACTCGGATTCCGACCGTCCGATAGCAAGAAACTGGGGAAAACAAACAAGCTTTTATCACAATCACTTAACATGCTATAATTCCTTTCATGGATCTCTTGCGTTTACTAAACCTACTGCAATGCCCTTTGAAACCCCTCAGAAAATAAAAGGGTGGCAACAAACAGTGTACGAGTGTTACGAGTGAAATTGAGTGAGCGAGCGAGGATTGCACTATCGAGGCAATAAATACAATGAGCGAGGGGTTGAGCGAATAATATATAGCGAAGCTATAGCGGTAACCAGGGCTGATTTTATCAGGGTAATTACCCTGATTTCAGGGTGATTTCAGGATTTCCACTTCGTGGAGACTGAAATTTCAGAGTTATTGAATTTCCAGCCCTGATCCAATCAGAGTAATAGTTTAGCTATCCCTGATTTTGAGTACAGTGTAACAAACTAGGCTGTTAGTGGACCCTGACGTAACAGAGTATCGACTGTGTGGACCCTGACTTATCGAGAGGAAGTTTCTCGGAAGTTTCCTTCCGATGACCCCGCCTTGGATTGATCGCAGTGATCCCCCCACATGTGCGTAATCCTCCCCCTTCCCGCTTTATCGAGATGAAGTTTCTTCGAAACTTCGTTCTGATCGAAACTTCGAGACTTTATGGAGAGTGGGGATATTTTCCCCGACTTATCGAAAAGAAGTTTCTCGGAAGTTTCATTCCGATGACCCCGCCTTGGATTGATCGCAGTGATCCCCCCACATGTGCGTAATCCCCCCCCTTCCCGCTTTATCGAGACGAAGTTTCTTCGAAACTTCGTTCTGATCGAAACTTCGAGACTTTATGGAGAGTGGGGATATTTTTCCGCGGTAACAAAGCGTGCGTTACTACTCTGATGTTCAGTTCTCGACCCTGAACAATCAGTGTTAACTACTTTACAAACCTGAGCAATCAGGGTACTGCTTTTCTGGAAAATGTGCACCCATAATAGAGGGGGAAAATTTTCCCCGGAATCAGGGAAGCTTAAAATGAAACGTCAGCCCTGGCGGTAACGGTAACGTGTGGAAACATGGGGTGCGCGACGGGCCTGGCGCCGAGGTTGGGGATTGTCGAGGCGGAGGTCCGGAGCGCGGGTTACCAACCGAACCGTGAGGACCGTGAGGTTGGGTCGCATCGTGAACAGTGGTGGGAATGTGTTTAGGCGAATGTCGCGAGTGGTAACGGATTATTGTGGGGTGTTGTTGGCGGGAACAGTGGTGTACGCGCTGAGTAGGGATGCGAAGTAAGGAAAATGAATTTTCCTTACACTACCCCCCCCCCCCCCCCCCCAAGGAAGCCTCTCTTACGAAAACGCGTGTACATCCCGGAAATTCCGGCTGCGCAGATACTCGGTGAGGACAGGGTGGTTCCCGATTCTGTCCAGGGGAACCCAATTGTCTTCGGTGGGCGTATGGTCTCTCCAGCGGATCAGGAATTCGACCCTTCGAGCTCCTCGTGGGTCACGGACTCGGTGGCTCAGGATATTTTCGGGCGTGATGACTGGTTCTGTCGGCGGTCTGTGAGAATAATGAGAGGAATGAATGAACTAGGAAGCAGGTGGGTACAAGTAGGAAACCTAAAAGTGTTGTACCCTATAAGAACTGCCCCACTACAGCCTAAACAGACTATAGCATATATAAGTTTGACACACCCCCATAGGCAAAGTGGGGGAGAACAAGGGGTCACAAGACCAGTCAAGAAGGCAAAGCAAGCTCAGGGTGGATCACAAAGTCACCACGCAGTCTGAGCACAAGCTAAGGGCCGCAAGGCCAGTTCACATGCAGAGTTATATAAAGGAAAGCAAAAAATACAGAGAACACAACCTAGCAAGTGTAAGCATGCAGGTATAAGTATATAGAGTACAGTACAAGCAGAGTCAAGAAGTCAGCAAGTGAGGCACAGTAGGTACAAGGCCTAGAACAGTACAGAAACGATGATGATCACAAGGCTGAAGTGCCTTGGTGAAAACATCAGCAGTGTTGGCCTGTGAGGCCACGTAAGCAAGACGAAGCTGGCCACGCTGCTGCAACTCTCGAGCAAGGAAGTAGCGCAGAGCAATGTGCTTCGTTCTGTGCTCCAGTCTGTGCTCCTGACACAAGGCCAACATGGCCTTGTTGTCAATGTACAGAACTGGAGGAGAACGAGGCGCCTCTCCCAAGTCGGTCAGCAGGTAGGTCAGCCAGCGTAGCTCCTGTGCAGCCATGGCCCCAGCGTAGATCTCAGCCTCACAACTGGAGCTGAGAATAGAAGAAGAGCGGGTAGACCGCCAAGAGACAGAACCGGAGCCAAGACTGAAGGTGTAACCCTGTGACGACCGCAGCTTAGCCAAGTCGTCAACCCCGGAGGCGTCAGCGTGACCAGTGAGGACAACTCGAGCCCGTCCTCCAAGCATGAGCCCCATGCCCGATGTACTGCACAAGTAGCGCAACACCCTCTTCGCAGCATCCCAGTGCACCTTTCGGTGCCTACCGGGAGCCACGTAGCGAGCCAGAAGGCTGAGAGGGTATACAAGGTCAGGTCGTGTGCAAGTCATCAAGTACATGAGGCAGCCCACAAGCTCTGGATACGGGCCACTCGGCTCTACGGACTCGTCCGAAGGTGGAGCTGAGAGCGAGTGACCGGTAGGCAGAGGAGTGGACTGTGGCGAGGAGTACGTGAAGCCGAAGCGCTGAAGGACCTGCTGCACCATGTGTGACTGAGTCAAGGTAATGGTGCACTGTGCTCTGTCCCGGGTGATCCGCAAGCCAAGATAGCTTGTCAGCTCCCCCAGGTCGGTGCATGTGTGTATCTTCTGTAGTTCGGACTTCACGTGGGCGAGTGCCTCAGTGTTAGCAGTAGCAAAGACAAGGTCGTCTACGTACACGAGAACGTAGAACGGCGGCAGAGTGGTGTCAGTGCGTAGAAACAGAGAAGGGTCAGCAGTGGAAGGAGCAAAACCAAGAGTAGCAAGAGTGGTCCTCAGAGTGTCGTGCCACTCACGGGGTGCCTGGCGGAGACCGTAGACTGGCCGCCGGAGGCAGGAAACAGCAGGAAACGACCCAGTGAAGCCAGGTGGGCGGCGCAGCCAGATCTCCTCGTGCAGGCTGCCCTGTAGGAAGGCTGTGCTGAAGTCAAGGGAGTGGAGCTCGTAGTCACGCTGAGCAGCTACGTGTAGCAGTACCCGAAGAGTGGTCATCTTCGGGGTAGGGGAGAAGGTCTGGAAGAAGTCAACTCCCTGTCGCTGACTGAAGCCACGTGCAACGTAACGCGCCTTGAAGACAGGCGGAGAACCCGGCGGACGCTTCACCCTGAAGATCCACATGCCACTGACGATGTTCGCCCCAGGTGGGGGAACCTCGTCGACGTAGGTGCCTGTAGACTTCCAGGAAGCCATCTCGGCGTCCATGGCTGCCTGCCACTGAGAGGAGTAGGGACCCTCTATCGCCTCTGCGTAGGAGCACGGGGTCGGGATGTCTGGTGCA